GCCGAAGACCGCTATGGCTTCGAATCATCGATATTCAGCTGCACGTTTGTCTTCCTTGTGCAAGTTCTTCGAGAACTTAGGAAGCTTTCCATCTCGTTCGTAAAGGAAGCCACAATTGCTACACAGAGTCTGGGATATGTTAGCTCATGATTTACAAATACAAACGATACAACTTACTCGGAAGCCATGGGGACCATCACGGACAGCCCAAACCGAAGTTGCCCAAATCATGCAATGCCTACATCGCCACGTTTGTCGTTCCTGGTCGGTCATAGAGCTACCTCCACCATAGCCGGCAGCACCTCCATCCGGAGTCCCTCTTCCGCCAGGTGTGCCTGATCGACCAACTGGACTCAAACTCCTGAAGCGTCTCTTTTTCTTGCTACGCTCCCCTCTACCCATCCGTTCTTCCGATGGCTCGTCGAAATATCCCTTATTTTCTGTACCTGATGGCATGCCTCCCATCATCCCGGTAGTAGAAGAGAAGCGAGCCGTCTCTCGTCGAAGCCTCCTAATCTGCCGTTCCCGATCGCCTTCTCGCTTCTCGATATCCTCTTTCGAGAGCTGTTCGACTTTTGGTTCCCACTCATCCGCTAAATGCTCATTGTCATATCTCCAACCGGCTTCCGCACCATGGGCAGCATCATTTGGCATCTCGCCACTATATCCTCCAACAATGCCACCACTTTCACAGGCTTCCTTCTTTAATTTCAATACAGCTTCGTAGATCGCATGGGTTATGGCTGGTACCCACTCCCCAGGCAGTCCAATATCAGCACATGTTTGCTTCGCAAACATCTCCGCCGTGCCTGGTGGGTGTAGTAATGACCATTCAAATTTATCTTGGTACAGGAATGTGGAGAGATTAACATTCAATGTAATGATACAACGGTACATGTCATCAGGATTAAAGTCGTCAGAATCCGGTGGGATGCTAGCCGCGGTGGCTCTGATTTCCTGGTTGGATTGTTCAATTTTTGGAGTGGAAACAATGTTCAATTGGCTTAAGCCATTTCGTAGAGGTGTTGCGTTCCCACTCGCTGCGGGCGTCGCAGACACATCCCGGGAAGCAGCTTTGATAGTTGTGACTGCGCCGTTGGTTGCCGACGTCTGTGTATGAAATAACGGATGTAGAGCTACACCTGCGTACTCTTCCAGCTGCGTTCGAATCTGCTTGCTAATTTCCGCGGCATACATGGCACGATTGGGTAGATCCAGATCTTGCACCATACATTGGGCGAATTGGTCGGTAGTAGTCAGGGTCTCGTGAAGATTCCATAGAAAGATGTCTTTCAACCTGTACGGTACAGTTGTCTCCTGCGTTCTGTATACCGCGAGTGATGTGTCAATCTGACCGAAACCAACTCCCTGGGGTGGTGGGAGAGGTGCTTGAGGAATGAAAGCGGGAATTTCGAGATCGATACAGATGGGTATAAGTGTCAATGGTAGTGTTGTTTGGGCGAAATTCTGCATATCCGATTTTGAGGGCCTCGTCTTGCTCATCCAGTCTCTCCAAATTCCCTGGACCTCCACCGGCGCTGTAGCTTCTTTCCCAACCTTTTCTGACGGATCCTGCTTGCCCTGACCCGAATCATCTCGTCTTATGCTCCGTAAACCGGTCGGCCTCCTCCGAGTATCGTCATCATCATCGTCATAATCGTCGTACCCATCTTCTGCATAGTTGATAGCTGTTGTGCCTCTCTTTGTAGTTCTTGACTGAACGACCGCTTGAGCAACGGCTGGTTGGATAACAGGTGTAAGTAGCGGGTTGGCATATGTTCGCAGTCGCGGCGCATAGCTGGATATGAAGGATTGTGGCGGGTTAACGTTCTTTGTCGCCATTGTGATTAAAACTTGATGGACATATCATGCCCACTGAGGCGACGGTAGGTACGCTTCTTGGAAGGGATGCGCGGATTGCTGTAAGAGTCCGGCTTTTGATCGGATCAACACAATAATTTCAGCTACTTCTGTTTGTTTATTGCGCCGCCCAATTGCAGAGTCTATATCGCAGAGTGATGCGTGCGGTGAATGATTTCGAGGTTATTCACTGTTGGTTCCATCCATTCAATCCGTCGCGTCGCGACAAATCTCAGGAAATGACACCTTACCGCTTTGAGACTAGGGTAGTTTTTCAACCTCTCCGCCAGCTCAATTGGGCTGCTAACCACCACCTCGCAAATCACTTCTCGGAATGGGCAACAACAATATGGAAAGTACCAAACTGCCTACAATGTAAACTTTGGACGGCTAAAAGATGGAATTAAATTTGGACACTAGCGAATGTTTTCTTCTTGCCATTGGCAACTTCAACCCTACTCTGGCATTTTCCAGCCCAGTGCCCTGCTCGTACACGGCGCCGTTCGAATGGACAGACATACACACCGTTCAATACACATATCTAGCACGATACTTTAGACAGTACTTCCCCATTTGATGTGTTTTTCAGTTGCTGCCATTTCCTCAGCAATCCCATCGACATCTGGACCAATACCACTATACTTTCTGACTGTATGGAACGTTGCTTTCGGTAACCTTAGCGTCGCGAGATAATATGTGGCATTTGGACGTTTTGCGACCTTCAGCTGCATTTGGTTATTAGCGGAATACTTGACGAGAAGTATCAAGTAATGGCTTACCTCATTGCCCCGGGACATCTCATCACAAGCGCCGTCCAGACAAATAATAGGTTCTTCAGTACGTGGCCTGTATGGCTTATTTCGCGTCTTTTCCGTCACGGGTAGTGAAGTTCCCTGCGATTTTCCCCAACGCCATACCCAGTTGTCGCTGAACTTGGGCTTGGTGGTAGGCTGCTTACAGCCGCTGCAGGTTCTCGAAGAATAGTTGCACGGCCTTGAACAGTTCCTACATACACGGTATTCTTGCGCTCCGGCAGTTTTCCGGATTTCTGAGGGTCGAAAACAGCACTTCATGATGTAAACCCAAAAGATAACAAAGATGACCAAGGAAAGAACAAGAGCCATGATAATAATGCCCGTAGTCGACCACCAAACTTTCGGCTTCCTTAGGCTTGCAGTGGGAGTGTCGATCCCGTCTACAAGTATGCCGTTAATGTGTGCTTCTGGGGGTGCTTCTGGGGGTGCTTCTGGGGCAACAGTTTGTCCTGTCTGGTCCGTCTGATCTGCTTGATCCGTTTTGTCTGTCTGATCCGTCGGGGGTGTCTGGATTGTCTGGATTCTCTCATCTGTCTGGGCGGTCTGATCTGTCTCATCTCCCTCGTCTGTCTCGTCTGCTTCGTCGGTTTGGTCTGTCTGGTCTTGACGCTTTCGCAAATTGACGACCTTGGCGGCGTCTGATTTCTCGGAATGTATTGAGTGCTCTTTTTGAATTTCGTTCACCGAATGAAAGAACTGGGTGAAATAGCGTTCGAGGTCATCTAATACCCTTGAAGAATACTCCACCCAACCTGAAAGCTCCTGAGTGGTCTCGAAACCCGTCCGGCCCCTTTGCTGAAGTTGCTCCCTCGCTAAATCTTCAACGCGCTGGACTCGTTCACTCTCAGACGAACTGAAGAATGTGCTCAAGACCAAGGCAGGCTGAGAGAACACATGAGTAGACTCTTCCTTGGGCCATTTTGTAGCAAACGCCAGCGAGGAAAACATGTCGTCCAAGCTCTTTTGGTATTGTCTGAAGGTAGTGACCTGCGATAGTTTAACGAGTTCTAATATACCTTGAAGAAGGCAATCAGCCACCTCCGGCGCAGGGTGTTGTTGAGTCAATACTGGAAATGCATCGACAAAGACTTTCGTGTAGCTTTGTAATGTTTCCATCTGGTAGTAGTGGTGGAACATCACAGCGGTAACCCTGAGTCTGAAAATTGCTAGCTCCATTTTGGCTGAGTCTTTAGGCTCGTTGCGGCACCGCTTCCTCGTGATAGACTCTCGGATTTTGGAAGCTACTTTAGAAGCGAAATGTTCCAAGTCGTCGGTAGAACAAAATCGAGTTTGGCGGCTGTTAAGGAGATTGACAACAGTTTGTGAAGCTGTTGTGACCAAAAGCTCTTGCTCCCTTTGTGGGTAAACTCCAATCTGAAAGCCAATCGATCTAAGAAGATCACTATCCACCGGAAACCGCGAGTGTTTGGCCAACTTGCAAGACTCGTCGAACGCAGGTGGCAATGCTTCGGACACCTTAGAAAAAGATTTCCTGGAAATAGCGGATTCGGCCTTTTGTTTTGGTAGTTCCCTTCTTGCCATCTTTAGAAGCGGTGGCAGATCAATCGATTGGCGGAGGCGAGATTCAAGTTTCTTCGCAACCTCTGTGACATTCTCTTCGGTGAATGACCAGCCTTCAGAAAAGAAATTGTCACGTATGAAGAGCTTCAGAACGTCCCTAGCTGCAACGAGATATTCCTCCAGCTTCGGCCAATCTTTTTGTGGGATATTCTCCACAATCTGATCGAATTGCGACCCGACTACTTCTATTATCTGATCTAATTGTTCTATATGTGATTCGAAGGGTTCTTGCTCGGTTGCTGTCGTAGGGTTCTCACGCTTTATCTTTGCCGGGTTCGAGGGGCTGTAGGTACCGATGACAGAGTGAAAGCCATGTTGAGAATTGCCGTCGCGCGGAGCCAAATCCGGATTCTGATATCTGGTGAGGAGGCTATGGTGTGTGACCACGAGAAAGATTGATATTCCGATCACTGATATAATCATTGCCAGACAGAATCCGTACAGAATACTCAATTTGCGGTAGTGCAGGAAGTCAACGAAAGTACACCGTCGCTTTTCATTGTTGTGTACTGGGAGTAGATTGCCGTTCGGATTATCTAAAAAGGACTTGTCAGCTGTCTTTTGACGAAAATGAATATAATAAGTTCGCTTACCACACTGGGCTGTTAGAAGATGGCCGTCTGGTATTTGAGAATCAAAGTGCTTTTGTAGCATTAGGCCCTGTTTCTCGTAGTAATCAGGAGGCGGAACCTCTTCTTGAAGAGCTGAGATTTATCAGCGTGGCTCGAGCACTTGTAACTGTGGCATATGATCATACCGAAGACGTTGTCTGGATGCTTCACGGAAGTATGCAAGTCATCCATGTTTTCCTTCATCACCTAGCTCTGCAATGCCAATACAACGAAGTGAAATAACGAGAGGCCTGACACGAATTAAGAATGCTGACGGCCGTCAAAGTAGTGATGATAATTCAGTAAGAAATGCCTTGATGGCGATGGTAAGAAAGGCGTGATGCCTAAAAATATGTTGCAGAGTAAGAGCTGGCAGAAGAACGGAAGGGAAGTCGACGGTAATGCATCCTTGGTTACTTGGGAAGGAGCTTCTAAGATGAGAGGAAATTAGAGGGAAGTAGCGACCGCCCTTGAAGGTACAGTATCAGAAAATGAGAACTGAAGCGTGGTGTAGGGTGCAGAATACTAGACATTTGAAGCCCGAGCAAGCTATCGTTGTTATGGAACTGCAATTCATTAACAACTAAAATTTGCCCCATTATCCTAGAGATTCTGCGGGGCAGTCGAGAGAGTCGGAAGCAACTCAACCAAAACTGCCACACCTCTGAAAGTTGCGGAAAGCCAGTCTCAACCCATTCGAGCGACGCATACTCGTTGGCCATGAACGTTAATCATTATCTCGTTACGTAGAAATAGACAATGACAGGAAGTCAACGCTAAAGCCCTCCTCGTCCTTGCCCACCTGGCATGCCGTTGTTGGCAAAGGACCTCCCGGATTGAGCCCAGTCCTCAGCAGATAGCGTACGGATATGTTCAAAGCTCGGCTGCTGCAGGAACTGTGGAGGACTATGACTTGGCCGTGTCATGTCATTGATTCGACGTCTTCTTTGGTGCAGTTCCAACACCATTGGCTCTGATTGTGCTTCAAAGCTCGATAGTAGAGCTTTCGAGTTGTTCCAACGCTGACCAAAGGTTCTGAGAGTCTCTTTGATGTGCGTTATGCAGTTTATGCTTCTATCAATACTGTCTACCCCAGTATTTATCGGTAGTGGAGGTGGTGGAGGAGAGCCGACTACCGTTGGATTATAAGGAAGCACCCCGTTGAGGAGTTGATCCGTATCTTCAATCAGGACTGCAAGGAATTGGCTTCCAACAAAGTAAACCCTTAAAGCATCGTGGTACGTGTAAAACGCAATATTTATTGGGTCCTTGCTGATTGGAAAGATTTTTTGCATGTATGCAATGCTGTACTCAAATATTAAAGTCCTCCCATATTGGGTGGTCGTCTGAATTCGGCAAGACGGTGCGAGACAGTATACGTAGCTGTATAGCAATTCCAGATCAAAGTAATCCTTGAAAGCCAGAGGGAGACTATCTGGAAACGACTCGGACCAATCACGCATTTCCTGGCAAGTCTGCCACAGGTATTGTACTGGGTTCTGGAGAGGAACGCGGCTAGATTGGAAGAGTTCCTGGTACCAGCTTGATTGCACTGTTCGCAACTGAAACAAGAGACCGGCGGGCTCTAAAGAATGTTGACCTGCCAGTGAAACTCCGCCTGACGCAGGTGCCCAGGAAGGAAAATCCACACTGGTAGAATCGTCGGTAAACGAGAACGCTCGCGCGTGGACCATGCTAATAGATCTGCTGAAAGTTAGTCATTCTATTTCTACGTGATGATGTGTCTGAATTACCTATCAAGAGAGTATACGCAATAGTACACTCTTCGCCGCATATCTAACGTCTTTTTATCTGTCTGTTGCTCTCTTGGTGGGTCTTGGTGGAAGCCCAGATCTACAACGGCACGGCAAGCAAATCCAATAAGCTGCCAACTATCAAAATGAGCTGGATCCAACATTGAGTATTGGACCAGTAGAACCAAAGCTTGTATTTGGGAAACATAGCCAGGGATCAGCACCTTGTCGGCGTATTGCAATGCTCGACTAACCCAAGTGATGGCTTCCATGTAGCTAGCATCACGGTTACTTCGAGATTGTCCTGTGCAGGCGATCGCCAGAACCATATAGAACAGCCAGTGTTCGAAATCAGTCACAGGTCGCCCATTTTCCTGATAAATGGCATCAAGAGCGTTGAGTAACGCTGTTTCTGAAAAGACAGGAAATATTGAGAAAACATTATCTAAATAATATTGAATTAATCCCATAGCGGCTGGCCTGGACGGTAGTGAGAATGGTTCAGGGTGTGGCACCACCTCGAGATTGGTAGCGGCTAGAATCAGCCGCCCAAAAGTCATATTGGTCGTCGAAGATTCAAAGTCTCGAGTCGTGGCGTTGACTGAACTAGGCACTATAAGTAGGGAGTTTTGAGGCTGTAAGTTCCACCTACAGAAATCCAAAATCGGAAACAAGCTCATTAACATCGGCTGCCTCTCTTCTTCGAGCAGCTTTACCGTGTATAGCAGCTCTGATTGTTGCTAAAGAGTCTTTTCGGTCCGGTATCTCAATAGGTGCATCCACATCGTGCATGGCAACGGAGGCCTTACGAGACCTTGCGTATGCGATTCTCTTTTCCAGCTTTTCCACACGGGATTCCAGGGAGGCGACATAACTAGGAGCAAAAAATCAGCTATGAGAACTAAAGCGAGAAAATCTAGTCCCTGACCTTCGCTCTTTACCCTTAGCAAATTGATCGTTAGCACTTGAGCACTCGCCGGCTCGTCCAGACTTTTCACAAGCAGTACAGGCAGGTAGCTTTCCATCGCACTTTGGGCTATTAGTTAATTTCTGATTCTTTCAAGGAGATTTCATACCTTGATCTTAGCGGAGCGACCTGATATCGTTAACATAGATTCCTCTTAATGCGGAAAGAAAGACTTACATCTTGAACACGCGGAAACCGGCCTCGAGACTCTCAATAACGGTGTATCGGCCGCACTTGGAGTTGTTCTACGCATCGTGTGCTAGGTGGCACTTCGATTTGACTAATTGTGATGTTGCAGTATATAATAACTTCAAAAGTTACATCTTCGAAGTTTGAAAACTACACTGCGGATAGTCAGGGAGTAGCGTGGTCGGAGTATTTCTGGTAGAAAGGAGAAACGAAACAGATGCGAATCGTTTCGAATCGTTTTAGGTTTTGCTTGAATCGAACTGAGGATGACTTATCCCCGTGGCTGATGTTGTCGATTGTGGTCAACGATTCCTGTACTGATCCACGCGGCCACACAAGCTAATCATCTGAATCTCTGCTTTCAACCAACTTTTACAGACACCAACTTACAATCTAGCTGAGCTGCTATGATTCGAAGTGGCCGAGTAGGTAAGTTGGAATACCGGAATGTGTCAAAGAGCCGAAATGTTCCAGTAATTCTAACTTGAGCTTCTGCCTCAAGGAGTGCCGGCGACCGCACTCTGGACCATGGACTCTGGGGTCGAATAATCCGCTTCCGCCCTCCGTAATCCGCCCTCGAAGACTGGGGTTGAAACGAAACGCCCTGTCAGATTCTTCTGACGACTTGGCTTTTGTGGTGGAGGCCTTCGGAGTTTAATGACCGTTGGTTTTTAGACGAAGGAAGATCTGTCTGGTGATGTCAACGAGACGAGAGGTTGGACGGAGTAAGTAATAAGTGGCCAGCTTCGGCAGCATTCACACTACCAGCAGTCGGGAGTTTGGGATTGAGATGTTCAGCGTTTCCAAGCCGAGTTGTAAGTGGAAACACACTCCACTTGACAGAGCCTCGATCGCGCTTGTGTGGAGGGGCGACCACTTTTAGCCTATGCTCGAGTAGGAAGACGCCAGTCCTAAGACTACAATGAAGGACAGATGAGGTTATCGCCAGAATGCTGTACCTGAAGGTTCGTCTGATATCAGCGGCCTTAAGCCTCCTGACGACAAAGCTCGTCTCGGTTAGCCCACGGTTTCTCTGTCGTGGCTGCAGGTTCTCTCCTGCGGGATCGAGAGGCGCTCAATTGACCAAGTCGAACAATGGGTAGGTATTCCAAAGGAAGGTGTTTGCAACGCTTGCAACTCCTGGCCCTTGTTTCACGCATCGGCTGGCTGCTCACATGCCAAACGGGCGGCAGACGAGCTGCTACTGTACGCCGTCTGCATCCACAATACTCCAACTTTTGCGCAGACACGCAGTCTTGCAGACCACAGGTGCGCGCCTGCAAAGGGCACTTGGTAAGGCAGAGGCAGGTTACCACGTCGAGTACATGGCCTGGAGGCCGTTCTACAACAGCTTCCCAGGGTAAGCAGTTGATGAGATGCTGTTTGGTGCGCTCGGCGCTCTGGTGGAGCCCCGAATTCAACACATTCAAGGGGGTGATCTGATGAAAGTTAAAAAGTTAAAGCAAATATCCACGTAATCGTTCGTCTGAATATACTTCAGAGTTACTTGGAAGTAGACTCCTAACGTCCTGTAATCGTCTTGGCCCATTCGAGCCATTTCTCCCACGCCCGAATGATCAACCGCGGGGTGACTTTCGTCTCCCCTTACTCGAGTGACCCCCGGCTGGACATCCACTCACTCTCCTCAATCCCACGTCTTCGCACTCGCAGACCCTCAGGATGCATCACACGTACCGACTTGTACTCTAATACGTCTCCCTGAGGCGTAACGAAAGCCTTCTGTTTGACTAACTCAGATGGAAATCCCCTGAAACTCTTTCGCGCTCTGCATCCTCGAGCCTCGCGCCCCCATCCCCAGTCGGCTGCTCTTGTACACGAGCACAGAGACACAGCTATTTGAATACACCGCAAACACTCCCCGACGATGCTGGCAATTGCGAGGAGGAGAACTTAGATGTACAGTAGCCAGGAATATAGCAGAGTCTACATTGACATTTCATATGGATGCTGCAGATCTGTTCCGGCGGGCGCAAAGCTCGGTCAACCAAGTTCGAGAGGCCAAGGCATTCCGGGAAAGCAGCCATGAGAGCGACGACCACGGTGCTCCTCGGATCGCACATACACTGACAGCATGCTGTAGATGCCGACAGGTATATACAGTCCTAATTTAATTGCGCGGAATAGCACTAACGAGTCGAAGAGGAAAACAAGATGCGACCCAAACCTCCCACGCTGCTTGCCTTGCGAACGTGCAGGCGCATTGTGCGAGTACTTTGACACGAGCAAGGGGAAGAAAATCCCGCGGACATATGTGATAAAGTTGCAAGACAAAGTTCGAGCGTTAGAAGCAGAGCTTGGACAATATACTGAGGAGGAAGGCTTTCCACAAAAACCTGAAGACATCGTGCGGCCTGGAGGCTTAATCCGACTAGGCGAGGATGATGAGACACCCAGGTTTCTGGGGCCATCTAGTGGTATAGCGATGACAAGGTTGGTAATGGAGGAAGCAAAGAAATACACAGATTCGAGGACTATCCGTGAACTGGTGCCCGAAGTGCGTCAACGAAGGCCGCCAATCCAATCCCCAGAAACATCGTCCGGCAGGAAGAAGTCATATCCTATGATCAGTGCGGTGCCGGCTCCGACCCTTCCAAGCCGTCTTGTTACAGACAAATTGATCGAGGTCTTCAATCAAAAGGGTTAGTCAAATCTTAGGCAACCATTCTTTCTTAAACGAATATATTGCAATTTTGGGTGTAATGATAGCTTACTTACTTCAATGTAGCTCAATATCTTTCGCCTACCTTGCATGAACCCACATTCGCAAAGGACCTCCAGGAGGTTTATGACGGGAGCATGGACGCGCACAAGAATTTCGTTCTTCGAATGGTATTAGCAATCAGCATGCAAAAACTTGATGCTCAGTATTCCGGACTTGCAGACAGCTATTACCTTGCAGCCATGGCATACATGGAGGAGGTCATCCGCCCAAAAGACATCAGGACGCTTCAATGCTTAATTCTGGTAGCCCAGTATTCTTTATTAACCCCAACGAGAACTGCGATATATTACATCGTGGGTCTAGCTACGAGACTTTGTCAACAGCTTGGTTTGGCGGAGGAGAAGACCATCACTCAGGGAGTGTCACTAGGTCTGGTCAATCCAATACAGCTCGATATGAGGCGTCGACTATCTTGGATCATATTTTCCATGGAGCTGGGTCTTGCGCATAGTATGGGCCGGCCGAATGCATTTGCGACTGGGGAGGATCATTTTGACGTTGGGTTCTTTGAAATGGTGGACGATGAGCTAATCACTAAAGATGGTGTTCTATCTGGGCCTGTTTCTGAGAAGAAGGCAGTGGCGATACATTTCCTCCGTATGAGACTTTTGCAAGCTGAGATAAGGAGAGTCTTATACCAGAAAAAACGGGTGGAGCCGAGAAATGAAGACCATCCGTGGTACGCTGATATGGAGAAGAAGCTCAAAGATTGGCTCGATTCCTGTCCGCAGACACCATCGTGGAGCAAGTCATGGTACATGTCTGATGCCTTCTGCATTGATTAATATAACCTTTTGCTAATATTTTTGCAGGTTCTCAAGCCGATACAACACTATGATAGTAACGCTACGAAGACCGTCACCACAGGTTCCAAAACCAGTACCCAAATCAGCGATAATGTGTTATGATGCTTCAGCGCAAAACGTGAAAAGCTCTAGCAAACAAGTCGAGGCTGGAATGGTGGATATTACATGGATATTCCTCCTGACAGTCTTTCAATCGATAAATACCATCCTCTGGTCCATCTCATATCCAGAGGTTCGAGCTTTGCATACCAAGGACGAACTAGAAGAAGTTGTGGATATTGCTCTGGAGCTGATAACAAGCTGCCGAGAGAGATGGCCTGGCACTGCTGCAGCTTCGCAGCTGTATTCAAAATTGGCGAAAGCATGTTTGAGGAGCTACGACGTGCCGCCACCTAAATCTGTAAAGGAGCACAAGGAACAACCATTAGCACCAGCTTCTCTATCAACAAATTCTCCCGCATCCCTTACTGATGGTAACTCACCTTCCGCCTCTGAACACTCTTCCGCTACCAATGGCTCTATGGCCCATTCTCACGTCTCCTTCCAAACACCGCCTCCTCAGTTCGGGTATGTCTTCAATCAGATGCCAGAGCAGATACCGCGTTATGATTACAGCATGCCGCCACCGCAGCCCGCCTTCAGGTCCAACTCTATCTTCGGGCCATCAAGCAGGTCATCAGATCGTCGTTTCAGCTACTTTCCACCCGACTTCACCCAAACACACGGACTTGCGAACTCCTGGAATCCGATGCCAGACACTCATCCACAGCCTCAAGCCCACGCCATCAATCCAGGAATTGCAGATCCTGCTTACATGATGAACAACTCAACGTTCAGCTTTTCGTCTTTTGCATTCGGGGAACAAGATTACGATGTCCATATGAGACAAGGGAGCTTAAGTAGTCAACAACAGATCGAACTCATGCAGACGCTAGAGACTGATGGGATGGCGGAGATTGATCAGTTCATGAATATGACGACGCAATATGCGACTAATGCACCTCTGAAATTTGAAAATGGGGTCATGTAAATGAACAACCATCTCACCTAGAATGAGAGCAAACGTTCATTAGGCGGCTTCCAAGCCAGCCATGTTACAAACAGCCAGAAAATGTAGCAATTCATAGCGATAGCAGCTGTGGCCTATGGTATCATTTAGATACAGATAGAGAACGAAATCTGGCTCAGCACAGTGTGGAATTGTGAAAAGGCGAACAACGCCGTCATGGGGAAAGACGGCGCCCAGGAAAACAAGGAGAATACTGTCTTTTAGGTTACGAGTGGGCTGGTGACGGCGTTTTGGGGAATGGTAGTGATACCAAGCTTAGAGTCACGAGTAAACATGATGTTACGGTTTAATGATATGGTTTGAATTGTTCTCAATACATGAAGCGTCCATAAGAATAGTGATATGATGGTATATGTGAGTTTTTGTGAGGGTAAGATCACTCTGTTTAACGAACTTGGTTCGCAGATGATATGCAGATATTGAGAAGTTACCTGGTTTTTTCCGTCAAGGCTAGGACGATGTCTATTGCGAGGTTAGTATGGCTGCTGTGGGCGTAGTCAAACAGAAGTTCACGTAAAGGGATAGTTATATACGAGAGTAAAGTGTAAATATCATCTATTGTATCGACATTTAGTATGTACCAGCTATAAACCCTCTATCCAATCCAGCCCTACACCCCCAAGTCCAAATCAACACCCCCTCCCAAAAACGCCATGATCACATACATTTTATAACGATCTCGACCTCCTCATTTCACGCCACTCCTAAAATCCCCTTATACCTCCTCACTGTCACCAAGCTCGTAGTAACCTTCATACTCAACCGTCCATCAAGCACGTACTGCTCAAACTTCTGCGTCTTCAACAACTCCTGCTCGCACGAAAGCACTTTCTTCTTATGCTCATCGGGGGAAGTGGTGGGTAGATCTTTCTCAGCCCAGTCGAGACACGCGATTTCGTAGTGCGCCGAGGCGGGCGTCCAGTCGTCGTAGAGAGGGCGTTTGAAGATTTGGCTGCGAGTAAGTTAGTGTGTGTTAAAGGGAGGAAGGGAACAAATTTACCGGTCATGTGAAAGGATGTTGTTCTGCAGACTTGCTCTTGCGTCGTCGAATTTGCCCATATTTTTCCAGACTGAAGAAGCGACTAATGCATGTATGGCATTCTCATCTACATCGTTTTCGAACTTTTCGGGGTGAGTCGTGCGTTCCCACTGTACGCTCTTCAAACTCTTTTCTAATTCTTCCTGATTCTGTTTCCTCGATCCATTCCACAGATATATCATTTCCGAAAATGGAGAAACCCCGGTAGCGTCCGCGAGATCTACTTTCCAGTTCTTTGCACGGTCTTCCCATTTCTGGACTTTGCGTGTAATGTATGTATCGAATGGAAGTTCTTTAGACATGACTTTCTGTTTCCCTGCTAATGGCGGAGCCTTTCTAATATACTTCTCCGCTAAAGCCTTTTCTTTCTTAGCGCGGTCAGGATCAGAAATCCTATAATCGCGGTAGAGTTCTAAATGTGAAATACCAGTCTGATAGGCGTACATAGCAGGTGACCACTTCGACAATTCCGCGCACTTCATCCAGCATTTGATAGAGAGTTCGTAGTCGTGCATGAACATACTTGTAAAAGACATTTCGAAGAGGTTGATAGCGGCGATTTGTTTCATTTTGCTTTCCGCGTTCGATTCCAGAATTTTGATAGCGACTCCAAGTTGGCGGTCAAACCCTTGCATTCGTGCTTCTTCCATACGCCAAAGTTTGGATTCGGGGTAGCGTGCTCGCATATCTTTCAATAGAGCACGGCATCTTTCTTTTGGGTAGCCTGTGAGATCGTCCTCGGCGCCAGAATCTGTTGGTAGGATATCACTAAATCCAACTAGTCCATTGTAGTATCCTAATAACGCTATGCCAGCAATAGCGCTATTGAAATTGTCGAACCGTGTTGCTTGCCACAAGTAGCGAGTTCCGCGCTCGCGATCTCCTTTAAATCCTACAATATAAAGAATTTTGGTGAAAAGGGGATTCTCGATCATTGAAAAGATAACTAGGAGCATTCCATAACAGAGTCGTACACCTGAGTGTATAAAAATGTCGGTATGGGAAGTTATTCCAACAGAAGCAGGATCGATTTCAAGTAATCTTGACTGGACCATGGTTGCTGTTAATGCTGGCCCCGACTCATTTTCGACCACTTCATATTCATCTAAATCACTCAAATTCGAATTCTCGTTCGAACTTGGATCGATTTTTTCGTTGTCTGGCCCGAGGTCATGAGATATTCTCACTTTATTAGGAGTAGTCGTGGCGGGAGGTGGTCCGCCGCGAAGTGATGTTTTTGAAACATTACCCACTCTTGTTCTCAAGTACTCGGATTCAATCTGAAGGATACCATCAAGTGTTTGAAAAGCTTTTCTCAGCTTGTAAAACCCTTTGACTGCTTCTGTAACAGAGCCACTCATAACTCCACAAATGGCAGACGTAAGCTGTGAAACTGAATATAATTTTAGCGTTGAAGTCAAATGGTAAGAATGTTTTGACTTACCACAATAACACAAAAGATATTCCGTTCCAGCAGGATAAATTTTTGACCGGTAAGCTGTAGAGTCTTTTTGAGCTTTCTTCATATCATCCCAATTCTTAGTCTCAGAGGCGAGCAGTTTATTCAAGGCTTCCTTGACCATCTCTTTCTCGCCACCGAGCATGGAACTCAGGAAACTTGAGATTCCCCGACCTAAGAAGTGATATGAAGATTCATGCTCTTTCAGGATCTTGTCTGCTTCATCGATATCGTCATTGAGAAGTTGTAACAATGCAGTTTCGACATGTCTTAAATGCTTGTCCTCCTCTTCCGCTTCCATTGTTGGCTGGTGTTTCACAGCTGATCTGAACCATGATGCCATTTTGAATGATTGACTCAATGAGTGAAAGGCCGAAACACTTTGATAAAGGTATATGAAGTAGGTGGCAACTTCTTTCCCCGGAGCTAGTCGGCTTTATATCATGGAGCTAATCGAATCGTCGACCCTCCGAGTGATTGATCTGAATTATCTCATCAAGTTTGATTCACAGACCGTCCAGCTTGAATATTTCTATATGGAATCTCTTTTGAAGCACAAGGCGTACTGGCGTCAATGGGTACTTATTGGTCTTTGAGTCGTGTGATACCTTCGGAGAATGTGATGATTCGGGGAGCCAACAAGGTCAGCGAAGACACAGCCGGGAGAGCCTAAATTAAATTCAAACAGTTGTAGTTGGTGGTGTCTAATCAGCCTCCGAATTGGCTGAGAAGGCAGAGCTGTATAAATATGCTTTTCAAAGCACAATGACCGGACAAGAGTCTAACATTTTCTCAACCAACATCCAGTCATTGTAGTGAGAAAACAACCCCACTATGTAGATGCCCCAGTCAGCAAGTCGTCACTGCTCCAAAGCTCACTCAGCGATGCAGCTGGGAAAGCGGCGTCCGATATTCACTTCCTCTGCCAAGGACTGTTAGATACAGGCTGCCGCTTTGAACTTTAGTAAGGCTACCGCCTAGCGACACGCGCCGAAGCACGGGGCATTTCCAGAAACTAACACCCCGAATTCAGGTCCGGAGCGCCTCCAAGCCATCAACCTTCACGTCACGCATCTTGAAGCTTCAAAGCTGCATTTACCGCATACGACGAGCGCGAATACGACGCCCTTCCACATCTCTCAACATCCTATCACTCTACCATCATCGTAAGAGCTTCGTCATCATGTCCGCAGCACCTTCAGCAGGCGCTGCTGCGAATAAAGCCACTCAAGACAAGACCGCGGATGCTGCGAAAGATGTAAAGCCGGCTGCTGCCCTGGAGGAGGATGATGAGTTTGAGGATTTCCCTGTAGAGAGTACGTCTCTCTGACCTCCCAATCAAGCTCGATATCTGCGAGTATGGGTTGGGGGGATCTTTGGCATTGCAGCAAGGGCAAGGGCTAACATTTGGTTTGCAGATTGGACGAAGGAAGATACTGAGGTGCCAGGGGACAACACACATCTGTGGGAAGAGAGCTGGGATGATGATGATACCAGTGAAGATTTCTCTGCGCAGTTGAAGTCAGTATTGTTCAGGTCGTGCAAGATGAACCTGCTAACCGTAATGTAGGGAAGAGCTCAAGAAGGTCGAGGCCAGCAAAAAACGTTGATTACAAAACGGAAAATGGGAATCGCGGAGTTCACGGATCATAGAAGCGCCCAACAGCGGTAGCTATACACAATAAAAACATTTCAAAATCTATTAAAGTCTGGAGAGGGACAATGGTCAAGTGTGCATCAATTGCGCTGCTCAAAACTATATACGAACGGTATCATCATCAAGTTCGTTACAAGCTGGACTTCTCTCGGAGACCTTGATATCTTGATCAGAGTCTATGCCCTACTTCCATCACAATTCACTTACTCGACAGAGCAGAAACACCTGGGAGCTCCTTGCCTTCAAGGAGTTCGAGAGAAGCACCGCCACCAGTTGAGACATGGCTCAGCTTGTCTTCGACCTTGTATTTCGCAGCGACAGTTGCGGTATCACCACCACCAATGATGACAATTTTTCCGTTCTGTGCAGCATCAACGGCGGCATCAAGAGTTGCCTTTGTTCCTTTGGCGAAAGCTTCGAACTCGAAAACTCCTGGTGGACCGTTCCAGAGGATAGTCTTCGCACTGCTAATAGCCTTCTTGTAGAGCTCGATACTCTTTGGTCCGCAATCAAGACCCATCCATCCATCTGGAATGCCCTCCTCATCCGTAGCAGTTCCTGTCTTTGCGTCCTTGTCAAATTTATCTGCGGTGATGTAGTCGACTGGGAGAACGATCTCAACATTGTTCTTCTTGGCCTTCTCAACAAGATCTCCAACAATCTTGCTTCCAGCCTCGTCAAATAAACTGTTTCCAATCTTGACGTTCTCGAGAGTTTTCTTGAAAGTGAATGCCATTCCACCGCAGATGATCAAGCTGTTGACTTTGCCGAGGAGGTTGTCAATCAACTGGATCTTATCGGAGACCTTAGCACCTCCCAGAATAGCCAAGAATGGTTTCTCTGGGTTCTCAACAGCCTTTGCGAAATATTCAAGCTCCTTCTTCATGAGGAAACCGGAAGCCTTCTGAGGGAGGTCAACACCAACCATAGAGCTGTGAGCTCTGTGTGCAGTTCCAAAAGCGTCGTCTATATGCCAGTCAACATCTTTCGTAGATCACAATTCCCGAAGTCCACTTACTGATGAAAACATCACCCAAAGCAGTCAATCCCTTTCTGAACTCCTCGACCTTAGCCTTATCGGCCTTAACCTTCTTTCCATCTTCTCCCTTTGAGCTCCCCTCCTCCTCAGCATGGAACCGCAAGTTCTCGAGCAAAACAACCTGTCCACCACTAGCCTTGTTTACAATCTCCTCGACGTCCTTGCCCACGCAATCCGGAGCCATCTCGACCTTCTTTCCGTCGAGAAGCTTCTCAAGCTCCGGCACAACAGGCTTGAGCGAGAATTTAGGGTTGGCTTTTCCATCGGGACGTCCGAGATGGGACATGAGGATTACGGCTTTGGCGCCGTGGTCAATGGCATATTTGATTGTTGGGACCGCACCGGCGATACGTTGGGTATTTGTGACTTTCTTATCTCCATCGAGAGGGACGTTGAAATCGACCTAGAAAAGTGAAGTTATGGTTAGTATGTTGCTCTCGGGATTCGTGTTGGGTGTTTCGGGGAGGCTTGCTCTAATCAGGACGCGTTTGTCCTTGAGGTCAACGTCGGTAATGGAGAGCTTGTTGGAGAGAGACATGATTGTGATGGAAAGATTTAATGAGTTTTTCTGTACTTTGCGAATTTGTATATGGAATTGAGGGATTTGTTAGCTTGCTCAATGGTTGTCCAGCAAAAGAAAAGATGGCGTGGATTAGCTGCCCCTCACTCGTTTCGATTTGGTGGGGTGACTGACTGACTGCAGGAAAAGTATTGACGGCAGGGAGCGTCATCGGCTCGCCAAGCATGTGCAACTCGGGGATGGGAAGATTGCATTGGTCTACACATACATACTTTACCATTAAAGCCGTCTACTCATCGCGAGTGTGTAGTTTTGAAAAAATGTTGTCCCAAAAGCAATGCGCATCCCACGCGCGACATATCTCGGTGTGAGAAATTCGGAAGCAAATCAGTTCACGATAAGGAATTGATCAGTTCTCGAGGAAATTTTCTTTCCATTCTGCAATTTATGACTGCCATCCGGGTTCCCATATTCTAACGCCCCTGTGAAAATGCCGGTCCAACTCCTGTTTACCATGCAATGTAAAGAAATTGTACCTTGGTTTTCGCCATATATATACGTGTCTATGCCCTTACTCTTCCTGACCCAGACCTAGAAAGAATTACAACAAGCGGATATTAGGTGAGTTGGGTGCTGACCGAGCCTCTCCTTCCTCAGCAGAGTTGGAGAGCGAAAGATATGCCGTCCATGCGATTCCCACTGTGCTCACAAATGGCTTGAGAATATGTTAGCTATGACCTACAGCTTAGATAGAGTAAACTTACGAGCTGGAATTGGATTGGCATCAAACGGAAGTTGATGATTTGTACCAAAGGCCATACCATGAAGTTGGCCTTCAAAGTAGGAAGATACATGTCGCGGAGCTTGTGTGAGACGGCCCGTCGTCCACCGCCCTCTGCCACTGTCATAGCTGTGAAGAACACAGCAATTCCTGTTGCGCTTTAGCAAGGAACGAACGATAAGTTAGCAGACTTGTAACATACCAACTGGTGCGAAGATAAGTTGGTCAAAAGCAACCATCTTCATTGCTGGTCCGAGACCAGAGGACTTGGTGATAGGGAAAGCCCTTGATAGGAATGAGAACCACTTGAATTGAATAGGTGCCATCAAGAATCCATATCCCATGAATCTCGTCAATCTCTCAAAGTCGAACGGAGGTGGCAGAGCCTTTACATCCGGTATTAAAGTTTGCTGATTGAAAGGATTCTTCCTATCCAACTCATGGATCTCGATCGCAACAGTATCGTCTTTCGTTATCCCTCCGGGTTTTCTCAACGCTGATAATCGAATCGCGGTGATCGATTGGGCGACTGTGTCCGCTATTCCTCCCAATACCGCGTTCGTTATCATCATCGTGAGGACTGCCAAATGTTAATCGCTGCTGGATGCCTCGGAGGAAGATATGTACCTGGCCTCTCGGCATAGTAGCCATTAAACTTGGCTATGAGTCTGCCGACCATGGCGAGTTCTAGTAAAAAGATGCAGAGATGTACCACCGGCTGTGAAGCAGAACCAAGTTAGCAACTGAGATGTAACGTGTGCCATCCAAGCCAAGTAGAACACAGCGAGTCGGGGTCGCATAGACCAACTCCAACCTTCCCCAGCCCTTGTAGTACTCACCACTAATCCATATATATATTTGCTATTTATCGCGCGCATAAACCGTCGGCGGGGGACCTCGAAGAACATGTTGAAAGGTTCTTATGGTGAGAATCGATCGGGTTGAAGGGTAGTGTGTCTCTTCGCAACAATGACGACAAGCTTAAACAGCTTCTCCGGCGTGGTATTGGCTGAATGCCCGCTTTCTCGGCCGCGGAACGTCGTATTGTGATTCAGTAACTTAGATCTTCACAAGATAACAGCTTCGAATGTCTATTCGTTCAGAGAGCTGAAATTCAGAATACTTTGTTGCAGGCGCAATACTGGGAGGATCTGAAGATGGTGCCGATGATGGGGTTGTTTCGCGGCTCTTTTGGCCCGTTTCATTAGGACGTTTCTAGCCTATGAATCGTAGCGGGCTTGTACGACATTGAGCGATTATGTACTCAAAATCCTAAAGTGGCGCAGATTTCGACCTGGACTCCTGGAGGCAAAGTTTCGGGGCCTTCAGTCAATTGTCAAACGTATTTTTAGATCATTCTCTCCTTCGTCCAAACCTATTGTGATTACTGGATAAAATCAAAAATGAATATTAGTTCTTGATCTTTACACCACACTACTCCACACTCACTGTTCACTTGGAAAGGCCGAAAAAAATATCAAGTCTTCGAGTTCGATTAAATTCTATATGTTAATAGTCTCTCCTCTTTCTATTTTATGAATTCTCTTGCAGTAGTGGCATACCCGGTGTGCTTCGTGGAAACTGCCTCCGTCATGTCACTACATCGGTGGCACACCATATGGGCATTTATGACAAAACAGAAAGACTTTGCCGAGTTCGCTTTTATCGCTATACGCCTCATACATTTACTTACTCGGGGTATTAGTTGGAACTATCTTCCCTCCTTGAACATATTCACAGATTTCCTAGAATACCCAACCGTAACCGGCCATCCGCTGTAATCTGGCTGAAACAGAATAGCATCGTTACAATCAGAACCGAGACTCGTGTTGTTCAACCAGGCCGGCTCCCAATAGTGGACACCACGTCCTAGTCCATAAGGCACCGCCTTTACAATATCAATCACTTTCTTCACCCAGATCAGTTGTCCATCGACACTGTACGGGATGCTTGGCTCCGAAGACTCTGGGATTGGGTTCCACTGTCCGTTACAGATGGCTGGATAGTCTGTCTCAACGACTTGAAGTGGCTTGCGATATTGACGAGCAAGGGTGTTCAAAGAGTTCTTGAGGTTGTCGAATGTGGCCGACGTGCCATAAAAGGGATAGAATGAAACACCGATCACATCCCAAGCTGAAGTTGGAACTCCGTTGGCTACCAAGGCTCCATACCACTAACTCAACGTCAGAATAACTGCCTCGTTATGAATGTCAGATTTCAATGAACATATGACTTACTCTTTGCTGTAAGGTGACGTTCCACCCGTTATCGACATGAATCATCACTTGAGTCTTTGAGAATCCAGCACGATACGCATCGTCAACTCCAGCTCTGGCTGCTTTGTACAATGTTGCCAGACCAGAAAAGTTAGACGCCAAAGCGGAATCTGGTTGAATATCGATGTCAACATAGCCAAGCGGCCATAGCATACCATGCCGAATCTCATTTCCTAGAGACACCAGATCAAGCTTGATTCCAGCTTTCTTGAAAGCGACTAGAGTATCTTTCACATAACCTCGAACCGTTGATGCGAGCGGCTTGAGAGTGGTTGGCCAACCAGCTGGTAGAGGTTGCTTCTGTGGGTCCGCCCATGAATCACTTGAATATTGTTAATATCTCCAAGAAGGCTTAAGATATCTGATACTCACGAGAAGTGGAAGTCGAGGTAAAGCTTATATCCTTTCTTCTGAAACCTTTTTGCAAGCTCAAGATTATATTGCAACCCATTTGTGCCACTCTCAGGGTTGACCCAAATTCTCAGTCGAACAGTATTCATGCCTCCATCTCCAAGAATATCCTCAGCGGGCCGAGTTTTGTTGTTCCTGGCGGTATCTTTGAAGATGCTTCCCGTATCTTCAAGTGTTTTGAGTGAGCTCAAGTCATGCCCTTTGTAGAAGTAAGAGCCGAAGTTGTCTTGACTATTTGAATGTTAGTACACAGGTATTACCTTCTGAGCTTTCTGAAAAACAAGTACATACTTTGAATTTGAGCTTGGAGCTGCTGCCACCAGAGGTAGAGCTGCACAAAGGAAGGTGAAGAATCGCATGGTGGAACCGGTACAAGTAAGGAGACTTCAGATTGCTTCAACAAAACCCAAAAAAAGGGAATTTGCTCCTACTTATGTCCAAAGAAAAAAGCTCGAGGATCTACGAAAAGATGGACTCCATATCATAGTGCAGCATCAAGCCAGGCCAGGCCCAGGTACCTGAGGTGACCCTAATATAAAGATAGATGACATGGAGAAGCTCCATATTGCCCGCAGCCACGATTTTCCACCTACCATCAGTACATATACCCCAGATCAAGTGGATTTAGCTCTCCATCAATTCGGAGACTAGTTACGACCCCGCCATTTAAACGTGGACGGACGCCGGTAAAATCGATGGTGGGGAAGGTCGATGTTCTCTTGAAGCCCTCAATTGGAGCGCAAGCATTAAACAATTCCACCATCGGAGAGACTTATGTACCAAAGGCAGTCTCGAAGGGTTCTCGGCAAGGTCAACGATTGGACGTACTTTGTACAGTAAGCCTAAGGATGTTGATGTGTCGGAGCAGATGCGGAGGACAGGTATCAGGAACCTTGTTGGGTGAATATATACCGAGCTTCTCACCTCGCTTAATGTGGAGAAAACCCACCTAACAATCAGGTATTTACACGACGTCGAGAGATATCCTACACTTTACTCCCTCTTAAACAACCTATCTCCATCAATATGCACAACACTGATAGTTCTAGTTCATGTATCACTTGCTTGAAAATTCCAAGCTGTACTGCTAATCATCCTGTCCTCCACTCTAGGGAGATGACCAGGCCAGGCCTTGAGCTTCATGGTGGTAACTTCCTCATTGGGATGCCGAGGTACTAAAAACTATACTTTATTCTTAATTAATGGCCCCGAACACCTCCGCTTTACCTCGCCTTGATCTCTTAATTCCTTACACCTGCCATTGTTTGGTCGCAGGAAGGGTTCTTGCTACTTATAAGTTAGCATTGGAAAGTGCCAAAATATATCTCATAGTAAGACCATGTTTGTTTTACATTCTTTCTCAGATACATCTTCGATATCGTCACAATCCACTAACATTACTCAAAGAGATCTTATCCTCCTCCCCAAACGTCGAGTCTCAGCTGTGTATCCCACCATCACTTGTGGAAGCATGTGGAGGGTCCGGAGGCGGTGGAGGTATTGGATTTCTCAATGATACCATAGACACCGCATCTGAGTCTGACCCCCACTCACTCTCACTGGTCGCATACCCTTCTTCTGCATCAACCTGCCTGGTGTTGTGGACTTTATGAAAGTACCAATAAAACACAAACGCAAACCCAGTGGATGGCACTGTCAGAGCGAACCAAACCCAAATCCGAGCAACGGAATTGAACCATGGGTTGGTATCGAAAAATGGCATTGCCAGAATTGCCTATTTTCCTCTGTCAGTTTTGTCTTTATTCATGCGTCAATTTCAGTTTTTCATACCGCAAAAGAAGTTCCAGGGAGAAACAGCATTCCAGGTACGGCAATCGTCTTCATGGATAGACTATCTTTTCTCATCTCCTGTGTGAGGTTTTGAGCTTGGACTGCGATAGCGTATGAAGCTTTCGTCTCTGCTTGGGTTGCTTTCAGAATATCCTGCATAGCTCTACTACTTTTTAGCATTATCTTATCGTTTTCGAGATTTATTCGGTTGAACAACTGCAAGCATTTAGTCCTTAATCCACGAGACAGGATATATACACTTACCAAGGCGAGCGCATTTGCCACTTTTCTCTCTAGCTCAACTTCGTGATCTCGCAGTGCCCTGATCAGGGAAAGGATTTGGCAGAAATCATTCTGTACACGCTGAAAGCAAGCTTTTTCCTCGTCGCTGTTGTTACTAGATGTCATGACTAAAACATGTTTCTTAGAGATACCGTCCGCAATGTCTTCTATAGCCTTCAATTCTGATGCGTATCTGTATAAATGACCAGCCAGGGAATGAAGGTATTCGCTGAGTTCGCTGTGGGAAGTCTCAGCTGGCGTCCTGGAAGTATTGGCTTGTAGCTCGAACTCCTGCGGCTAGTCATAAGCTAATGGTTTACTATTATGAAGGAACACTGGAATTTACCCAATCGTCCAGCTCAACATTTACCAGGTGGAGATTCTCTCGCCACGTATCTGCTGCTTGGTTAAGACAGATAACGTGCACAAGAAATGGACTTTGATGGTATGTTTGCTCTTGATTTCTGGCGTGCCAGAAGGAATCCTTGAACCTTGTGGTCTGCCGGGAACTATTAGTCTCATCCCTGCCTACAAACGTGTCAATGGCGAATTCCACAACTACGCATCTCGCAGCTTTGCTTATATGATCGTAACGCCAGTGTATAGCAGAGTGAGCAGCTTGTAGATACATGTTTTTCTCGGAGATATAGAGGGGCAGCAAATGGTTCAGCTTTTTCTGTTTGCGAACAGCGCGGGGGAAGAATGCTACTTTACTGCTCGCTAAACATCGCGTTGGCAGAAAGTACCAACATTCGCTAGTGGTGGCATGTTCTAAAACCTGGAATACTTTTCTTCCTGCCACGATTGGGGCCCAGAATTGGCTGAGTGCCCTTGTAAAAGAGGGAGATATTTGGAGGCTTGACGCAAGAAACAGCCATGCATTTTTGCTGATCTGCAGTTTGTTTGTTTTATCTTGATATATGACGCTGTCTCTGGCGTTAACGATTGATTTAACCAGTAGAGAGTGATGCGAACAATATTTCGTGCAGTGCGTCTGTACGTTTCGTCGTCAAACATCGACACAGCTGGGTTTCATCTAGAGTCGTATCTTCAAAGCCTTCTTTCGATTCATCTGAGGATCTTAAAACTTTAATCGAAGTGTTTGTGGAAAGCATCCGAACCGCAAAATTCGAAAACTCCTCTATTATCAACTGACCCCGCTCTCTAATAGCGCGTTTATCAATTGTCGGAAATCAAAAGTATAGATGATAGCTTGGAACTTACATATATGGGTCGTATTCTGCCTGGGAGTATGGCCATCCTTCTATTTCATTCATGATTTAAATCCAGAAAATGTTTATAGGGCTTCAAGCGGTTCTAAAAGGGTGGCAGATCCAGCCTCCAAAAACGAGAAGGAAAACTTCAAAATGTGGCAGCCTTTGACCTTATATGCTCAATTCCACTAAGAGGCTGAGCACAGCCTTACTGGAATCAACTTATCGCTTATATACCGTATCTACGCCCACGCGTCGTTCAAGTGTGTTTTGCGCTGCAAGGCTGGCGGCTGAATTCCCAGGCGTACATTGAGTATATAGTGTGGTAGCACAAACATAAGCAGAGGTGCGTTGATAAAAGTCTGGTCACCTTTCGCCAACCTCTCGACATTGATGCCCAAGTTCATGTAGTCACAGCTGTAAAGCCTGTGGATGCATTTAGGTAAATATCCTACAAGTGTAGAAAGAGAACTATTAGACATTGAAACCACTCTTCAACACTTTGGATTTTGACCACCAGCAACATATACCTTGAACTTGAAACGAATACCGTGTTAATTCGAATCGTTCGCTAGACTGACTAAATCAGATCCAAAACAAACACTAGCATTCGCCTTGGAGTCCCTAGCACTTATGTGTAACTCGAGACAAGCAGTAAAACCGCAAAACGAGGACAGCTTGAGGGAATTCAAGTAGAGACCCATCAATGAAGCTCGCTTAGAACACATATTATTGATGATTCACTAATTGATGCTCGATCGATCTGAAAATGTGAAAATAATATGCACTTGCAGGACCGTACCAAAGGAGCCAAGTTGGACAACTTAATGTCACACCTCAAGGGATTCATACTCACATTCCACGCAATTAAAGGTCATTCGTCACCAGCAATAGTTGTCACAGTCATAGACGAACAAATTGGAAATACACTAAACCACCATACCGTCAAAAAGTGACTTGAGCGGAACTTGAGCCATGTACCGTATCCCACAACAAGCTTGAATTTTTTTTACAACAAACTCCCCTACCTGCAAGACCCGTTCTAACTTCTAAACTAAGCATCTAAATCTAATCAAAGTAGAACCACATATGCTTTTATAATTCTTAAGCTAAGAGCTAACGAATATGGTAAATCTCACGGAGAAGTGGTTTATGTAACAAGAGTTTTCTTAAGCAAGGCTTCTGCAATGCAATAGAGCCAACTGAGCGAAGAAGGACGTCTACTGGAGTCTAAACGTAGTGAATTTGAGCTTCTTGCTGACGTTGAATGATAGTAGATTAGTTGTTCGTTCCAAAGGTATTAACGGGAAGGGCGATCGCGTATTACTCAACAGAATATTGTAGACTACAGCTCGTGGCTGGATTCGCTTGCAGGATAAAGATATCAACAAGCCAGAAAAGTTGTTTTTTTGTCAAGGTTCTTAAGCTCCTCTTTCTTCCATTGAGATCCAGAGATAAGAGCAATGCTATCAGGCAGTGACACACGTGGTAACCGCCTTTATTGCCTACAACATCTCACATCCGAAGACTTCTCGACATATCACACATCTACACCCAAAAAACACAAAACGTAGAATCAGATAAATCTCTTGAATTCGCTCGCTACTCAAAGAAAATGGTACCACGCCAATATCTGATGTATATCCCGCTATGCCATGCTTGGAAGCCACCAATAGTAAGCCCATCCAACTAGACACTAAATGTTATGACTACCGATCGAGTAAGTCTTCATCAACAAATAACCCGGAACACAAATAAACCCGCTAAATTACAATTCAAAAACCAACAGGCTTCTAATGCAAGATGTCACCCAACATACTCCGTAAAATGTGTGATATATTACGCCTTCTTCTGCGAACTCTTGACCCGATGCCAGAGTCGCTTAAATCCAGTATTCTCCTTTTCAGCCGGCCCCCAACCATCGGCACCTCCATACGGCCCCCTCATCTCGAACTTCTCATCCATGTCTTCGATTAGTGGCGAGTCCCGATTACTAGATGATTTGGGAGTTTGCCAGCCGTAGATCTTGGATTCGTCCGCTCGTAGGTCGGGCCGGGTAAGCGTCATTCTCAAGGTCATTTCTCGATTACCCGCCGCAGCATGAGCGTAGCCCTCAGATTGTTTCACAAGCATGGGTTTTGAAATCCCGAGATGCGTATAATCTGCTGAGCTTTTGGTAGATTTGTTCCCGACCAGTGTGATTTCCGAACGACGTTCAAAGCCACCATCAACAGCCATAGGTGTAACTGGTGACTCAGGGTCTGCCATTGACACGTCGTCGTCGAATAATGATGCGGTATCGTCCAAGAATGAATGCCCGCTGGCAAACGACTTTTTGAGATTAGGGGTATCCTTGGACGACCTGATGGGACCCCTATTTTCCTTGTCGTCCCCGGTTGTGATACCATCTAATGATGGAAATCCGAATTCTATCGCTTCGTCGAATTTCTGCGGCGAGGCTAAATAGACGCGAAGCTTCAGGCGAGCTTCCGGATCCTGATAATGAGTTGCATTGGGATCTATTGACACAACTGAGTTGTGCACCCCGTGCTTGGGCGATATCATAGAAAGGGTCCTGGATCGCTGTCGAGTCTGGGTATTTGAAATCGATTCAGCTTTAGGTGATCGAGGCTGGAGTGATGAAAGAGACGGTCTGCCGAATGGAATCTTGGTGATTGAGACTTGTCGTCGGAATGATGGCCTTCGATTCGATCTCGGATCTGGAAGGACTGCACCATCAAGGTTGGCGTGGTAATCATCAAGCACTAATCGTAAATCCAGATTACTTTCCTCGTCCATCCAACGAAAACTCTCATATACTTCTGCAGGCATGGATTCATTCTTGTCGTGAAAGCAAGCTGAGCTGGGAGTTCGAGGTAGCGGCGCGGAGTCGGAGAATGGATCGACAGGCGGCAGATTCCTACTCACCCTCCTCCTTGCTTTAAAGATTGCTTCATCTGATGCATCTAAGATGACCTTGTCCTGCAAACGACCATCCAACATCACGCGCTCCTCTGCTGTGAAGTTCTTCCTCTTGATTTTAGGTGGAAGACTTAGGAACCAGGATGCTTCGTTGTTGGAGGATGGCCCTCTTCTTGGTCTTCTGGGCGATAAAGGTTCTCGACGGAGTTCTGTTATTGATGCATTGCGTCGATTGGCAAGGCTCGTTCGTTTTGGGTGTTGGATTGGAAGCTCATCAAGAGCTTGAGAATTGGTTCTCTCAGCGAGTCTTAGACGTTCCAGCGAAGAGAAGTACTGATGGTGATGTTAGTTACATATTGTTAATATAATAAGGGGTATCGGTGGGGGTTATTGTGCAGGAGGCACGTAAAGATCGTGAAGCGTTTGAAAGCTTGTGATGGATCTGTGGTCTGCATCGAAGATGCCCAAAGCGCTGCAGAAGTGCGCGGGAGGATGCGACTAACACACCGCTCTACCACTAAGACAAAGCTACGGAGAAAAGCTGCCGCTGCAACTTTGCATAGGCCGCGCAAAGCTATAGCCAGCGACTAAATGACGGCTCAGGTACACCCGTGAACTTTCTGGTGTCGTCAACCCACCGCCGCCGGAAGGAAACGTTGGGGACGGCTAGTGTCTCTCCTTTGCTGGCAATTGGAGCACGTCCAAGTTTGACGGTGTCGACCTGAGCTACTTCAGAGAGCAATTGATTGGAATAAAATGCGGAATGACTGAGTCGTTGCACTCGGTCTTGCTCAAAGGTCCCAGTAGTGGTTTGGAATATGCAAATTGGAGGTGATAGATGTGACTTTGAGACACTCGACAAACACTCGCTCGAGCGAAGACCATCAAAACCACATTGCCCATCAAATGCGTATCTACTCCTGTGTGTGTCTTTGCAGAATCATCCCCCATTCCTTGCTCTTGTATTCTTTGGAGTCAAAATATAGAAATGATCCCAAGCATACCTTTCTCCTCACTGCCAGCGGCAGAGCTTCGAACTCATCCTCGGTCGTGTCAAATCCCGTAAAGTCCTTCATGTTCTTCCTGTTTCTCCGAAATCGAGGAGTCGCTGGCAAACTGCCCGAGGACAGAGGGCGTTCGAAGGGCTGCGGTTCGAGTGCGGTTGGCAGTAGGAAGCCCGCGTTGAGGTCTGACGCGGAGCTCGAGGTGGTAAGTGTGTGGTAGTTGGTGGAAGTGCTGGTGATGAGGGACGAGAGCGACTTCTTTGCCGAAAGCTCGAAATGACTCCCGGATCCAGACTTGACTGGATGTGACCGCGAAGGGGCCATGACATGTGTCTGGAGTCAGGACATATATTAATTGCTGGAGTGGTGAATGAGAGTGATATTGCAGCTTCATGCCCAGGTGCTGCAGGAGAGATGCAAGTGCAGGTAAGCTTGTTGAACGGGATGCACCATCATGCACGGGCTCCCATGGGTCTTTTTTGTCCAGGGGCCAGCTGCGACCAGAGAGGACTAGTGGCAAGGGGTACCCGCCGAGCTTGGGAAGAGGCAACGACCGGGGACTTTGAGGCCTGCTGATTTTGGTGTTGGAGGCTCCCTTTGGCTATGGACCAGTCTGATCCTCGCAGGCCCTGGCCCGCCCAGCAGGACCCTGGCTTCAGCGAGGGAAATCCGAGAGTCTTCTTCTGGGAAGGAAAGACTTCTGGCCCTGGGAAAGACTCCTGGTCCACTGGGCAGCCTGGCTCGATTTTGTTTCTGGCCTCTCACAAGCAGCCAAAGACGATGACGAGCCTGGGCGCCCTGTGCTTGCTGAACGGCTGCCCACGGTGTCGTGGTGCGGTTGGCTCAGAGGCAGATACCTGGGCACACTCACACGCGCTGTTGGAGCATCAACAGCTCAGGAACGGGTTACGGGCGCGGTGGTGGACCATCTCTAAAATTCTAAATCAGTGTACGAATTCAACAGTAACATGGGGTAGTGGTCACTCCACCATCGTGGAAGGAAACGCTGCGTCAGTTACACCTCCAACGCCGAGGAACAACTCAACAAGCGCCAGAACTTCTACAATCCATGAGCCCGCAGCCTCCGAGAGATACCTCATCATCTTCGTCTTCATGCGGTACCACAAGGGAAAACATGACGACGGACGGTGAACGGTGACCCCTCATATTGCTTCATTATTAAACGCAATGTCCTGGACTTATGCATATGCAAACATTCTGGACCAGTAGAATGCGGCAAAGGCCGGTCCAAAGACACGAGACAGCTCCCCTTTTTTGCCTTCTACGCCGTGTGAAGGATGGAAAGCCTTCAAACGTTATACCGAGCCCAACCATATACAAGGCTCGCCACGTCTTGAAGCGTGGAATTTGACGCGTTTCCACAGCTCACCCACAACTCCACGAGTCTTGTCCCCAAAGCAACAGTTGTACGCGGTAGTGTGACCCGTCATCCGCAGGATTCTTTACCATGCTTTGGTTGTGTTGGCGATGCTGTTGGTCCGCCGGGCGAGATGATGAGATCTCGATGAGAAGGATATTGCACCTGATTCGTGGTGTTGTTGATTCGTCCAATCCGCCTCAATGTGAACGCGGCGGCACAAGACGCTGGGAATAGCTGCAAGCCAGACCGCATTTCTCCCGTTACTTCCACGTCGTTGGTCGATGCCAAACACCAAAATATTCATTCGACCACCAGTCACCGATCCCCGGAAGAAAAGTCCTTGGCTCGACGGTGCGAGAGGATTCAAAACGCTGACCACTGTGCCACGGCTACGAGAAAACTTCTCCCTGCTGCCGCTGCATACTCGTGCTGTACTTGCAGTTTGGTTTGTCAATAATCAACTATCCAACAGGCAAATATCTTTAGCATCAGTCTACTATGGCACAAGGTCCTGTCTGAAGCTGACACGCTAACCCTTGGGTCATCCAACATATTCGGCTCTGGTAAGACTTATTTTCCGGACTGTTTTCTCCATTTCCACGTATCGTCGAGCAGTTGATGGAAGAGTTCTAAAATCCAAAGTGGTACTTGAAAACGTCCGCAGTATCAGCCGTGTCCAGTTCGAGAATCAATCGTGGCTGATTGAGATACCGCATCAACCGTACCTGTCTGCATGCCGAGTGGAAGTTCTTACGGAGTACTTTCAGCCTTCGTACTCAAGACCTTTCAAAATGGACTATATCACCGATATACTATTGCTTCATATGGACAATCGACGCAGGAGAAGGTGATCAAAGCGCCCCAAGAAGCCGGGAAATCTCCATTCTATACAGAACTAAGAATCAGACATGAGGTAGTATTCAGTGCCTGATACTACTTTTGGTGATTCTTATCACAATAAAGGGTACAGTAATAGTAATTTTCTTACAGAATACTCTATTCCGCAGTTCTCGTTGGTTTCATATCAGCCGAACATCTGACCCGAAAACACGGTACGGCTGAGATGACAGGCTCTTATCGACAATTCCCATCTTTCCACCAGTGACAATTCTCAGATACCCATTTCGAAACATTTATTGAAGCCCAGAAGCTTCAACATGAACCTCAAGCTCCAGAGTCTAGACGTCCAGACCCCATCGGATGATTGCACAACCCGCAACAATTGCCACAGACCTTTTTCCGTTCCTCGTCCAAAGACCGATGTTCTTGGACCTCGAATCGAAGGTGGGGTAAAGTGCAAGCGTTTCATAAGGCTTATCAGCAAACTATTGATGAACTATCATCTCATCACGGGCCTTCCATTGCGGCATAATAGACTCTTTATCATCTCATTGTCACACTTCAAACCTCACGTTGCCTGGTGTTTTCATCACAGAACACGTTTGTATGCATACCCATGAAACAAGGCTGTAGCACCTGTACGCTTTGTAGAGGTACCTCACCTCGAGTGCGTTGGTATCTGGTCTCACGATACTTGAGGTTGCTCATTGTTGTCGGTACACGTCAACGTGAGACCACATTCAGTACCACAAATCTCGTTCGAGGTTACGAGAACCGGTTTCGTGGCAACAGAACCTTATCGAGTCGTTTATCTTTTCATCTACTTTGTACTACACAATCTCCATTGTTATGGTGGTACCGATTGTCTGGCCCGCAGCTCGAGGCTATTGCTACCGATACGTATCAGTTTGCAATCTGCAGGGAAAGATTGCTGCTGGCAATCATATCATTTTGTTTTGCAGATGGCCCGTGAAGTGGAGGTCACATTCCCATTCAAATGCAGGTGCTGAATGTGTGATGGCGGTTGGATGAATATTTCATTCGAGCGTCAAACACTGACCTCTCTCACGTCTACCCGCACCCTCCTCTTTTGTTTCCCTATTTTCGTTTTACCACCTCAACTTGCATCTGCAGCAGTCAACATTATGCAGCAGCATCGGCACAATGAACCGAATGGTGTGGCACCCCCCCTTCACAACCAGCATCACGCTCCTTCCGCCAGGAAGAATTCTTGTCACATGCAATGCAGGTCCTATACGCGTTGCTGGAAGAAACAATTTTTTCTGGATTTCGGCACGAACTTCAATTTTTTTGTGATAATTATTCTATTTGCTTTTCCTTTCAGATAAACGCTTATGCCTTACTTCGTGGCTTTGACGCACATATTCCTGTCTGATGTCTGATAAACCACAATTGCCTTCTGTATCGACTCTTCCCGCCTTCCTCGCCTCTCACCTTCTTCTCGCCTTCAACATACCTCGTGAACATCCCATTCTCCAAGCTTCGAAGGATTCAATCGAGATCGCCTCCTACGTAAATCCCCAAAACTTTAGTAATCCTCCTCACACGACGGACATTTAAACGAACATTTCCATCCTTCCTTCAACCGGGGAGCTGCCTAAAGAGATGTACGTCTCACGAGATAGTCACGTTTTTCCTGTCTGCGACCTTCCGTTTTTTCGAACATCTGAAACGCATATGCATATGAGGTAGCTTGTCTCACGTACGGCGAGATTTCGCACGTGTTCAAGAATATAAACCCACAAATTATCGTCAGCATCACCCATCACCCATCACCCAAGACAAGCACCCCCCTCTCCCTCGACCCCCCCCCAAAAAAAACAACAAAGATCCTCATCAATGTCTGAAAAGCTCCCAAGATCACCACCACCCATCTTAAAGTAGGAGATCAACCAAATATTTCAATGAAGATCAACACAATAGATTAATCTGCCCATCAACCCACCCTAACACCCATCAATAGTTTCCACCCCACATGTTCAGGGCACTCGGTCGATCTGGAGGGGTGGACCTTGCACGTCCTGTTGTCAGTGTGGGTTAGATGGGGGATGACCTTGTTGGGTTATTGCGAAATGTGAGCGTTTCGACTTGTCACTGTGACGGCAGTTCTGGTATGTAAGGGGTGTGGCGCGTTTATGATAGGACTTCGCAAGAAATGTTTCACTAAGAGGTTTTGACTAAATCACAAGAATGGGCTTGAACAAATCTTCTGATATTCATCATACGCTATTCGAACTGTTACAATTCATTCTCTTCGATTCCGCTCCGCTCCATGCTTCTGATTTGCACAGTCTTTTTTTGACAACCAACCAGAAGAGGAAACAATGCCTCCCCAGAATTCCCACTATCCATATCCCCATCAAAAAATAAGTGTCACTTGTATATCTATCGTAGCCTATCCTATTCGTATCACCCAAAAGCCCCATACGACAAAAGAAAATTCGCTAAAAAGCAGATAGAGAGAGCAGATTAGTAGTTTTACACCTCCTCGTCGCTCTCATCTCCCAAAAGCTCGCCTTCATCTTCGTCCACAACAGCGTAATCACCTCTTCCTCTTGCGAAGCTGTCGCGAGTGGTAAATCTCGCTGGCCTGCTGCGACCGAGTGCTGTGCTGGCTGAGCGCCATAAGCTAGATACAAGCAGTGGAAGAGCCTGTACAACGGCAACAATGCCAGCGACAACAAGCACTGGGTATTTGATGTATGGGGCCTCTCCATCAAAGGATGCTGGGACCATGTTAGAAATAACCTTGATTAGAGTATGATTAAAAAACTTACATTGTTCACCAAGTCTGATTTGTCCAAACTTGGATGCCCAGTTGCGCCAAACATACCAACCCACTCCAGCAGCGACAGCAATAGGGATGATGATAGCAAAGAAGATCCCTACACCAGAAGCACTATGCTTTTTGTTGAACTCTTCTTCATGCCCAGGACAAGGATGAGCTTCGCTCTTATCGAATTGAACACCATCGACACAAGTAGTCATCGGAATTCTGCGATAACCGGTTGGTGCATAATACTCTGTACGATCCGTGTCGACTTTGCAGACCAATGAGTGATCCGGAGGCGAATAGCCAGGAACAAGTGCACAAGAACCATCCTTCATACGCTCGTAATTGAAGTCACTAAACGTTGTTAGTTATAGGAATCAAGTGAGAGTCATGTAAAAACTTACCACTCGAAATCTCTCCTGGTGCAAGCACAATTCCTCTCAACATTGTGCATACCAGGAATCATCTTTCCATTGTAACAATCACTAGTAGTCTTTTTTCGGTGGTATTGTGAAACGTGACCAAAGAGACAGTTATCTTCTTGGTTTGGATGTAATGGAGTCCAAAGGTAGTAGTCTCCAGCCTCGGGGTCGTTCTCGTCGAGTACACATTGTTTGTTGGTCAAGCCAGAGAAATCAATGTTGATACTGACAGGTTTGCCATCTTTCATCGTCCAGATAAGGAAGTTTCTCGAGTTGTCACTTGGCAGAGTGCTGAGATCTACGACTTTCACCTCTTTGTCAGAGAACTCAAAGTCTTCCCAAGTTTTTCCTTCGTCCCGAGTGTAATGAAGAGTCTTAGTCGCCTCGCCATCTTTGACAATTACAATAATGGAACCTTGATCACCATATTCCCACATGTACTTTCCTTTCTTGACGGCTGACCACGAGACACCAGCATCTGCGGTGATGAAAGTGTCGTGATCGGCTTGAAGATACTCGCCAACATTACCCGTTGCAAGCATGAGACCGGTCGCAGAAGAGGAGGAGTAGGTATGAGACTTGTCTTCTCGTTCCGTATAACCATGAACGTTGAGAGAACATTTAGCGAGATCCCCGGTGCAGAACTTCTTCCCGTCTGCGTCTACTGTTGGTGGTTTCAAGAAAGTCCATTCGGCTCCGTCATTGTGCGTTATCATCGTCTTTAACTTCTTCTTTTCCTTTTTGAAATTCTTAGAATCGTAATTGGCAACAACATTAGCTAGAGCGACACCCTGGAGACCAAAAGTCTTCTCGAAGTCGACATATCCGACAGTATCTCGGTCCACCGCTGGAAGACTGAGTACGTAGGAAGTTCCGTTGGAATTGCTTTTAATGATAGCTCCATATTGATGACCATCAGTATTATCCTCCGTGACGTGCAAAAAGATGGAATGAGTAGACGAGTCAAGGACCGTGTATCCAGATTGGTGGATATGTTGGAAATTGGATGGAAATTGAACGGACGAGAAGGTACGGCCGTCCACACTCGCATTGACTTGCATTCCTGCTTGGGCACTTTCTCGGGTTGCAACGACGATGAATTCAGACATCGTAGCGAATTCTACCACGTTGGAGAATTGAACAGTACCATCATCCAAGAAGAAATTTTCGCTAGAGCGCAGTACCCAAGGATTGTCAGCGTCGTTATTCTCTTCCTTTTTGGCTTCGCAGTAGATAAGACTATCAAGCTTGTCATCATCTTTGCCGAGTTTCTCTTTGGGTGTGGTATAAAGCTTCTTCTCTTCCTTGACAAATTCGCAGCGCCTGACGTAGCGTTGAATTGTAGTGAACTCGTCACCTCGGTCTCGAGTTACTGAGGCTTCTGCATGACAATTGGTCTTGTCTTTTTCGCCGCAGTTTTTGGCGCCCATCCAGATGAACCAATCTTTGTGCTTCCAGTGAAATTCCATCACTGTGCCTTTCTCGATTGGTGGAGTGGGAGCATCGAAAGAACGAATGTTGTCTCCACGATCAATTGAATAGTAGACCTTCTTTGTACGGGTCAAGAAGTAGACCACATCCTTGAAATACTGGTGCGCATACATGACCTCAACTCCCTTATCTTTGAGTATCTCTTCCCAGGTTTTCCCATGGTCATGAGAGATGAAAAATCCAGCGTCGGTATGAACGATGACCGTCTCGTCTTTCTGGGTACTAACATCCGTCCGTTCCAGATAGACTTTTTGGTAAAATAGCTTTCCTGGGAATACATGCTCAGTCTTCGAAATAGCTCCCGAGGCAGGTTTGTCAGGATTGGCACTTTCTGTGCATTTTCGTTCGACTGGGTCATCTTTTTGTTCTCCCGATGTCCTCTTGCATGTATTTCCTGGAATTTTACGCCAGCCAGACGATCCCTTGAAAGTACTCTCTGCTTCCGGGTTTTTGCAAGCGCCTTCTGGGAGAGGCATATGAGCACCTTCTGCGAGATTACATTCCTTACGATCAGCACTTCGAACGAAGTTAAAATCGCATTCGAAATCATCATCTGTACAGTCGCAATTCTCGGTGATTACCTCGGGATCTTTGAACTCTGTCTCCTTCATGAAACAGTCCGCATCAGGTTTACGCCGGCTATAAGACTGTGTGTGGCCCATAAGACAAGACGGCTCGCCGTCCTTGTTCTTTCGAGCAACCCATGTCTCTATATCATCTTTCTTACACTCAGCTTCATGCATGTCGGCGAAATCGAGCGCAATGATATAACCCGCTGCCTCTTCCGCGTCAACGGCTTCGAGTAAGAACTTAAGGCTCGTGGAGTCTTTGGTGGTCGTCAATTGTACAGGGCGAACCTTTTCTGGAAGCGCCGCTGATTTCCAATCCTTGCCATGGTTCAACGAGTATTTTATCTCATCGGCTGATTTCTTGTCGTTAATGGCCACCAGAACAGATCCTTGGTCACCAATCTCATATTTGTGAGGACCCTTCAGGCTCTCAATCCAAGTCAAGCCAGCATCGTCGGAAACGTAGACGTTTCCCTCTTCGTAGGAGCCGAGATATTTTCCAGTGTTTCCAATTCCCATAACGATTCCGGGAGCCGGACTGGAGAAAACTCGCCCAGAATTCGACAAATCCGTAACTGAGTGTAGATGAAGTTCTTCGTCTTTGCATGTAGGACCTTGGAAAGTACGCCCATCATCAAAACTGATTTGAGTCTTGATCTTTTTCGCTTCGCCCTTCTTTTCGACTTGCTCGTAGTTTTCCACGGTGTTGACAAGGAAAATACCTTGAATACCAGACACTTTCTCGAAATCCACCATCCCGTATCGATTTCTGTTGGTATGTTCGATATTCCGAGTGAAATAGGTTCCGTTCGAATTACTGGTCAAGCAAACACCCATTGGCTGAGAAGGTCTGCCGCTAGTCATCACATCGATTTGGATACTATAGTTGGTAGATTCGAGAATTGTGTATGCTTTCTCCACCAGTTTGTGATCGTGTGGAAAGACAGCTCGGTGCCACTTTTTGGAGTCGTCAGATACATAGAGGGCCATTTCGTCGGTTCCTTCTGCAGAAGTGGCAACAACCAAGTATTTAGTTACGACTGCCATATTAACGACCCCATTGATGTTCTTGCCAGTTTCAAGCTCTGGCTCGAATTCGTCGGTGAAATAGCTGTCGGAAATGACCAGACGGTAGTCTTTGCTCCACGGGGAAAACTTTCCCTTCGCAATACAGAGAATTCGATCCGAGTCTTGACGTTCATCACCAGTTGTGAAGCCTGTCGAAGATACCGCCCAGTTACATCCCATTGTATCCTGTCGAAGTGGGACGGCGTCTTTGGCAAAGCCATTCGTAGTGTAATAGGTCTGATAAGGTTAGCATATTGTGAGTTACCTGGCGCTGGACCGTATTCTTACCAGTTCTTCGCAGAAAATGCCCGCACAGTCCATAGCGTTGAAAATGATTCTATTCGGATCTGTGGCATGGAAGGTCAAAGCCTCCCTGAATATGCTCGCCTGCGATTCTGCCACGAATTTCTGCCACGTCTTGCCCCGATTGATAGTGATATAATGTGTATACTCGTTGGTAATAATATACGCCCTCTGATTGTCAAATGGATGCATCACCAGCTCCATTAACTTTCCTTCCGGCACCCCATCCACCAGTTTCCAGGACACGCCTGCGTCGTCTGATCGGTATGTATTGTATTCATTCGCGTCCACCATCAACAAGGTATCCGAATCGTCAAAGTAATTCACATCTCGAGGGATGAAATCGAACTTCTTCTGTGCTACTGTTGGACCACCTTCTTTCTTTGCCCAAGCACCTCCTAGGAGAGTGCTGGTTAAGAGCAATGTCCGCCACTGCGTCAGCCTCATGGTCGCGAGGAACTGGGAACTGGGAAGCGCATTAAAGTTGGGCGACGACTACCAAATCTGCGGATGTGATTTTGAGAAGAGAATGAGGATATTCTGATGGAGGTGAATGACAAAATGTTGGATGAGCGAATGGGTTTTGTGTGGTGGATGGATTATTTGTCCTTTGACGTCTGAGTGAGCTCCAACTGTATTCGTAGTCGCACACGCCGCACTGCCTTCTGCGAAACACTTCGGCAGGAGCCTCTCGCCTCAGCCCCAGATGATCCGCACGACTGTGAGTGGTCAGGAATTATACGCAGCGTTCCCTTTCTGTCGTTTTTGCTATTCTTGGGAAGTTGTATGTAAGTGCTGATAGGATTTGAAAAAACGCCTTGTGTTGGTTGGACACTTTTAACTGTGTATATATTCCTTTCATCTCATCTATTTGGTTTTTCCGACAATGGACAAGTCCATTCACGATCCGACCCAGGCCAGGATGACAACTTGACAAGTGGCTCAAGCTCAGGAATGACGGTGGAAGTTAAAATGGGTCCTGATATTTAACTCCGATCAACTACAAAGCTTATTTCTCTTCCAATTCTCTTCATAAACGCAAGACGATGTGAGCTGGATTACCGGGCTCAGCATAGAATGCGGCGTCGAGTAAACTCAGTAATTGCGGGTTAATTGTTGAAAAATGCGTATACTTCAGTATATTCCTTCTTTGGATCAAGCCTGGAAGCATTCTTTGCCGACTAACTAAAATATCTCAAAATTCTCCTGATCTCCTGGAAATCCTTCCTCAAAAGCTTCCCCGTCCATAATACCATGAACGTAACATTCGCCCACAAGTCTCCACCTCTTTATCACCTTACCATCCGCATCGACCCAATCCCCGGGTACCTCTCTCACTACAAACGGTACCTGACTGCCCCAAGGCACAATAACCACATCACCCAGCTCACTTCCCCACGGAACTAAGCCCATCATCGCCCCTGCAAGCACAGCAAATCTCCTCTCAAACCCCTTATCCCAACAGATCCACCCCGCATTCATCACACCTCTCATGACCTCCCTCCACCCGTCGAAACTACCAAAGAATTCACTCTTTCTCAAGGCCTCACTGAGCGCCTCCCGGTCGTCCAGATCAACATTGAGATCCGTCATCGCCTTCCCATACTCCATGAACGAATCAAAAGTATCCTTGAACGAAGCAGGAGCAGGACGCGAAGTCTCAGTTTTGTCTCCTACAAGTGTACGCCAGAAAGCTTCATCGGTAGGCTGGCGGGTTAAACGGTAGACGTCTGGGAGATGAGACATAGCAAGTGAAGATGCTTCGAGAACCCAGGATCTGAAAGCACGCATACCGCCGACCAGCGGGTCATCATTGGGGACCTGAATATCTGAGCCCAAAATCACGACTGTGCCGATGACTTTGGCGCTGACTTTGATGCTCTTAGGAGTTGAGCCGCAGATTATGCTAGGTCGAAGATGTGTGGCTGCGTGGTAAGAGAATTTGGGTCGTAGTCCATGGGCAAGTGTAAAGGGAATCTTCTCTTTGCTCCAGTCAGCAACCCAACTCGGTATATCATCTCGACATTCCTTCCATCCAATTCCAGCAAATTGCAGTACTTCCAGCAGTTCATCTCTCTCTAAAAAGTGATCTCCAACCAGACACAAAACCTCTGAAATGCCATTTTCGTAATTGATCAAACTCTCCAAAGGCCTAATTCTTGTGAGCCCTATCAAAGCAAATACCTTGTCTCTAGCATCCGTACTTTTGAACCGCGAGAACCTTCTTAGTAGCATATATAAAGGGACGGATACCTCATCTGCCCACTTCCTGCGACAGAGATCTATAAGAGCTGCGTGCGCGGGACTAGTTGGCATTTCTCTCACAACAAATTCCTCGCCAGAATAGTGGAAGAGACTAGAGACTTCCGAGACTGCATCAACACCAAGGACATCGACGAGAAGAGTGAAATAATCCCACTTGAAGCTCTGGTTTCCATATAAGATGACGGCGGATGGCGCCACTGCGACTTCCTGAACAACCCAGATTCTAGAAAACCATGGGTGGTGCAACAACTCTATGAGAGCCAAGAGTCTTGCAGAGACGTTGTAATCTTTCCCGCGGGTCGCGAAGTAGGCGAAAGTATGGGCTGCGAATGCTTCGCGTGAAAGTACTTGTTTCAGCAGAACAAGCTCAGAGAAGAGTGCCATAGCCAACCATGCTGTGTCGCTCTCGCCCAGGCAGATATAAACGCGGTAACAAGATTGATATATTTCCCTCATGAGCCGGACTTGTGAGCTTCTCTCGGATATGTTGGATTGGTCGACACAGATAGAGTCAATCCAGATGTAGCGAGTCCTAAACAGAGAAGATCGCCTGAGAAGGATGGAATGGACTATATCAGTCAAATAGAAGCGGGTGTTGTTGAGAAGAATCGGATTGTCTTTGATAGGTGAGGTTCCCCACACGTATGATATAGCTTCATAAGGTATTGGATTGTCCAAATCCATGGTAATTAGATTGGCTTGGATGTAAAGAAATGGAATTCTTCGTTCCAATTTGAGCAGACGTATATGCCTGTTGGTAGAATCAAGAATTGAATATTCGAACTCTGGAACATCCTTAAGCAACGGATATCGAAGTACCAATAGCAAAATCCTAGCCACTGCAGCATGCCAGATCTGATATGCCCACGAATTATAGATCCCACGTTTCCATCGAGGGAAGTAGATAGACGTCCTGGACTGCAAAGAATTACAGTACCAAAGTACAGCCGTCGCAGCTTCAATAATTTTAACAAATATCCAGGTAGTCCACCTTGTTCTCCTCTCTCCAAGTAACCATATACCAAAACCGGCCGCAGCAACGGTCCAGGCCCAGACAGGTCGGCCCCAAAGAAACCTTAGAACGAAGTCGCCAAAATGAAGCATGGAAGTGACAGCTCTAATGCTGATCAGCGCAATAAGGTACCCGCCACCCGCTAATATCGCATCTACGAGCTTCAACGCTTCCTCGCTAGTAAGATCCCGCCTCGCGAAGCAAGTGACGCCGAAGAAGGTAGCTATGGCCAGAAAATGGTGAACTTGAAAAATAGGGAAGAGGAGCAGAGACCACCAAAAATCCCAGCCAAAGAATATGTCTACGAAACTAGCGACAGTGAATCCCCAGCACGATTTTCCCCACCAGGGTAGGAAATAGTTTTCATCGGTGAGGGTGGGGATTGCCGGGCGTCCCATGATTTCATCTGCTTCACACCAGGCATCGGTTGCTCGAGGATCCATTCTCGAGCTGAGCTGAGCTGAATGTGGTACAATGCGATTGTATATGTTGACACCATCTAAAGTTCGCTATGGAGAATGAGGATAACTGCGTAGAGAGGGCGTGAAGCTTTCCATGTTTGATGTCGTTTGCTCAGCTTCAGCCTCAGCCTCACTCCATACATATCCTTCCTGAGTAGCGAATCAGAGACAGCGAATGAGAGACCAAGAATTGCCAATACTTTCTCGAGCGTCCTAGTCTAGTGTCTGGTGACATGATTGTGGAATGCTGTCAATTTACACAAAGATACACATAGTATATGATATCAGACGGAGCTCATTGGAGAAACGTTTAAGATCATCGTACTTAGAACCAGAACCAGATTCGAACTGTCACCTCTGCCATCAATATCAACGTTCATCCTGGGAATTCAAGCATCCCAAACACCATACTTCGCCCTCACTTCCTTTTTCTACGCAGCACCTACTACAGATCATCCCCCTATGTGTCTTCGTATGTTCGCTTCCCCACGGTGGTCTTACTTGTGTGCCTTCAATCTCATCTCGATCGGGATCGATGTCGTACTCTCTCCCCACTCCCATATCTTCATCGGTAAACGCAGACCCGGAGCCTAGACATTCCCGAATACAAACATAACACGTTCGCTCTCCACATCCCTCACAATCCGCAAAGCCGTCAAGCTCATGTTTTGACGTTGGTTTCCGCCGACATATATGGCATGGACTTAGGTCAATCTTTTTCTTCACTTCTATTGCATCAGAGTTCCTTGTTTGCCCCACGAGTTCCATTATATCGTATAAACATTTAGGGGCTTCATGGTTGTTGAGAGGTATTACCCGTTGACGTTTATTCGATAGCGGCTTTATCGGCCTCTGTAAAGTGCGATTTAAATCCGAGAACTCGGGAGAAGGGGCACGATGAAAGAATCCATATGAACTATAATCAATCAGCTGCAAAGTCTGAAAGGAAAGGCAGGAGTCTCGGAAGGTATACCTGCAGCTTTTCCCACTCTTTTGCTCACAGTCATCCTCTTCTCGTCTTCGTTTACGCGTGTACTCCGGTACTTCAGCTATTGAAGGCATCTTGTCCTTTATTATTCTCTGGTGGCTTCCCTCTTGTGCTATTCCCGTAGTGAGTGTGATGTGAACTGTAGTTTATTGATATGAAGGGAACGTTCTTGTGTTGTAGCGCGCGCAGATCAAATCGTAGAAACAGAAGTCATTGGGTGATTGAGAGAGAGTAAGTTGCGAGCTGATAAAAGAGTGTCGTCGGATCGAATTCGATCTTTGCTTGGGAGATAGTAGAGACGGGACAGATCAAGGCGAGGTTGGGAAGGAGGGTGAGGTGAACTTGTACGGTGCCTCGGGTGCATACTTGAGGCAAGTACCTAAATACCTAGATTCTTGGCACGCTTTTAGAGGGCCCGCCAAAGCAGCGATCATACCACTCGGTGGCCTGGAAAATTGTAAAGTATATTCTTTTGTAATTTTTAAAAATAGCTGGGGAAACTACTGCTATCCGATTAATCGACGGTTTGAACCTCCAAACATTTATTAACCTACCAGAATAGTTTGAAAATCGCCGCTTTCCTCGACATCCCCGTTTCCGCCTTGTGGTGACTCCGGCTGCAGCCGTCCGGGTACCTTTTCTTAGTTCAGGTGCTTCAGAAGCTAATAAAACACACTACAGTACTCTTACTGTAGAAAGCCCACGCGTATGACCTGGACATACTGTATTACGCTAGATAGACTTTCCTTATATTCTTACAATTACCACGATTAAAGCCAAGGCACTTTGTTCGACTACAGGGGGAAAAGCAAAGGCTGTCTACACCAGACACTGCATAGCTGTTGTTCTGTCAGTCTTTAGAGATAGGTATCAATTCGCAACATAACTATGAGCGTCAATCATATCAATAAATTACTAAATTAATTATGTACGAATCTAGTTATGCAACCATCCTTCCGATGCTATACTCCTTAAACCGATGCATTTATTTTGAACATTTGAAAGTATTGCTGTCCGGAGCAACTCTTTTAATCCACTAATCCCACACCACTACTCCGGCGGCTATTTCCAAAGATCCCTTCAAAATTGTCCCATTTACATTTACAGCCTGCACTACCACCGTCTATACCTCCTGAGCCGTCGTCTGTGCCGTTCCCGAAAAGTGTCGCTGCAGGATTGAAGACTACGCCGCCAAATGCTCTTTCTTCCTGCATTATTTTTGAGCTATCGGCGATGAGACCCCCACGGTTATCCAGTCGATAGCAGTATATCATCTTTTTCCTTTGGTCGCCACCGTGACGATCGCTTGTGATGGTGACTGGATACGGAAATGAACCAGGTTGTAGAAAATCAGTTGAGGCGTTCCGACCTGCTGTTGGATGAGTGGAGTTGAGCAGGCGAGCGGTGGTGTTCATGCGAGTCCAGATCTGAACAAGAAATCTTGTGTCGGTCCATGTGCAACGAAACGCAGCTTGATCAACTTCAGCCCCTCCGTTGAGATCAGCTGGAACTTCACTGTCCGAAATATCGGTGCTGTTCAATACCTCGGCGGATTTGAGAAATATTGAGCGGTCGTGAAACGTATAGAAACCATAGTGCTCAGTAGGTAGACCACGGTCATAGAGACGGAGAGGCTGTTGAGTAGGGAGTGGCAGGAGAACAGCGGGAGCCGCGGACCCATCCGCGTTTAAGCTTGGTGGTGGAATAATAAGACCAAGGTCGGGTAATGGACTGGATGTGTTGTCCGATGCTTGCCGCGCCTCGACAGCTCGTCTTTTGACATTTGCAGGTTTAACGGCTGGGAGTAAGGAGATATAGAATGGAGTTGGCTCTCCGGCTTTGTTAGCAGAAATTACACCGTCCGTTGTATTACCCAGAAAGGACTGTTCACGGAGTAAAGGTGGCGGTGGTGAGGATACGATCGTGGTAGCCCTCTTTGCTTTGTGAAATAAGTGCCGTACTAACTGTCCTGCAGACACAGCATTTCCTGCAAAAGATCGAATGGCTAAGTTGGGGTTCCCTGTCACATTGGCGAATGTAGCGTTTGCTTCTGTGCTGTTGTCCCACTCTATGTTTAGCAAGAAGTTTGGTTGATTGCCCGAATTTGGTGCCACTGATGGCTGGACCTCTTTTGGAAGGCTACAGCTCCAAAGAGTAGCAGGAATAACGCATCCGGTGACTGCTGCTGTGTTTATTGGCGCAATTATGGTCGACATGCCAGCAAATATTGGCGGAAAGCCGGTTATGTTCACCCATTGAGATGGTTCAATGTCTGGGCTAGGACGTTGATGGAGTCCTATTGCTAATCCAATAGCAAGACCTATTATTATCAGGAATAAGACGATGAGCGCCAAATACCACCTCCTTCTCTTACGGCCTTCGGGCCCTTTCCGACCATAACATCCATTCTTGGGAATGCAGCCGCGGCCACGCCAAAGACCGCCGGCTTTACAGGCCACAGCATCTTCTTTCTCATTTCTTCTCCGTTTTGCCTCGGCTCTACGCGCTTTACTGGATTGGCTCCTGAAGCTGTCCGCGGTAACAAAAGTTCCTGCCGCATTATCTCTTGGTGGTAGATCCGCAGGATAGGAAGAATTTAGATTAATTGGGCCACGACTAGGTGCCGGCGAGGATGGAAGACCACGTATAGGGGCGGGTGACGCTGGAAGTCCACGACCAGGTGATGTCCGTGGAACCTCAGACATTTGCATTGCACCTGAACCTCCCATGGCATTTCGCATTCCAGGGGTTATGGGGCCCGGAGACATTGGTTCTTGATTGCTGCTGTGAAGGGTATGTCCGGGTGGAAAGAATGCTCTATATCGAGGGACATGCCCAGGAGGTGGTGAATACGCTGGAGGAGGAGTTGCTATAGGCGACCGAGGTTGACCTGATTGAACATTTACAATTACAGTTGGCGGCGGCTGCAATACTACCACTGGGGAAGGCTGCGTGGCTTGTCTCCTGATTGATGAGGTATCGCTAAATGATGGAATTGGATCGACTCTCCGTGGCTGTGTATATGGGTTATTGCTTTGTGCTGCCGCCAGGCTAATCTGTGTTGGTTCGTACGTCGATATTTGTCTCTGTGTCTGCGTGAAAGGATTGTTACTATGCATTCCTCCAGACTGGTGAGGAGAACCCGGTAATGATTCTTGATCACGAACAAAGTCTGCGTAGACTCTTGCTTGGTGCTCCGCTATACTCTGATGTTGTTCTTGGCCGTAGAATACGGGCCCAGAGAGTGCTCTATTCTTTGACCTAGGGTCATTATCTATGGTATTGCGCGGGATTTGCTGGATATCGTTCCCCTGCGTGCCTCGGATCTGATAGATATTTGAGTTTGAGGAGTGGCTGGAAGGAAAAGGGCTGATGGGAGACGCTGATTGTGGACTGCTCATTGTTCGATAAGCATCTTGATTTGGCGGTTGAGGGAAGACTCCATCAGCTAGTATGAATGGCACACTAGCAGTGGATGGTTGTGACTTATGACCTGTCCTTGGATCAATGGTGACTCCGACCGGGGATTTCCCATCCAGAGGCTCAGTATTCCACCAAGCATCCGACTGGATAGTAGTGGATGTCTCCGGTGTAACCGGCGAGAATTGTTTCTCCCAACTCTTTTGATCTCTGGTAGTTCCATACGCAGCAGCTGCAGCAACTGCTAGACTGGGCAGCGCAGGAGGTTGTTGGGGGGTAGCTTCAGGAGCTATGATGGTGTTTGAACGAGTCAAGAAAGGGGTCGTGATGTAATTCCACCAGCCCTTTGACTGTCGTCGTGTGGCAACAGTACTAATACTTGCATGCCGTCCCGATCGGAAACCATCAGCTACAGATATTGCACGACCTTTTCTGGCCATTACAGGGCTAATATCCTCTTCAAATACGGTACAGGAAGAAACTACGCGGGAAGTGTGCGCACTCACGTCTTCCCATACAGTACCATCATCCGAATCCGGTGAGAAGCAGCTCTTTTGAGCGGCCAATCGTTTTTGCTCGTCTTGAACGAACCCGGCGGGCAACCTGGGCACAGGTGGGGCGTGTGCCTGGTATTGCTCGACGCTGGCTTGCGAATAGAAACTTGACGTAGCCGTACGTGTGTTACCATTATATCGGTCGCCTTCGTCGATGGGAGACCATGTAGAGTTTTCTATTGCGGGCGTGATGATAATAGTTGGAGTTTCTGGAACGTGCAACGTAGGTGTTCGTTGCTCGTAGCTTTGAACGATGTTGGCGGTCTCTGACGAGGCGGTTTGAGGACTCGTAGTATATACGGGCATGTCGGAGGTAGGAATAGTAAACCCAATGTAGATTGGACGATCCATTGGTGATAGATCTAAAGTTGGATCATGAGGAGCTGGCATAAGATTCGTCGATCGGTTTCTCTCGGGCAGCGGCTCAACATGAGCAGTCGTTTCCCCCTTATTCTTCTTCGACCTCCAAAACCCGCCACCCGCTTCTCGGGGTGTCTTCTCATTGTTGGCCGCCTCAAGCGCAGCTAAATCGATGAATTTGCCAACGTTTGACTCCTTCCTCTGGTGCTGTGGCTGGGTTGTTGTTGCTCTGTGTCGCGTGGAAAAATCGGTAACTAATTGTATTCCAGCCTGAGCCTGTAGCTTTTTCTTCATCCATCTCGACTTGTTCCGGGCTGGTTTCTGAACAACCGAATACCGTTTTTCAAGCTTCTTGGTCGTGCGGCGAGTCAAGGGTTTTGAATTTGCATTAAGATCGTTTGGCCTTAACATTCGCGACTTGTTAGCAGACTTTGCTACCTCGCCTGACAGTATTGACTCATCGTCGTCATCCCACCACTCGTAATCGTCGTCCTCGTCGTCAAGGTTCGTTGCTGGGGCGTTGGTGGTCAACTTGGTACGTGGTTGATTGGGTTTGTATGGGTTGGAAAATGAACCATTCGCAGCTGACATATCTAATAGGGTGTCGCTCCGATGAGTAAATGATTTATATCAAAACTTGTGCTTGTAAATAGTGGTTGTAGTGGTATCAAACCCAATATTAACGTCGTTCGTAGCAGAGGTGATAATCGAGGTGTATGTATGTAGTGCCGATATTGCAATGGCTCGAATTTGTTCTGGGGAAAGAAGGACCAAGGACTGATCAACGAAAAACCAAACCAAATATTCGCGGACCAGAGTAGATAGCTTCCAATGGTGACATACGAAATAAGGGTAATTTGCCAGGTATTGTGTTCGAAGACAATAGAAGTGAGAGACAATAGGATAGGAATTTTAGAATCGTGTACCAACACCAAACGAGTGACAGTGAATCGGCAGTAACCCAAGCCGTGAAATCTGCGACAGATCAAAAAGAAAAGAGTACGTGTTGAGGAAGGAATGAAACTTCAATTATGGTCTTTTAGGCCACGACCGGAAGAAATCATGGCCTTGAGCAACCTTGACCTGCGACTCACCTCAGTCTAGTGGAGTCTGCATATCCCAATTACCAGAGACAACGATTCTATTCGACCACGGTCAGGTATAGTGACATTGGAGACTCCGTCTGAACCTGTCGTCGACCTCGTTGGCGCGGAGTTGTTGCAATACGCGCCGGTCGAAGCATAGTTCAGTCACGGCATTGGCTGGCGCTTAAACATGATGGCCCAATCAACTCCAGACGGAAAGCCACGGGAAGAACGAATTTAATAAGAGGAATCTGGAGTCCATACATGAAGAGCAGATTCGTGTTCATTTGGACTGGACGTACATCAATCTGGTCCACTTCATGTTGTTTCTTGTCGCAGTCGCTGGATGGATGGTGTTGAGAGCCCCTCGATATTGGACCCAAGGTGTTTCTGCCACTTTCACCGCTTTAGAATGTTCCTGGTCTCGTGACTCTGCGAATCTGACAGCCCCTGAAAGCTGGATCTTGCTTGGCGGTAACTCAATTTCCGGGGGTCTTCATGTCCCAGCTCTCCTTTCTCCTTCATGGAGTTGATGGGTGCCGCGAGCTACAATACTGCCAGTACTCCTCCACAGGTACCGTCGTACTCAAATACTGTAAACCACTCTTCTGCTCGGATATCATAACCAGATGCCGATGAAAACCATCCATGTAATAAGGCTGAGGAACCCTAGTTAAACAAGCGTTTGAAGATGCAATTAAACCAATCACAATACCACGGCGGGGGTTATTTTAGGACGGATTTGGACGAAGATGATGCCAAGCGATTGATTATCGTTATCATAAAAAAATCTCCCAGCTCATTTCGAGCACGCCAAAGATCCCCCCTGAACGGTGAGGGAAGAACTCTTTAGATAGTGTTCCTCACCACCATCTACTAAGCCTCAGCTTTCTCGTGCTTCTGCAAAAACAGTCGTTCATCCTCGCATCTCCAAATTTCATCACCACCTTCTGCCTTCACCAGCGCTGAGATTCACTCCTTTGACACTCCCGTATCGGTAAATACGAGAAACCGCAGAAACACCGACCACGCCAAGCCCAACCACAATTACTGTGTCCGTTTGCGCTCAGGAACACGAACTGACAAAGCCTCGCTGCAGCAGCATTATCATTACACCCGTCCGACGGCTACGGGTCAGGAAACGAAATACAATATTAATTGGTGAAAGGACCAACCTTTCGAGTACGAGACAACATCTTGTCCGCCGCCATTGTCGCGACTGCAGAGAGCAAACCTTAGTTCAGAAATACCAGACGGTCCAAGAGCCTTCTGGTGCTGCCGACCTCAGTCCTGGCGTCCCTTACTCCCACCTCTTCTTTTTCTACGGGCGGGTCGTTTTCACATCGTCGACGACGATCTTCTGCATCTAGTTCCAACGTACCATCAAACGTCAACACGCAAGAGTCGTCCGGATTCGACAAGGATAATTCACCATCGCGCAACGGCGTGACCATCCTACCTCCGATTCCTGGAACTCCAAACATCCCCATGACACTGTCGCGAAGTCCTTCGCCGCGGCCTGGTGGTGGGTGGGCGAGCCCGGGACTGAGCAGTCCTTATATCGATGTCAGCGGGAGATCAAGTCCTGCGCAAGGTTATCGCGGAGGTGCAAACGGGGGGAGCTCCGTGACTTGGGAATCCGCCAAAGCGAAGAGCGAAGGTGTCAATGGATATCCCTCGTTTTCAACGCAGAACAATGGCTTCTTCAACCGCCATTACAGAAATATATCGAATAGCCTTCCAAGGTTCAATGGCGGGTCAGATAAGAGCTACGCCGAGAAGGAAAAATTGGGGAGGGGACGGTGGATGGGCGCTCCCGGGAGCAGGATAGCAAGATTGCAGAATATTGCTCTAAGGACATCTCGAAAGACGAGGTTAAGGTTGCTTGGTGTTCTTGCAGTTATTGTGATGATTATCCTATTTTACACTACTCGTAAGTCCCTGTTTCCAAATTTAAATGTTTTGAGAGATCTGATGACCTACAGCTCTACATTACTACTGGAGACGAAATAAACACCTAGGTGGAGGCAAGAAGCACGTAATCATTCTCGCTGCTAACCAAGGTGGTGGTGTAATGGAATGGAAGGGGCCGAGAGAGTGGGCGATCGAGCGCGACAGTGTACGAAACAAGCGGAAGTACGTCAATAGATGGGGCTACGAGTTGGAAATTGTCGACATGAGTACCAAGAAGAGATATGCCCACGAATGGAGAGAAAGCTGGGAGAAGGTTGATACAATTCGAAACTGTCTGAGAAAGTATCCAGATGCGGAGTGGTAGGTAGTGTCTCTGTGGTCCATCGTTCTGTCTAACAAAGCGTCTAGGTTTTGGTGGATGGATCTAAACACCTTCATAATGGAGCCTTCCTACTCCCTTCAGTCGCACATTTTCAACAACCTCGGCAAAAACACCTATCGCGACATCAACGAGTATAATCCCCTTAACATTACTCACCCGTTCCCTGCAGCGCACCTGGACGCAGATGCTCTCAGCCCCGTTGGGGATGGAAAAGAGAGTTCCATCAATCTAGTCGTTCCTCAGGACTGTTCCGGATTCAACCTTGGGTCCTTTTTCATAAAGCGAAGCGCGTGGACTGATCGTCTGCTTGATGTATGGTGGGACCCTGTTGGCTATGAGCAGAAACATATGGAGTGGGAACATAAAGAGCAAGATGCGCTCGAGTTTCTATATATAAACCAACCATGGATCAGACCTCATACCGCATTCATTCCGCAAAGGAAGATCAACAGCTTTCCCCCAGGAGCTTGTTCCGAAAATGGCAACGACACACGTATACACTACAACGAACATGATCGAGACTTTGTTGTCAATATGGCGGGTTGCGAATGGGGTCGCGATTGTTGGGGTGAGATGTACAACTACCGCGAATTGAGTAATTTTCTCAATCGCAACCCTTGGGAGCTCTTCAAGGAAGAATTTGTTGCTGTAATATGGTTCAAGATCACTGGCAAGAAGGTCAGGCTATGATGAGGAGATGATGCGTGTAATTGTGGAATTCTTGCGTTTACTTGTTGCGCATTTGTATCTGGAATACCCCTTCCCTCGTCGATTTGCCAGTCCACGGAATATTGCTTTTTAGATTGGTTGCTTTTCACTTGGGGCATGGCTGCTGGGTAATCTGTGATTGTTTGACCTTTCCTTCTGTGCTCGTTCGCATGCAGAGAGGAGTTTTGCGAAACTGTATAGAGAGAAGATGGGGTTATTAGGATGACCATCATGTATCATATGACGAACGTGGGAGATGTTTGGACTTTTATTCGAAGCCCTCTAGGCGGGATGTTCAAAAGCTGCACTTAGGCTTAGATATAGATCATTATCATGACATTTTCGAGAATGAATCGTCGAATATCACCGCGAGAAGAGTGGGTCATCCTGAATAGGTCACGGTTGACCACTCAAGTAGTTTGAAACGATCGGTCGAGTAAAAGCTCTTCCAATATTCTCGCTTATTCCAGTTGACCAACCATTTATGCCAAGCACCTCCATTCTCAAACATCCGTCCTCAACCACACATTTTTCATAAACCTGTCGTGAAATCAAACTGCCATTTTCTCAGACGATGTCGGAGCGCTTGGCGCGACGAGTCTTTCTAGAATAAAATGTCCAGGCCATTCATTTCCTTTGTCCGCATCCCTCCTTGACACCTTATTGGTGTGGGTTGGAGAATGCCGTTTCTCAGCCAGTGCTTTTCTGGAGATGGGCGAGAGACTTCTAGACCTTGTTTGCTATTGATAAGATATGGAAGGGGTGTGAGTAGTTCTCTGCCCTTTTGCGTGGCGTCTCTGAGTCCGAGCTAGTAGGTTACTTGAGACGCGTCGAGCATATCCTCTGCTTTCTGCCTCCGACCCAAGATGGCATCTTGTTCCTTTGATGGCCTCTTGTTGTTCTGTGATTGCCTCTTCTTTGCATTTTATGGTCAGGGTGTTCATTGTTCTTCTTTGTTGCAGGGGTCAACCATTCTCTCGCTTTGAATCTCCTTTTCATTTCACAATAAGCCGATAAAGACATTGATTGTCTACCAACAGCAAATCACGAATCCCATTGTTCTATTCTCAGCCAAATACACAAAGCCATTCAGAGGACAATCGAACTGTACTTATACATCTGTCAAGCCTCTTGCACATTGCAAAGGGTTTTCCGATTTTCCCAACTCAAACACATCTTCCCACAAGATTTGATAAAACCAACATCAAAGATGTATAAAACAATCTTCACAACTGTGCTCTGCGCAGCATTTGCAAATGCTGCGACATACAAGCTTGCCGACTCTTTCGACAAGACGAACTTCTTCGACGGCTTCGAATTTTTCAGCCAAACTGACCCAACGAACGGGTTGGTCAAATATGCCAACATGCAATTAGCAAATACCTCGTCACTTGCAGGTTACGCAGGGGAATCGGTCTTCATCGGTACTGAGTCAACTCCCGGCGCTCCTCCTAGCAGCGTACGCCTCGAGTCAGTGAAAGCATGGAAGAAAGGTCTCTTCATCGCCGATATCAAACACATGCCCGGTAGCGCATGTGGGGTATGGCCTGCCTTTTGGACGTTCGCCCAAGATAAAGAATGGCCAAATGGAGGTGAGATCGATATCATCGAGAACATTAGCATGGCTAGCAATAACAGCGTCACCCTACACACTTCTGCTGGTTGTAACATGGATTCCAAAGGCTCGGCACCAGTAGCAAAACTCCAGCTGCCCGATTGTCTGGGCGAGGGCAACACAGGCTGCTCCATTCACTCGAACGTTCCGAACTCATTCGGTACCGATTTCAACAACATTGGCGGAGGTGTGTACGCAATGGAGTGGACATCTTCCTCCATCTCGGTCTATTTCTTTCCTCGGGCATCCATCCCAGCTGATATTGCATCTGGGAAGCCGGATCCCTCGAAATGGGGCGCTCCTCAAGCAAAATTCGTAGGAAACACTTGCGATATCGACAAGTATTTCTCATCCCACAAGATCATCTTCAACACAACATTCTGTGGTGATTGGGCAGGCAAGAAGTGGAAGGATAATGCATCGTGCGCGGTCAAAGCGGAGACTTGTGATGCCTATGTCAAGAACAACCCAAAAGCTTTTACTGAAGCTTACTGGTTGATTAATTCTGTCAAGGTTTATCAGACTTCTGCTTGAATGGCTGCGGTGCACTAGGGTGGATGATCTGCCGGGCGGATAACAAATGAATGGTTTAGACGAATATTTGATATGTTTTTTGTGCATTTCCCAGCGTGGCGTTCTTTGATTTGGGCGTGGGATTGATGATACATGGGTTGATTTTAGAGAGTGTGAATAGAAGGAATAAGATTGATTGTAAATAAATCGTAAATAAATTGTAAATAAAATGCAAGAACATTGTGATTAAGAGAATTATTTTCATCGAGGGAAGTTGGGTGATTATTGTACGTGATATCGACTAGTGTAGATTCTTACCAGAGCACTAATTCGGTTCTTCTGGATAAGCTGTGTTCCTGAAAATGGATAGTATAAATGCTGGATTCCACGCGATGGTCATCGTGTAGGATGTGAGGAGCGCATCCTGAGTTCGGCATATTTCTTTTTACGTGATTGAAAGGCAATTTCAACACACAGATTCGTCACATATTGCAGATTCTACAACATAATCCTCTGACATTCTGTAGCCGAAACGCTGTTATTCAATCCTGGAAGCGACACATTCAACCTATATGCCGTTAAGACCCTTTCTACTCACAGAAATTTCCATTAACCATTATGCTCCGAGCATGGCACTCAACCACAAATTCCGTTTGTTTCTATATTTTAGCTCTGAGCAGTGATTGATCTTCTCGCCCCCTTTCAAACCCCAGTTTAAATCCCATCACCGTCGTCTTGATATTATTCAGTAAGAAACATCCCAATCCCGAAGAATGAACAGGGTCCCAGCCATTCCATTGCTGGCTTCACCCCAAATTCAAAATCAATACGACTTGATTGTCTACACTTCATCTTTATTCATAAACTCATTCTCTCTCAACATCGATGCATCGAGCAATTTCTCTGTCGTCTCGATCTCGCTTAGAGGCAAGCCACGAGACCGATGCCGAATAGAGAGAAATAAGCTCAAATTGTACGTACTTACAGTACCCAGAGACCAGGTATATACGATTCTGTGGATGAGAACGCAACAGATTCTGCCCTTGTAAGCCATTTGATTAGTGTTAAATGGGTATCGTCCTATTGGCTCTTAAACCTTCGTGTAAACCTTTTTGGGATAGTCTTTAGGAAATTGTGAGGAAAAGGGAAGTTCAGATCGAGATCTACTTTTCCGGGTATTGTGACTTTTTTGTATAAGAAGGTAGGATTTTCCCCCTTAGAGATCTTTCTTTCTCCTCATCCATTGGTTTTCTCTCTCAAAGATTCAATCGAACAAACTGTTCCATCCACCTCAGTCTTACTATCCACACCCTGTTCTTCCGCTTCCATCTACCAAATAGCAAGAATGCAATTTCTCACCCCAACCATTCTTCTCACCCTCCTTACCACTTTGGCAGCAGCAGCTCCCGGCACAACTCCAAACCTACCTAGGGCCCTAGTGTCCGGAACAGCTACCTGGTACAACCAGAACGGAGAATTTGGCTCATGCGGAGAAGTCCACAGTGTAAACTTCCCCATATCATTCATTAGTCTCCCACATTAACCCCATCTAAATTTCAGGATTCCGAGATCCTCTGTGCCGTCCCACCCAGTCGTATCAGTGGAAAGTGCGGCCATACTTGCGTTCTCAATGCCAATGGCCATACTCTCCGAGGTCGCGTCGTTCATACCTGCGTATTCTGCAGTGCTACACAAATTGATCTCTCCGTTGGGGCATTCAAGGTCTTATCTAACAACAACCTCGCAGTTGGAACTATTAGCTTGACTTGGCAAGTCTACTAGTTCTTCCCAATTTTCCACTTATCGCTAATGCTGCTGTAGGGACATTTTGTAGATTAACTTTGTGCTTTCGAGGCTCTAGTCAGCAACTTTGGACTTGTACATCTCGAATGAGTAAATAGATAGATGCTGGAAATTTAGATATCGGAGCATCTGTCTAGAAGTGTTCAGTGTCAGAGGTTATGTCAATAATGACCGAGAAATGTACGCCTTTAGAAACATAACTTCGGCGGGTAAGATTTAGGTTACCGACAATCGAAAAGTTCGGCTCCAGCGAGAGGTTGAGTGATAAACCTTTAGAGATTCTGTCTGCTTAAGTATGTTCTAATCGGTCGAAACGTTAGTCTCACCGAGTTGTACTGAGTTATAGAGCGAAGATAAGCTTTTAAAGAATATTCGAGAAAGATGCGTACTATATAGTGAAATATAAAATGATTATATAGTTAAAAATATACTTTATAAACGATATAATGAACGCCAGTAGGCGAGATCTTGGTCCTACATTGGCTTCCCATCCAATTCGGGAACCGCCTTGTCAGCAGATAATTCTTGTGGTCTGAGTGCATCAGCACTATTATCGCTGGTGGTCACTTTTCCCATCCCACCAACAATTTCGCCATCTTGTTCTGCTTCGAAATCGGCAGGAACTGGTGGACCTGTGAATGTTTTACGACCCCGTATAATGTACCACACCAGACTAATCAACGCGAAGGCCATGAACACAACCGAAGCGTAATTCATGGATGTTGGAGTGACAGGAATTGCTGTTGGCATACAGAAAAGAATGATAGCCAAGCAGATCCATATAATTGTTGCGATGTTGATGAAGAAACCAAATTTTCCGAGCGAGAAGGTTGAGTGGCGGACAGCTTTTCGACCGCGAATAACTGAGACCAAAATCGGGATGCCGTAAGAGACTGAGAGACAGATAGTGGCTACTCCGGTGAAAGCGTTGAATGCAGACGTAGAACCGAAGTAGATAACTCCGAGAATGCAATCTACAACGGCAGAGAGAACCAATGCCCATAGAGGGATATCAAAGCGCTTGTCAACCTGTGACCAAAGCCGTGATCCTGGAATGGCCCCGTCACGCGCAAAGGCGTAGGTGCAGCGGCTGGCAGCTGTTAAAGCGCCAACCCCAGCAAAGAAGAGAATTCCTAAAATGAGGAAGAGAAGCGCAAATCCTCCACCCGCCGATCCAGTTGCAGTCTTGAAAATTAGACCAATTGGCTGCCCATTGCCTACTTCAAGTAAGAGTGAGACATCTGGGAGAACAAAAAGGATGGGAATCAGATAGATGATTCCAGTGACACCTGCTGCTGCGACTGAAAGAACCATGGCTTTTGGGACTTCTCTCTCTGGCATCTGGACTTCCTCGCACATGGATGCGACCATTCCGTAACCAGTTAAAGTATCTACCTTTTTGTTAGTGGATTCTTTTGCATTCATGCTGAGAAACTTACACGCTGCCTGCAAAAGACCGACAAACCACGCCCACCCTGAAGGCCAACCGCTTGCGCTTGCATCGAAATGAGTGAAGACAAATTCCGCGTTTCTTCGATCATCCGACATCACCAAAACAGTGACGATAATGATGATAACTGAAGCACCAGTCCAGTATATACAGATCTTGTTGATTAGATCCAGGTATTTAGCGCCGAAAACATTGACAAGAAATGCAATTGCCATTACAGCCCAAAACATGAGTACTACCTGCCATTGAGTCGCGACAAAATCTTCATTCCAAAGCGTGATTGCAGAAAGAATAAGCTGAGCCCCGGAAAAGTTGATACTGAGCGTGACAGTCCAATTACCAACAAGACCGAGCCAGCCGTCTACCCAACTTACGATTGGAGCCCATTCTTTCGTACTGAGCATAGCAGACCAATAGTAAACTCCACCTGCAGTTGGGAAGACAGCGCAGATCTCGGCAAGAGAAGCTGCGATACTTAAAGAAATGATTGAAACAAAAATCCATCCGTAGAGTACAGTTACTGATTGACCATCGGTAAGTGAGATTGCCAAGGTTGTAGATAAGCCGAAGGGTACGGCCATAATAGCAAAGGAGCTGATCAGATTAGCGATTGCTTTGTCCATGGATTTGCGATGACCAACAGTCCTAGAATACTCATCATGCTCAAAGACCGAGGAAGTTCACTCTTGTAACCCATCTTTTCCAGTGCCGCATCTGGGTTAGACATCCTCCGGCCCATCTCCCCATCATTTCCCAGCGACGTTTTGGCCATCTTGAATCCCTTGATTTAGAACTTTCTTAAGAGTTGAAAGGGGCCAGGTGCCGATCGAGCGGTTGTTGGCGCTGACGAAAAGTGATTTCTCGCCGTGTAGGAGTTCAGAAGCTCCAGCTCAGCTCTCGGTCAATGGTCGTCAAGATATAGATATGTATAGAGGAGTATCTTTGCCCCTGTCAACTCACTCGGCCGTTCTAGATAAGAACTTGGTCGATCGCGGCAGAGGGCGTGGAAGGATGGACAAGAAAGGTGCGGGTTGCCGGGTACAGACAGTATTGGTGCACGAGGGCGCAGTGATATCATTAAAACGAACCCAATGTTTCACGAATCACAAAATCCAGTGGAATAAATTAGATGGGAACTTGATAACGCGTAACGTGCAAATATGGGTTATTGATAAGTTGAATCTTTGTCAAGAAGAATTGTCAAGAGTCCAGGGACCTGGCTCTTGAGGATTTGCTAAGTGGACGCGCTCTGTTAGACTTTCCATGGTTCAAACGTAATGAGAGCATAAGCGAATCCCACTTGGCAGCAGACTTGGCGATTGACCGGCGAGACCGTCACCAGCCGTTGACGGCTTGAAAAAGACTCGTCGAGAACCGGTCTTGAATGGCACTTGTTGAAATGCTTAACGTTCTGCCTTACACCTGAAGTTGTGTATATCCTGGCCTGGAGCATTTGAGTGTCAAGGAAAGATGAGTGAAGTTGAATTTTTCAACTGATGCCACTCGAGTCAGGGAGATTTGGAGTACTCCGGTGCATGACCACGACGATGAAGGACTCCGAGAATCATGAATTACTAAAATCCAACAGTCAAGAGCGCACAACAATTCCCATTTCTTCACCGAGTGAAGTGTGAAAAGGATTGTGCTCTCGCTTAACAAGGGGAAACTGAATACCTCTGAAGTGTGGCCTCGAGTAAGTCGCAAGTCTGAACCTGAATCTTCGATTGACCTAGTGCTGGTGATACTTGGTCTACTCCATGTGATGGTACAACCACAGTACCAAAGATTTTGACGTTCACCAGCTTGTAGTAGATGTAGTGTCGCTGAGGTTGAAACTGTATCTTTTGTGAGTTTATTTGGGGCTCAGAACCAAGTTGAGCCAGAGCTGAAGAAGCTGTACCATTTCGAGTGAAAAGATAGGCTAGCAAGTGACTTCCGAGGTCCAATTGTTTTCGTTATAATTCAAGTAGCATTGTAGTGTGAACTTTCAAATGTTGTGACTATGAGGCTCTTGAATATTGAGGAGGAATTTTGAGGAGGAACCTTGGAAAGCCACCAAAAGCCGTTGCTGGCTCCGTAATTCACCGCCAACCGAACCAAGCATTCTGCCGCTCCTCCACACCTGCCCATGTCATCAGATGCCAATATTATTCGACAAACCTGCCACCGGACTCGAACTGGACAGGGGAGGGGACACAATACCTGTTGTTCAGGACACCACCACCCCTAAGTCACGAGCAGACATATCCATTAACCAGTCTTGTACGATAGCTCCGAGCCTAGCCACTATGTCATCAACAACAAATAAAACACCTCCAAGGACAAATGGACATCGACCTTCTGCAGCTTCCAGACACACTGCGCCCCCTACTATGGCAATGAATGGCCATTTCGCATCTGTCGGCGATGCGCCGACCAAGGAGCAGTATGAGCATGGCATCCAGGTTATAGATGAGGAAAAAGTGTTCAAGTAGGCATTTGCACTTTTCCAAGCGCTCCCAACTAACACAGAGCCCCCTAGTCCTCATGTCAACACCTATTTACAACTTACCAAAGTCGCACAAGCTGGCTTCGATTATCACCTAATATCTGTCTTCGGATCGCAGTCGACTGGAAAGTCGACCTTGCTCAACCACCTTTTTGGCACCCAGTTTGGTGTCATGTCAGAAAACGAACGGCGGCAGACCACAAAGGGAATATGGATGTCGAGGAACAAACGAGACGACGGCAAGGCGCCGGACGCTGAACGAATGGCAAACAATATTTTAGTTATGGATGTGGAGGGTACCGATGGCCGTGAGCGCGGAGAGGACCAGGATTTTGAGAGAAAAAGCGCTCTCTTTGCTTTGGCTACTAGCGAAGTCTTAATCGTGAACATATGGGAGCATCAGGTTGGTTTATACCAGGGAGCGAATATGGGCCTTCTCAAAACCGTATTCGAAGTCAATTTGCAACTCTTTTTGAAGGATAAACAGTATGCTGTTCTTGCTAGTAGCCGCGACTATGCTAATGGCGTCTTAGATCTAACCCTCGCTCTCTTCTTTTCTTCGTCATCCGCGATCATATTGGAAATACGCCTCTTGTAAACCTCAGGAATACTCTTTTGGCAGATCTGACAAATATTTGGTCCAGTTTGTCAAAGCCGAAAGGACTAGAGAAGTCCAAGATCGAAGACTATTTTGACTTCGCATTCTCCACACTACCCCACAAGATCCTACAACCGGAGAAGTTCGTAGCAGAGGTCGAGAAGTTAGGCACAAGATTTAGAAGAGGTCAGCGCGCTGCAAGGCAGCATGGATTACATACGGATCATGAGCTTGAAGGCGGTATATTTTTGGACGAGTATCACAGAAGGATACCTGCGGACGGCTTCTCAAAGTATGCCGAAGACGTCTGGGGCTCCATTGTAGCCAACAAGGACCTAGATCTACCTACTCAGCAAGAACTTTTGGCACAATTTCGATGCGACGAAATTACGCGAGAAGTACTAGAAGCTTTCGATGTCGAGATTCTTCCCCTTGAGGAAAAACAAGCTGAAGGCACTCGATCGGGCAAGCCTACTGTGTTAGCCAATCTAGGAAGTTTGGGCAAAGGTGCTCGAGTGAAGACTGTGAAGGCATTCGAAACAGAGGCAAGTAGATATCACAAAGGTGTTTATGTCAGGAAACGCGTCGAGCTCGAAAGCAAGATTGATGTGAGGCTGAAGGCCCTCTACGCTGGACAATTAACAGCAGCTCACAAAGCTGGTGTCGCATCATTTAGTGGATCCGTCGCCAGTGCAGTGAAAGCCGGTCAAAAGAAGGGCGCTTCCTACGAATTTGCGGACATTGTGGAACGAGAAAAAGCGATTGCGTTGAAACAATTCGAAACCGAAGCAAAGAGTCTGGCAATTGAAGGTGTGCCATGGAGTAACTTCAAATCCCAGTACAATCTCTACGAGAAAGAACTTGACGAAGTCAGTGGACGTTTACGCAAAGAGGAAATGCGCCGACTGGCCACACGCGTGGAGAGATGGGTTCGTTCGAGGCTCGGCGAATCTATCGGTCTTGAATTCAACAAACTTGGGTCCGGACGAGGAGCAGGCGGTGTCCCAGAGGATGCCGTGAAGCCCCCAACGGAGAAGGACTTATGGGATAGAATATGGAACGTTTTCACCTCAACCGTAAAGGAAGCTGAAACTCGTTTCGTCGAAAGAGCAAAGAGTTTTGACGCAAGCCAAGATGAAATCGATATCGGTTTATGGCGACTCAGACGCAAAAGCTGGGGAGTACTGAGAGCAAAGGTTGACGAGGAAGTGATGGAAGGTAACATTCTTCTCAAACTCCGGGAGAACTTCGAGGACAAGTTTCGATATGACGAAGCTGGTGTACCGAGAATTTGGCGCCCCACAGACGATATCGAGGGCTTATACACCAAGGCTAAAGACTCGACTCTCACACTTATCCCACTGCTGTCAAGGTTTAGGTTGGCTGAAACATATGGTCCACCAGATCTACCTGATTGGATAGGTGTCGTGCCTGCTAGCGTGGATCCCAAGGATGAAGAAGATCTAACACCAATCGGCGGCGTGGATGAAGAGGAGGGCAAGAGTTTGGAGGAAGAGATGACAATATTAAGCGAAGCTAAGCGTCAAGATCTTGTCGTCAGATTCAAAAAGACCGCCGATGGAGTCTATGTCGAAGCTAAGAGAAGTGCTATTGGCGGTGTTGCCCAGGTGCCCCTCTACTTCTATGGACTACTTTTGGCGCTTGGGTGGAACGAGATCGTTGCTGGTAAGTTCGACCGTGTTCTTGTTGTTGAGGTCTATTTACTGATTCTCTCTAGTTCTTCGGAATCCAGTTTACTTCATCTTTCTGATCCTGCTTGGTGTTGGTGCATATGTCACATATACCCTCAACCTTTGGGGTCCAATGCTCCGTATGACTAATGCAGCATCATCTCAAGCCGTCGAGATTGGAAAAGAAAAGCTCCGCGAGTTCCTCGAGAACTCGGAGACAGGCCGTCAAGCAATCGGCATGGCGCCAAGAGGCGACAGCGATAACATTAGCATGAATACTCTTGACAGCCGGGGGAAGCGGAAGCCTGCTGTGGAAGATGACGACGATGATGAGATTTGAGGGGGGTTGGATTATGGGCTTTTGGGATCTTGGTTATGAATGGGATGATGGGATGAGGGACGGGGTTTTGTATGATCAAACAGGAGAAGCATGTATGCCACTGCTGGTGTACTTTTATAGCGATGAATCGGGGTAGATGATTGTTAATTGGTAGATGCCGAAGCGATCTCTACAAACTCAACACTCACATTCCCTACGCCAGATATGTTTCGATGCAGGTTTCCTGGGTGACTGAAATGGCTGAAGGGAAATACACAGGGTAGGAAGGGGATTTGGAACCATTATCCGCTCTGCTCTGTTGTCATATCCTTCCTTTCGACAGGTTACTAGCGGAAGCCAGTCTCTACCCGCGGACGTTTTAGGCAACAATGTGTTCAGACCGACACTCATTTCATCCAAGCGACTTTCACTTGTGTTGCTTTGTACATTGAACTATCGACAAGCGACCGCGAAATTCTCCTACTATCGCACCCACATAACTTAGGGCAATTTCCCCATAGATAGAAAACCCGTCTAGCGTGCCAGCACACTTTTATTAAATTCACCTTAGACCGTATCTTGCGGTATTTTCAATCTAGCCGACAAGCCCTTATGTTTAACCAAAAACGTTCGTCCAAGCCGGGTTCACAGTCCCCGTTGCATCATATTCCCAAGAATACCACAGCACACAAATCACCAGGTTCAGTACGAACAGGAATAAAGACATACAAGCCACAGTATCAACTGTTGGGATAACAATCCGAACCGCTGAGACTGCAGACTTTCCATCCTGTTCTACCAGAAAACCTTTTGAATCTTTCGCCTTGAGCTGGATGAGCAGGATTCCGGCAATGTTAGGCCATCGCTTGCACGTCCATGACACAACTAGGTGGTAGGCATTCAAACACTCTACCGTAAGGACGGGCGCCTTCACCAAGATCATGATTGAGTTGCTGTGTTGGTCCTTGTGGGATAACGGAAAGATTGCCAACACCGCCAGATACACTGCAATAACATATCCAAACGCCCATATCAGCTGCTGCCGCTGTGTGCTACAAGGATCCACCAAATTTTCAAGTGCCGGGAATCTTCGCTTCAACATTTTGCAGACTGGTTTGCAAAGGTTTTCGACTCTAAGGCTGCATGGAGTTGAGTACTGAATCCCTGCCAGTATGTACTCGGAAAAGTTCAATGCTTTCGGCTCTATACGGTCGGGGTTTATCATCAGGTAGGTGATTGCTCCAGCCGTAAAAGACGAGGATTGTATTACTAATGGCAGTACCAAAATGCTGCGGAAAATCCTGAGGAGTGCTTCGGAATTGATGCAGTACATCAAGAGACGGAAGTGAGCGAGCATTGAAACTACTAGGAAGGAGACGTCCAGAACAGGCAGTTAAGTTCGATCATCCGCCGATACGAGTCGGTTCAGCCATTCCGCTGGAGGTATGTGGTGTTCGAAAATTGAATCTTCATGATGATCAGTCGAAGTGAACGCAATAGCAACAGGCTCCGGTGCGGGAATCTTAACACTCGATTCTTGTATTTGCTCCTGTGTTCCCAAAAAGTTGGAGTACTTATTATCCTTCGTGGTATCGCACTCCGCCTTGTGATATGTTTCCACGAAAGACTTGGTTGTCGTTGACGACCATTGGGGAATTTGCTTTTTCTCCGACGAAGTAGAGAAATGAGCAGACATAGCGATCATCTCGTTGATCACGAACGAGGAGACAAACATGAGACCCCATATCTTCGACCACGGAAGTCCCGAAACCGAAGCAAGACGAATGACAGACGGAAGTGTCCCGATCAAAAAACAAAGCCATCGTGTCCAACTGTTATTCTCCGTCCTCTCCACATACCCGCTATCCGATCTTGTTTTCAGGATATGAACTTGCTTGCAAGCTTGAGTGTATGAAACCTTCTCGAACATCATGCTATATATGATTCGACTGATCGAAAGCAGTGTATCTCCTGCGCACAAGACTGGGGAACTAGCTAGGTAGACGCGACACCGGGCAGGTAATCCGAACATCTGACCAGCTGGCTGAGCCATGGAATTGATGCCGATTGTTGCTATTATCCAGAATAAGACATATTGTGATACTGGATTGCATGGGCGTTCAGCCACGATAGACAAGGCTGCGTTGTGCCTATTTATAGGAGGCATTTATCTTGAATTCTGGAGGCTTTGAACGTAGGAAGAGGTAGCTGACAGGAATTTGATGCTACATCTCCCAAATTTGTATTCATGTACAAAATGAGCAGACGTGATGTGGGTTTTGGACGTGGATTTAAAGGAACAGGTTGAGATTCGAACATTAAATCGCTCTTACAGTTGAGGTTGTAGCACTTTCATAAGGCTGAACTAGCGCCCGGTGGCCGAATCATCATGGAAAATGGAGATGGATCCCGCTGAGTTATGATGGAGGCTGAAAGGAAGCCCATAGTTCGGCTGCCACGTCGACGTCGTTCAGTGGTACAGTAGATCTTTTTATATCCTACGCCCCAAATGCCCGTGGATGAATGGCTATTGGTACGGGGAGTTTGTGCTAAAGAAATCGGGACCTGCCGTGTTCTGGAAATGACAAACCATCAGGCCGCTTCGAATTCTCCGAAGACGTATTTCAAAGGAGTTTAGATCGGAATATAAATGACCCAATGGGGAATAGGTGTGAATATATACGATTTATGTCCGAACAGATGTCTTCTGATATCTAGTAATTCCCCTGTGACCTATCTGGTTCGCCTAAGAGATTCTGGAAAGCAATGTGTACTTCTTCTGTCAAGTCACTGGCTTGCAAACTCCTTCCCTTCTTTGCAAATGCTAGTCTTGAGCATTCCTATCTCATGTTAGCCTTATAACTCATCCAAAATTGAAAAGCTTACCCTTGTAATGGAGCTGCCCCCAAAAGCAGCTAACGCCAATAACTCCTCTGATCCAAGAGACCCATCGTGATCCCACAACTTTTCTAAATAGGCCGACCGCCAGGCTAAAAATGTAGCAAGACTTCCTGTCAAAGTATCACCCTGCCCACCACTTCTCTTCAGCCCACCCTCAAGATCACTAACAAAAGTCTTAACTCCGTTGCTAATATAATCATTACCCCCCTTCTGTAAGATGGTCACTCCACCAAAAGCCTTCGACAAAGTCTCGGCTCCCTTTCCATTGTCTAACCCTGCCGGGTCGATACCCTTGGATTTGCACAGACGCCCGAATTCCACAATATTAGGGGTCAATATACACTCCTTGTATCCATGCACCAATTCCGGTTTCGACTGTGCGATCATCAACCCATCCGCATCGAGCACAAAAGGCACATTTTGTTCCCTCGCGGCAACGATCACCTTTTCGCAAGTCTCCTGCATTAGAGGATCGCGTCCTAATCCAGGGCCAATTACGAGGACGTGTAAACGGGGAAGCATGTCGATAACCGCTTTGGCGACTGTCGAAGACGTATCATCCGGGTTTGCGTGCATAGATTGCCGCATCAGAGGGTGAACCATCAGGTTTGGAGAGTAGGATTTTATTACTTGGGATGCTTGGGGTTCGCATATTACATGGCTCTGAAAAGGTAAGTGTTAGCAAAAGTTTCGACAGAGGAAGGGGTAGCATACCAGGTCAGCACCGAGCTTCGCGGAGGCCATTGCTGAGAAGTAAGGAGCACCAGTATAATCTTCACTCCCCCCTATCACTGCCACCCGTCCCAACTGTCCTTAAAAATGTGTTAGAGCGGACATTCATAATGATGGGATGAAGTACCTTTGTGGAACTTCTCCAGCATGGGAGGAACCATCTTCTTGACCTGCCGCAGGATGTCTTTGGTGGCTGCAGACATTTTGACGGATTCTGATGACATTTGGAGAGTCAATTGCGAATCTTTCATGTCGCTCTAGGTTATATGCAAAAGAAACTTTGTAGTATGCGGATGGAGGTATTGATCTCCTGGTGCCAGAGGCGAGGTGATGTCACAAGCAAAGATTCAGTATGTACGGGCCGTCCCACCATGACGGGCCCCGGTCGACGTCAACAAATCCTCCTAGCTTTAATACTAGTTTTGTTAGTTTTCTTTGGAGCAATCTCGGTTGTTAATTAATCTGCTTGAAGTTTGATATCTATTTCTTGAGGAGCTGAAGTTGCTCCGTTGGTCGATACCTAACAGATGTACGGTTTGCGGCTTGCCCCGCATTGTGGAAGCAGGTCGGTTAGAGGACCCCTGGCGAGCCCTGGCTCCGGAAAGTAGTACGAGATCACATAATAGCATTGATGGGGCGCTATTTTTTTATTTTTTTAAAAATCATAAGCTAGTATTAGTATACCATGGTGCTGGTAAATGGTTGAGTTTCAAAACCAAAGCAGAAAGTAGTCTTACTCCTCTCCGCGCGAGAAACAGGACTTAGTCCTTTAAGATAAAAATAAAGGGGCGAATGTATACACCAGTAATTGTAAAGTACATATGCAAGAAAGAAAGATTGATCAATGATAATTCTAGAAACACAAACACAGTGAGCTTTCTTAGTGAAGGTAACGAAGAGACCCTGTCCACTTGATCACAAGACAGTATCCACACAACTTAAGAGTAGGGCTGATATAAGATCACAACGCCTAAATTTGTTTGCAATGACTACCCCGTATGTCCTTGTATGTAACTCTCTTCTACAACACTAGCATACCAGCAATAACGAGTGCAATAGTCGAGACAAACCCAAAATTTTCCCTCAAAGTAAAGACTGTTCTTGTTGCAGAAGATTTCGATGAGGAAGATGCCGACGCTGACGCTCCAGTTGCGGTAGAGTCAGTAGCAGCTTGAGAGTTTTCAGTGGAAGTTCCTACACGATTTAGTCAGTGTGTGTTCATGCCTGTGCTGCCACCTTCTCGCTTACCATTGTTCTTCGCCGCCTTCTTTGCAGCTTTGGTAGCGGCGATTTCTGTGCAAGCAGACATGAGAGTGGTATTGCTTGTCAACGCATCGAGTTTAGTTTGCGCTTTCACCGCCTTGGCTTTGATGTTATCCTCCTTGGTAGTATTTCCATTACTCTTAGCGGCTAGAGCTGTCTCATTAGCTGCTAATGCTATGAGCTTGGTCATGTCGGTGATATCTTCACAATCGTCCTGAAATGAACATTAGCAATCATGTCAAATAGCATAGAGAACTATGTCAAATACCTTGGTCTGTTCGGCAGCTGCCATGACCGAGCAAGTCATGGTAAGTGTAGTATTGGCTTCCATTGTAGCCAACGTAACAGACGCTTCAGATGCCTTGGCTTGGATGCTTGCAATTTTTGTTGCATTGTTGTTTGTTTTGTCTGCAAGTCTGGTTTCGTTGGACGCGAGCTCCACCAATTTGTTAAGTGACTTCATCTCTTTGCAGAGAGATTTATCCGTAACAGCCTTGGTGGTCGAGTTTCCTTTGCCACCTTTGGCGAGAGCAGACGTGGCCAATGCCAGTGACAGAAAAATAGTAGAGAACTGCATGTTGCGAAATCGTTGTAATGAGAAGACAAATCTAACAACGATACTTGTAGAAGGGAATGTAGCGACTTGGAGATATAAACGGACCTGCCGAGAAAGAAAGAATTGGAACCGTATTGATTTGGCAGATGTTGAGCTCATCTATAAAGGAGGCATTGCTGTGGTTTTATGTATTCTCAGTGTATCAGAGAAATAGACTAGACTCTCCTCTACAAGGCGTACGCAATAATGAGACGGGACGACACATCCATAAAGGCCCACTTGAGCTGCTGTCAACGTGAAGCACTCTGATGGAGGAAACTGAAACGGTGTCGCAATCAACTGATTGTCCTCAGAGCGAGGACGAAGAGCTGCTTGCAAAGGTGTTTTTGAAACTGTCAATTCGTACCAAACCCACCCAAGATTCAAAGCCGTCGACCCCACAACGCAGCCTTTCCTAAAATGATTGGTGACTCAAGAAATGGAGTGCAACTTACGGATTGCACGGTCTGGCTATCAGCACGCCTAGTGGAACGGCTCCCCTCGTCAATTCCTCATTGGACCTAAAATACTATTTCTAATCCGTTGCTTTCTATCAATTCCTAAGTGTGAATTTCACTTCAGAATCAGAATTTCTTTTATGTTCTGAACGCGGTCTGCTGATTGGCGAAGATGAGACGAAGCGTTTGACGCCAGAATTGAGTGACGAATTCCAAGTGGAGACCGCAACATCGCACTGACATTTATACAAACGATTGGATATCATCACGAAACCGAAATAGAGCGTTTCTCGAACCTGAAAAACCGCGTCGGCTGTCGAGTATACTTGTCGAGACAGACGCATGGTCTGAAGAGATGTACTCATGTGCTTTCAGATTCGTAGCCTATCAGGGAGGCCTCATGCTTCACTTTGCAACCCTGTTGAATATCCCTCGCCAGAGTCAAATACCCGCGCAGTGCTTGTTCGATTATTCTTCGAAGGAATCATGCTCAATAATGTCGCGAAGTGGTATAAATTTCGGTGGTATACAACACGTGTTGGTCGTCAATTGCCTTTTTGCCGTCTCTCTGCGTTAAGTTGCCTAACGACTTTGAGCTCCCGTTTGTTGAATCTTACAGCTTGTCATTTAAACCTTGTTCATGTAGCTGATTGATGTTGCTGTTAGTGGACGTAGGCCAGGTTTCTTCCTAAGCGAGGAACCGCTTGATGGTGTTGAGCCCAAGTATATACTTCTTCAGCCTAGGATATGCAAGGAACAAATAGACCTGAAGCATTAGATTTCTTTTCCTGGTCCAGATCCCACGTCAAGTACTCAAACCTTCATGAGTCTTGCACAATCATGCTTGTAGACCCATCGACTTCAGTATTCCTTGTCAACGTCGAGAAGATAATAGGCATAGGACCAAGCGCATATTTGCCGGAAAACTCCACCGTAATGTATGAGCTGTTACTGATAGACACGCAGTATAATGCAGAAGCACTAAACTCATTGTTGGTATCCACTGCTAGACGTTCTCAGTCCTCGATCTAACATTTTCAGAGGGAAGTGCGCTGGAGAATGGCGTAAAAGCTCTTGTGCTGAGCAACTTCCTTCAGCCTCCTTCCACTGGGAGGAAATCGACCCGTGAAAGCGCCCTGAATGCTGCTACAAGATTAGTGTTCAATCGACAAGTGCAGTTACTTAGATGATTCTAGGACTGGACGTTGGCGGTGTAACATTGACCTCCTGTCATACTCCCTCCAAGTATGTTTGCATGGTCCGTGCGGGGACCCCCAGCTTCGAAAGCTTGAGTATCAACAGGTTGCACATTGTAGTGGAGACAAAGGGAAGGGCGGCGAACATCCTAAAGTGTACCTCAATAGCACTGCGATCCGACTTGCGCACTCGTTCAATATTCTGTTGGATCTCGAACATCGGAATACGTGTGCGACAATTATGGTGTTCCGGTCTGAGTAAGAACACGGTAGCGCAGTTGAAACCCTCAAACTACAACACTGCCGTAGATCATGGCTGGGCGACACGAAGACGCCGCACATCTCCTACCGCTCGACGACCTCCCTTCCTCGAGCAGAAACTCGGAGGACTCCATCTCTTCTGCATCAACTACAAGCCTAGTCTTCGAACGTATCAGTGAACGTGTGGAGGCCGAGAAAGTTGCATCCTTCAGTGAGGAGGGGAATATGGTTACTCCGAAGTTCCCACCAAAGGGGAGACCTATGACCTTGCCCGACAACGGTCGTGGGGGACTCTATGAGATCGACGAGGAGAAGGAGGAGGACGACCTGGAAAGCGGTCCCTTTTTGAACAATGGGAACAACGACGGCAATGGTGCAAAGACAGTAGATACCAGGCTTCGAAGACTTATATGGATCGTTGGTGGTATTTTCGTTGGCGCATGGCTGCTTGCTCTCGCTCTTTTCCTGGTCCGGCAAACGTACCGGCACTCATCCGACATCCCTCATGATCCTACTGCGACGGGCTCTCGAGGCTCGGGAAAGAAGGTTACATTGGATCAGGTTATGGGTGGACAATGGCGTGCGCGAAGACATGATATAAGTTGGATCGAGGGTGCCAACGGCGAAGATGGATTATTGCTAGAGCAAGGCGCTTCGGGCAAAGATTATCTAGTCGTGGAAGATGTCAGGAGTCAGAAACAGAAACCTGGCACACCCACGGCGGCAGCAGCGAAGACATTGATGAAGCAAGGTTCCTTCACATACAATGGCGAAAACTACAGCCCCAGCAAGGTCTTTCCGAGCAAGGATTTGAAGCATGTCTTGGTCGCGACGAATACACAATCAAATTGGCGACATTCATTCTATGCCAACTATTTTATTTTTCACGTTGATACACAAACAGCAGAGGCATTGGACCCGGCTGCTCCAGAAGAGAGGATCCAATTAGCAAGCTGGAGCCCGCAAAGCGACGCTATTGTATTTACGAGGAACAATAACCTCTTCCTCCGTCAACTATCCTCCCAAAATGTCACACAAATAACGACTGATGGCGGGCCCAACCTATTCTACGGCGTCCCGGATTGGGTCTACGAAGAGGAAGTGTTTTCCGGGAACAGTGCCACGTGGTGGGCGGAAGATGGCAAATATATCGCATTTCTACGAACGAACGAATCTTCAGTGCCCGAGTATCCTGTCCAATACTTTCTTTCCCGACCGAGCGGCGAGAAACCTAAACCAGGTCTCGAAAACTATCCCGAAGTCCGAGAGATCAAATATCCTAAAGCTGGAGCGCCCAACCCAACAGTCGACTTGCAATTCTACGATGTTGCCAAAGGTGATGTATTTGAGGTCAAAATTGCTGGCAGCTTTCCTCCCGACAATCTACTGATTACTGAAGTCGTCTGGGCCGGGGCTACAGGCAAGGCTTTAATTCGCGAAACCAATCGAGAAAGTGATGTTTTGCGAGTCATCCTTGTCGATGTTGAATCACGAACGGGCAAAAGTGTACGCCAAGAAGACGTGGCTAAACTCGACGGAGGCTGGTTTGAAATCTCTCAAAACACACGATATGTTCCCGCGGACCCAGCGAACGGAAGACCGCATGATGGTTATATCGATACCGTCATTCACGAGAACTACGATCATCTGGGCTATTTTACACCCATGGACAATCCACAGCCAATCTTGTTAACCTCCGGTAACTGGGAAGTAGTAGACGCTCCCTCTGCGATTGACCTCAAAAACAACTTGGTTTACTTTCTCTCGACTAAAGCTTCTTCTATCCAAAGACAAATTTATAGTGTCAAAATCGATGGAACGGACCTCAAAGCAGTTACAGATGACAGTAAAGAAGGCCATTACGCGATAAAATTTTCAAGTGGCGCTGGCTATGCACTATTAAACTACGACGGTCCTGACATCCCCTGGCAAAAGGTCATCAGCACACCCAGTAACGCTGATCAATATGAAGATCTCATTGAGAAAAATGATAACCTGGCTGAAATGGCGAAGAAGCACGAACTTCCCATTGAGATTTATTCAACTGTTAACATCGACGGGTTTGATCTGAACGTGGTTGAGATTAGACCACCACACTTCAATGAGAAGAAAAAATATCCTGTTCTTTTTCATCTTTACGGCGGTCCTGGCTCACAGACGGTTACCAAAAGCTTTACTGTAGACTTTCAATCATATATCGCGGCGAATCTCGGATACATTGTTGTGACAGTGGATGGCCGAGGAACTGGATTTATTGGTCGAAAGGCGCGCACCATCATCAGAGATAACATTGGATATTATGAAGCTCGCGATCAGATCGAGACTGCTAAAATATGGGGAGCTAAGAAATATGTCGATAAGTCTAGAATAGCCATCTGGGGTTGGTCTTATGGAGGCTTTATGACGCTCAAGACCTTAGAGCAAGACGCTGGACAAACCTTTTCATACGGCATGGCTGTTGCGCCTGTCACGGATTGGCGATTCTACGATTCTATCTATACGGAGCGATACATGCATACCCCGCAACACAACCCAGGAGGATATGATAATTCGAGTATCAGTAACATGACTGCTTTGCATCAGAATGTCAGATTTCTCGTTATGCACGGTGTGGCAGACGATAATGTGCACATGCAAAATTCCTTGGAACTTATAGATCACCTCGATTTGGCTGGTGTTGAGAACTACGATGTTCACGTGTTTCCGGACAGCGATCATGGCATTTACTTTCATAATGCCAATAGAATTGTCTATGACAGTAAGTACTCTTAACATCGTCACTCTTTCACTTACTAACGATCAACTAGAGCTAAGCAACTGGCTTATCAACGCTTTCAACGGAGAATGGCTTCGAACGGCGAATGCTGTTCCTTTACAAATAGATGCTGCAGAACGCAAGGCTTAGATGTGTGTAACTTTATTGGGATATGGATCATGGCGTTAACGGGTCACTGGAGCATATTGAGCGTTGTAGCCTTTACCAATGTTATATATTATTTTTTATCGACTTCCAATTTTCTTAACCAGGCACCTTCAACATAAGCATAGATTCAAAAGCAAAGTATTCAAGGAGGTCCGCTTATCAGCAAATTCAATCATCTTTTGGCGGTTCGTATAGAATGAGATCAGATCAAATTCCACCACGTCGCTCAAAAAACTCAAGTCTTGCGACATCATCTCCGTCTTCCTTCTTGCTTTTCAAGCGGAGCACGTCCCCCTTCCAAGTTAGCAGTACCATATCCCATCGCGGACCTCTTGACTGGTGCCGGGCTACTCAAGTCCACATCCTCCCATAAATCGTCAGCTCTCACTTCAGCTGGCACAAAGGTAGCAACACCTTCATCAGACCCCACGGATTTGAATCCTGCATCCATCTCCGCTTGGTCCAAAACACGGCCTTCTCCTCGAGATGTCGACGATAACAACGATGCCGGCGGTGCCGTTAATGATCTTATCATTGATTGAATGTACTCGAAGGCCTGGTATGCTTCTTGCGCGTATGGGCTTGAAGCACAATTATGCAGAGGTGCCTGGTCCTGAGAGTTGGAAGGAGGAGAGGTTTTGATGTTGTCAGCTGTAGTGGATGATTCGATGGATAATTTTATCATTGATTGAAGATATTCGAATGCTTGGTATGCCTCTTGCACGTATGCTGGTGCTGGAAAACTCCCATGCAAGTGAGCACTTTCTTGAGGGTTTGAGCGAAGAAAATTGTTGCCGCTGTTAGTCGTAATGGTTGATTCTGACGAAGATGATGATACTGTCGGGGAGGTTGTTGATTGTCTCTCTGAATCAGGGGCAATGGATTCAAGAATCTCGTCAAACGACTTGGGTGCCCGGTATGGCTTATATGCCTGCGCTTGTGGTGTCAAAGTTGTGGATTGCATGGGATTTAGTGTAATATAAGGTCTATAGGTGTAGTTTGGCAGGCTTTTGGATTGCAGAATGCTTTGGGGTGTAAGTTTTGTTGCTTCTGCCATGCTTCCACTTCCAGAGGAAGTTGGGACACCGATTTGCAGGCAGCTTGGGAGGACGATTTTTGCAGTTTCTGGCATGCTTCCTGTTTCCGATGGATGTGAGACATCTATTTGCAGAGCGCTTTGGAGGTCAAGCTTGGTAGTCTCTGCCATGCTTGTGGAGGGTGGCGTGGCACTGATTGACAGCCCAACTTCCGGGATTAACGCATCATCTGGAATTCTAATACGTAGCATTGCAGGTATATTCTTAGCATGATTCACAGGTTTACTAAGACGAAGTGCCTTGGGTCTGCTGGCACGTAAAACTGTTCGTTGCACTGGCTTTGCCTGAAGCTGGCTTGGGAGGGTACTCAAATCATTGGCTTTAGGCTTGCCTATAGTCACTACTCGCACGTCTTGTGGAGTGTACTTCTTCATCGGCAGGCAAATAACGACTTGATGCGTCTCCAGCTTGTTGACTTCATGGTCAAAGGTCGCCGCTGGTGCTGATTTTCTTGTAATCTGCTTGGGTTGAGGGACATTAGAGGAAGGAGAGTTCACAGGTTTGCGCTTCACCTTAAAATCTTGAAATGAACGAGACTCCTTTGAAGATCCCAAAGAGGAGGATATGGGCTTTGTGTCTGAGGTTTGTGCTCTGTCTTTGATCTGCAGCAGCAAGCATTCGTTACATTGAAGATTCGGGTCTCGGCCAGTGAAGGCTTTCGAGGGATAAGGACCACACATTTGGTATCCAGTCACCCGGAGTGGATATTGTGTTTTGTGTCCGCAAGGGAGCGTATTAGCATTTGCTATATAATTCGCCATAATGACAGAGATCAGCTCTATAAACCGCCAAAAAGCAGATGGCAAGATCGGTGGAGAGACTCGTTCAAGACTTGAATCTATGGAAGGTACAAAATATCTTCTGACTGCTGTGAGAAGAATATTTGGAAATAAGGGAGATTATGAGTAGAGATCATTAGACTAGAACGCTGTTCTGAAGAAAACAGTCGTATTTCTTCAAGGGTACACCTGGTAGAATCTTCAACTCTCTTTGTTACACTTTGGAGATTTTGGCTTGGTTGTGTCGGAACAAAGACTATTGTCCAGCCTCTCGGTGGACAAAATAAGCGGTAGTCGAAACACGGTACTTCTTCGATTAAGTTGACGGACTATCGTTATTTAGTGGTTTAATTTAGAATAATATAAGACATGTCGTCAATTATTCAAGTAAATAAGATTTCTTACGCTCTATTCGAAGTTGACTTGTTTAGTCCAAGATTACTGGGCAGGCGACTGACACCTATTTTGTCCTCCGCGAGTCAGCTAAACAAAGAAAAGGATTATGCCCAGCTAAGAATTTCCTAGCTAACATGTTTACTATCGGACTATCGGTTCTAGACAAAGTCAAACCGAGGACTATTGCTGAAAATGTTGAGCGAGCTCGAGACTAGGTACTAATCTTTTCGCTAAAGTTGTCAGCCCCATGTAGACGCTCAAAATTACGGGCTTGTTTATGGTCATTACAAGAAGTCTTAATTTGAGTGGTTTGATATTTAAGTAATTTATATTAAAATTCCTCGCGTAATTCTCCAAACTCTACGAACAGTTCGATGAAAGGCTATACGAGCTCGGTAGATTTTACGTTTTGCTAGACCCATGGCTCTAGCAGGTGCTCTCTTCCTTCCTCTCCTCCGATTTTCTGACGCGACATATCCAACTTCCATAAGATTGTGAAACGGGTATAAGGATTCCCAAAGTTCGCCATACGACGTCTCTGTGTCGTTTTCCAAGAATGGCTCGCCAACTTGCTCGTCAAATTGACTGTCGCGCCTATTGAGTAGGACATTAAAAGTAGTTTCGCTCCAAATGGGATCAGCAAAGGGGTTGTCCATGAACGCTAGCAGCTCTTCTGCGGTCTCTTATAATATCCGCGCCATTTTGACAATCAGTAATTCTCTTTGTATCCTTTTCGATTGAATTTCGTACCTTTCGCCTTTCTTTGATGCTTCAAAAACAGGAACTGAGCCACTACAGCCGTGGATTCCGAGCCTTTTTTGCTTTGAATTTCGCTTCAGGCATTTGGGACACTTCGTAAGCATGTCTCTCTTGAATATATTTTGACATTCGATGGAACTGTCAAGATACACTTTTATGTTGCGGTTACAGTCTACTGCAATCCTTGAGTCGTGTCCACACTGCCAGATCCGAAGTTTCCTGTACATTACTACTGCTGTATTTCACAGGCTCCTCCAAGGTACTAATATTGTCTCCTTTCAGCAGTAAGCTATTGCTTCCTTTCCTGGTCACTATTACACTAAGTCAGTTTGTAGTTGCAATGACTTTGTGCGAAATTGGAAGAAGGCGGCGTGTACACGGTACAGTGCATTGTCGTTTTTGCGGTGCCAACACATTTTGTTCTTTGTCCTTGAGGCAAGAACAGGAGACTCAAATCTTTGTATTCAATAAAACGCCTTGCAGAAAAACAGTCGGATTCACTTACCTCTGTATCTTAGGACTTCTTCAAAGAGAAAACGAGTCAGCCGCTTCATCAGCAAAGCCGTCAAAGCCAAAAATACCACAAAGGACCAGCATCACATATAACCAATATATCCATAATTACACGTAGACTAAACCAAGTTCCATCTATCTCCATTCACGATTTTTGTGTTCGATTCAGCACACCGACCTTTCGTCCTACGTGTTGATCATGGCTTTTGCACAATTTTTCTTTTATTCACCACACCCCAACTTAACCTACATCCAATAACGCATCACGCTCGTCGTCTACTAGATATATCAAAGCATTCGAAAAATAATAAAATCCCAATATGGTTTAAAAAACCCTATTTGGCGAGTTGCCATCACCCAGACCACGCGCACCACTTCAATCACTACCACCTCGCGTCGCCCATCCAGGTGAGCGCATTTCACAAGAAATTCGAAACGACGATAGTCATCCTCTCCATTGGGTTGCCCCAACCAGCAAACGCCTTCCTACGAGTAACATCCGTCCAAACCCGTTAGTTACGTCCCCTACTAACCTCGATATGCAAGTCGCGCATCGTCATTGGCCTTTCTCACGATTTCAAAGGGCCAGCCGCGTTCGAACTCCGGAAAAGAAACAAAATATGGGATACTTCTTGGACCACAATATTGTTGCAAAAATCGGTGGTGCTGAGAACGTCACAGTAGCTCCAAGTATACCAGCACCTCCGTCAGTTAAAAGGAGTCTTATGGATGAGTTACAGTTTAGACTTTACTGGATACTAGTGGTATTTCTAACATTCTTAATAGGCAGCGCTGTTGGCGGACCATTAGGTGTTGTGCTGTTGGGCTTATTGGTCTTCCCCTTGATGAATAAGTAGAAGGTTACTGTGCAGGTCGCTGAATAACATTCTACTCATCATTGACAGGTTGAGAAATTATGACAGGTAAGCCAGGAAAGAGAGTTTGACTTCCCTGAATCAAATTTGTCCATCCACTGGTTCTGTTCAAAATCTAGCTTACTGAATCAAAGGACTCATTCGATTCACAGGTATGCTGGAACAGGACGATTCAGATCACATCAGTGCTGGACTAGATACCTGGACCCCTTGGTGAGTACACTGGATTGAATAAAGATATAGTATTTTGCCACTAAGTAGCATGTTAGGGTTATGCTAAAAGATACTTTGTTTCTTTTTAATCATTTATAGCTGGGTATTTACGATTTACTTATGTTTAAAATAAAAATAATTATAAATTTTTAACGAGTATCAGTAAATCTCCGTTAATTCGCTTTCAAAAATTAGTATATGGACTCAAGGTTGTGCTAGACTAATACTTATACTTATAGAATAATGTGAATACTGCTATGAAACTCTATTTGCTATATGCTTCTACGTTAGGACAAGCAAGGACCATTCAAGTATATTCAACGAAAAAGTCGTTGTCACGGTAGTTTCATTTCTCAGTAATTATACTTGAGACCTCATACGAGACAGCTGATTCCTGGAATCTAACAAGAATAAAATCGCAATGCTGACAGGAGTTCCAGCCAGAACTTCAAAATTTCGGTCTATCCCTAGACACTGGGCTATCCATCTAGGTACACCAAAGTCCTCCTTATCCTACCCACAGTCCCACACAAAAATGCGCATCCCATGCTGGAAGAATAGAACTGTAAAAAAAAGAAACTGCTAAGCAACGCTACAGTAACAAACATGACATGTAATAATACAGAAAGCGCTAAATACAACTGTCCTCAGCAAGCCCTAAGCAAAGCAAGGCTTAACTTAGGAATAGCTGCTCTCTAAATATATTCAACGGCGTGACATGTAGCACCAGCTCTAATCTCGATTTCAGGCCAGCTGCCTTCGACCTTCTTGACATGAACGTCAAAGGTCTTAGCAGACTTTGCAATCTTGAACTTTGCGGTTGTGATATCCATGAACTTTGCCAAAGGCGCAGGCTTTTTTGATATGGATTTTTTCTGGCTAAGAATCATTACTTTGGCAGGGCCATTTCCCTTCATCTTGCTATCGAATTCTTTCACAAGGGCTGTGAGCTCTTTCTTTCCCGGTGAAGTCTTGAAGGTTACAGCAACGACCTGCATCTGAGAAGCGATAACCACAATGGAGGTGCCTCGTACGGACTGTTTTGAAAGGACAATGCTGCTTGCTTTTTCAAGGTCGAGGAATTTTGGGACTCCGGCTTTAGAAGGCGAGGTAGCTGCTCCACTTGTAGGTTTGGCTCGCGACTCGGTCTTGGTAACACCAAGGGCGGGTGATTTAGCCTCACGTTTCGACTTGACAGGTGCTGAATCTCCTCCCGTCTTGGACTTCGATGCTCCAATTCTCTTGCCAACAATTTTCTTACAGACACCAGTTGGTTCGTTTGCATCAGACGTAGCGGTTGGTTTGCTGACGGAAGTGGACTTAGAAACGCTGGTCGACGTTGTTGTACCCTTGGAGGCGGCCTTGGTGTCCGATGTTTCTGCTGGCTTGGATTTTACCGCCTCGCTTGAAACAGCAGGAGAGGTGGGAGCCACTTTCGGAGAGGTTACTGGTACCGGGGGAGCTGAAGTCGGCTTCGGAGCAGGAGGAGGTGTAGAAGCAGGTGTAGGTGCTGGCGTGGGTGTTTTTGGAGGAGACGGAGCGGGGGTGGGTTTTTTGTCATCATTTTTTGGTGGCTTAGACCCTGACCCTCCCCCTTTTCCTTTGGGCATCCTATACAATAAATTAGAATACGTTTTTCTTGTTCACTCTAGAGCCGAGAGCCGTTTCTAAAGATCAATATACTCCCGGCCACTAGGAAACAGGGTTTAAAAGGAGGAACAAAGGAAATATACGGACCTGGCAAGCAATGCATTCATTACTCCTCTGGCTCCTCCCACAGCCGTAATAGGCTCTGGGACTACTTCACGTCTAGATAGAGTCAGTCAAAAAGGCCCATTCTGTATATCTAGAGAACTTCTAACTTATCTAGCGAAGCATTCTCTTCGCATGCAGCAATGGCCACAAACCCCAACATAAGTAAAGAAGTGACATTTGTGAAACGCATCTTGCACCGAAAATGCTCAAAAAAATGCAGCTCCTGATCAATAAAAGAGATGTGTCGATTATCGAAAATAAGAAAAGAATAGTGGCGTATCAAACGACCAATTTTTTCTGAATGATAAAGATAATAAAGGAAATGAATGAAACTGAAGAAGAAAAGAAGTATGATAGTTGTGTGGTTATTGAGAATGGATTTCTGATCACTGTTATATGTGAGCAAAACTAGCCACCCACCTCAACGACCAACAATCCCGTCTATAAACGGATGATCATTACTCAACTGAAGTGCGTAAACGTATAGTTTCGAGTTTTGATCATGCTGTGTGGTTGGGAGGCTGATGAATGGGAATAAGCGAGATGCGATACGAGCCAATCCTGAAGACCATGCGAGAAAAGATTATAGGATGAGGCTCCTTCCGAAATGACGATTGCGCTGGGAATATTCCGCTGGAGCAAAGTTTGGTGAACAAAAGTTGGTTTGGAAATCCTGGTGTTGGTTTCCATGTGTATGTCCCAATTGTTGGAATTGGGCCACAGTCATGAGCCACGATTACCCATCGACTTGTGATCCAGAAATTAGATCCATCGATTTATTTGGGTATGATCGCCGCAGACGAAGCCCGGAATTGCATGGCTATACAATAAGTTGTTCCTGATCCAGAGGAAAGGTAAAATCCAGGGCGAAAAGATATTCAGGAGGGCCCGAGAATAGAGACAATAAATAAAGTATACTAACGACCACATCGCGTTCAAATTTTGCTTCATTTCATGAAGCAGAGATTTGCCTTATCCCCCATGATTGACATAAACGGTTATTGAATGATCCCACTAGAGTAGTTGGCTCGCGGAGGACAAAATAAGTGTCAGTCACCTACTACTAATCTTGGACTGAATAATAAGTCGCCTTCGAATAGAGCCTAAAAAATCTTATTTAGTTAAAATAATTGATTAAATAGTGATAATGTTCCAGATTAATCCACTAAATATACGATATTTCGTTAACTTAACCGCAGCAATATTGTATCTCGACTATTACTCATTTGTCCTCCGCGAGGTTGGGTTAACACGACTGGATGAAATTGTAAGTACGTTAATCATAGACGCATGACAAGGCGCATGTTACAAATCCAGTTGCAATATTCAGCATGATTTTAAGTGTTCTCAGAAAACTCAGAGACTGTAACATAACTCGTGGTATCTGCTTGTAATTTAGTGATCCCAATGAAACATACGGTAATCAGACAGAAAATAAAAAGAAACCATACGTTTGTTAATTGTAACGTTGTTTGATTAATATGCTCATTAACAAACGTCTACCGTGTATTTTATGGGTTTATCAGGCTTACACAGCAGAATACCGACCCGCAGAAATTTCTCCAACGAGAGGTGTATCATTGTTCAGTCTGTATAATAAACCGCGAAGCATCATCTAGATGTCAAAACAAATGTCCAAGAGTCGCACAAACTGCAGCTCCTGACCCGATGACTACATTGTCCTTTTGGAATGAGCGCACGGAGTGTCGAAGACGCAGGTCCGATGGATGCAGCTATTTGCCCAAGTTGGTTGCAAGGTACAGACCAACTCAAGGATCTGCTGCGAACGTGACATACAGCCAACAATAGGATGTTCAGATGGGTGCCGACACCAACACGGCATGGTCAGAAAAGGCGGCCCAATCCTGGTGAGCGACGTTGGATACTCGTAAAATGTTTGTCGAGTTGGTTTGCCGGGTACTGATTTAGAAGCAGATGTTGGTAAAGAGTTCCAAGCTTCATATAGGAAACCTCATTGCGCCAAAAACACCACAATGGACAAAAATGGCATGAGGCGCTGATCTGAGAATCCAGATTATCTCGATGGCCATATGATATCCGATGATAGTCGTAGGATTTGAAAGTCGCTTAGCTTCCGAGCCCCGAGAACCGGCATCGGAGTATACTTTCGGACCGATAATCGGTGTTCCCAATCCAGCATAAGGCTCAATAATCATCTTATGTTGCCCAAATGTCTCGCGGTGGAAAGAAAGAAAGGAGCGATTTTATCTTGCTTCTGTTGTTTTTGTCATTACAATATCTCAATTTTCGTTGATAATTGTTTGATTTTCTAGGTCCCCCCTTCACCAACCAACAAATAACCGCAAGAATTGTTCGCTCGGCACTTATGGTATCAGCACAATGCTAGACTTGAATGCTACCCCCCAAAGGAACGCAAATTTAAGTATAACAGGGACAAGATGTGCTTTAGCTTCCAAAAATCGGAACCTTCGCTTGATGCAGTCCGCCTAAGTTGATCCGCGTCGCTTATTTTAACCGTCACTTGGTTTTCATACCAAGAGTGGGTTATACCTCAACGCTGGAAATCCAGGAAAGCATTTTCGGAGGCGTACCTCGAGGAGCTGCTCAAACAGTCTAAAATAGCCCTCCGATATCCAATAAAGACCTCTTCCAGCTATGCACCAAGATCGAGGGTGGCTGGCTCGGCTTGCTGTCAAATAAGCGAGGACACAGGGGGCTGGCAGCTTACCGCGGAGGTGACAGCAATGGAGAAGAGACCTGTCAACGGAACCATGCTTCCTGGACCAAGAATGCTAGAGCTCGTTCTCGCAATATTTGGCATGGAGATTATCAGTTCTTGTCACAGCCGATTGCTGAAGACTTTGAACTCAAGTAGAGCAACGATTTTCCATGTTTCAACTTGCAAGGTCCATGAAAAGACTCCTGGCTCAATTGAACATAAATCACCTCAATAATCATCAAGAGTTTCACAATACTAGAAGAACATAAAATGTCAACAAGCAAAAATCTAAGTCCAGATTGAAGGGTGACGAAAACATTTCCCCGCAATCCATCCCCGCATTTCTTAACATGATCCAAGCTTTCAGACCCATAACCTTGAGCTCAAAAGCTTGCGAGGAGAAATATCTAAACCCCGCGAGACCGTGGACCGGCTTGGCAATTCATGAAATGATGCTCTTCAGATTTCGATCCTCCAAGATCTTGATGTTATTCGGGCCTATTGCTGTTCACGACGCGTACATTGCTGCAGGTGTTCTACCAGCTTTTTAGAATACCATATGGCCATTGCAGACTAGCGAGAAATGTAGATGGAGAAAAATCAAGACGTCACTTCTCCGATGGCGGCTTGATTCATGTTGACCATTGCTGGTGCTAAAGGTCCCATCTACATGACAAGACAAGCTAGCCGGCGGCCTTCTGCATCGAGGCGCGGGTATAATAGGTATATATTCCTTTGTGGAAGTAGCATTTTATCGTCCTCACCACCGCTCTCTAGAAATCGCCATGTTGTCAAAGACCTCTTCTCAAGTCCAACTGGGACTTCTAGTCTTGGCTTCATTTTTACCCTCATGTCTCTCACTTTCTTCACTGAAAGTCGATACTACAGTAGGAACAGTATATGGTCTAATCAACGGCACACACCCAGACGTGGTGCAGTTTCTAGGAATACCTTACGCTGAACCACCAGTCGGTGATCGGAGATGGATCCCCTCCGTTGCGAAATCCCCAGTCGGCAAAATAGATGCAACTTCATTCAGTCCATCTTGTCCTCAATACGACACCTCGATACCATCAACATATGAAATCGATGCACGAGACTTCCTTGTTTCAGGTCCCGTCTCCGAAGACTGTCTTACATTGAGTGTCTGGGCACCTTTCTCAGCAGGCAATTGTAGTGAGCCATTACCTGTCATTGCTTGGATATACGGCGGCGGTCAGCAGACTGGCGGTGCTCAGATCGAATATCAAATCCCGACGCCTTGGGTTCAGAGAACAAAAGCACATATCGTCGTTCAGATAAAGTGAGTCCTTACATCGCCTGCTCGTCCGAACTTTACTGACAAGTAGAAAGCTATCGCCTCAATATTTTTGGCAATCCTATTGCTGCAGGGATCGACGAAAAGCTGAATCTTGGTCTTCTGGATCAGAGAGTAGGAATGGAATGGATTAGACAGAATATTGCAAATTTTGGAGGAGATCCTTCCAGAATAACCATGTGGGGACAATCTGCTGGCGCGGCGTCAACTGATGTGAGTAAAAGTTTTGGTTGTTTTCAATTTGCACTTGCCTGCATATGCTATGATTTCTGACTTCGAGACGGTAATTCTTTCAACCGAAATATTCCGAGGCTGACATGTTGAATTCGTAGTACTACAATTTCGCTTATCCAGAAGACCCTATCATTGCGGGAATCATCATGGATTCTTCCTCAGCTCAAGGTGCAGGCGCACCAAACGATCCAACTGGGAGCAACTTTACATTTGTTGCTCGAAATCTAGGCTGTGGTAACTTGACAGCCGAAGCTGAGTTGACTTGCATGAAGAATGTTCCTTCAGCGAATATAACAGCATTCTTAAAGTCGTATCAAGATTCTGGAGTCTCTCCTTCAATCACATTCAGCCCGATTGTAGACAACGTTTCTCGTTTCTCGAACTACACTTCCAGAGCACTTGCGGGTAACTTTTCAAGAGTGGTATGTTTAGTTGAGTCCGCTGTCTGAGTTTTGCTAACCGCGTTATAGCCAGCTATTCATGGGACGAATAACAATGAGGGTTCTTCGCTGACTGTCTGGGTAAACAATGGAACGACCTATAATGAAACTTTAGCGAATGCCAATACTGTGCAACGGGCATGCTGGGCACAACAAACCACTAAGTATGTTTCACCTCTCCTGTCTGGCATTACAAATGTCTAATAATTACCAGGAATCGATATGCTGCAAACGCAACAACTTTCCGTTATTACTACACGGGAAACTTCTCCAATATCTCGCCTCGCGCTTGGGAAGGAGCATATCACTCTTCTGAGCTTCCACTTATCTTTGGAACCCATGACATAGCATACTCTGAGTCGACAGACTTCGAATTTGCGGTCTCACATCGAATGCAAGATCTTTGGTTGGCGTTTATGAGAGACCCGGTTAACGGGTTGCCACAACAAGGATGGAATCCTTATGTTCCTGGGGACGAAGGAACGGCAATTGAGTTTGCGTGGGATGGACAGGTGCAGCAGTTTATCAAGCTTAGTGAGTTTGACCAAAACTGTATAGGAAGTCCGGCAATTACTCCAGTTGTTGGAGCGATACCGCCAGACAATACTGGCGTTGGCGTTGCTTAGTTGGAGACAGGAGCATGAAAAAGATTCAGCCTGGTCCATTCCTGGTGGTAACGTATGCCAATGTTGAGGACTACACTTTCACCCGAAAGGGGCCATCGCAGTGGACGAGATCAGTGGTAGTCGAAACACGATATTTAATCAGAGTAGTTGACGCAATATACGATTTCGTCATTAATTTCAAGTAAATATAATCTTTTTATCGCTATTTGAAACAGATTCAAATTTAGGCTACTTACTCGCTCTAAGGGAATACAATAAGTTTATAGAAGAAAGTTCTATCATTTGTTTTGTCTAATGCGAGGCTAGAAATTTGGATTCCGAAACTTAAGTATTAAATAAAAGTAATAGAACTATAAAGTGATGGTTCAACGCTATTCTCGTATATACCTAATAAGATCGATTTAGTTAAGGATGGACTGTATTGATGTGTAGATAAATTGCGTCAAAATATGTCAGAATTCATTTAGCCACGATAGCGAATCGTAGAGGACAAAATAAGTAGTAGTTGAAATATAACGATTCTTCGATTAAGTTAACGAATTATCGTATATTTAGTGGATTAACTTAGAAAATAAATACTATTTAGCCAATTATTTCAAGTAAATAAGACTTTTCAAGCTCTATACGAACCTTTAAGTCGACTTATAATTTCGTCCAAGAATAGATGGATAGATAACTGTTTCTTATTCTGTCCTCCGCGAGGGTCTTCAAAACAGTTTAAAAAATCACAAGTTTCGGTAGAGTAAATTCCCCACCTGAGATTTATTGTGCATTATTCTTTCCAATCACTGTTCTACAGAACAATAATCTGGACTCATCTAGGGCTGCACAATGGTAGGAAAGCCGATCTTGAAAATTGTTTGAAACAAAGGTGAATGTACAAAAATGACGAGACAATTTTAAAATTCGAAAACAGCACATCTCGAATTCACACTTCCAATCTTCCAACGACTTCTGCTACGCACCATTCGATCTAATGTGTGTATCAGTACGTATTATTTGGGCCTGCGGCCATGAGAGCGATACCAGCGCCGACCATACATGTAAACGCAAGCAGCACTGCGAATGGATGGTGCCGGAGGAGTTCGAAGTCAATCATTTCTGCACGTCCTGCCTCTTGAAAACGACAACCTACAGCGGGCCGCTTCTCTCCAAATTCCCAGAATACGACGGCTCAATCCCGCATTCCTCTGTCTGGAACTTCACAGCAGTGTTCTTCAATCGCGCGAACAAATTTCGAGACTTGGTACTAGCCGCACAGATCGAAAGCAGAAATAACCCGGATTGGATGTTATTGAACGGCAGGGATATTTTGAATCTGGAAGAAATTCAAGATATTCTAATTGAAGGCGTGAAGATATACATGTGCGAAGCCATCTCGCGGACAGGTACCGCCAGCGTTCCACAGGATATTCAGTTCCTCATCTACTGGATAGCGTGTATTGTGGAATGGAACCTCGGGACTGATGGACGTGCAGATGCATTACGACTAGCTGACCGAGCCGAAGACGAGTTGGACGGAAAATTCGTGAAGCCGTATTTTGCGACGCCTGTGGTTCTCAAGGAGGATGAGTCGAAGGAGTGCTCTATCTGCTTGGAGGTGATGACACAGGAGCAGCCAGTCGAGCTGCCCTGCGGTCATATTTTTGGGAATGAGTGTTTATATAAGCACGTATATACGGGTCAAGAGGGCGATGAGGTAAACTGCCCGCTCTGTAGGGATAAGTTCGATGAGTCCACGCATGAGTTTCCCTCTTTCATACGTCCGACACCTCCCTGGTGTAGAGAGTTATTGAGGATTGACGAATTGAAGCCCTGGATTCCTGCACTTAACGAGTAATCCACCAGTAGCAGTCTCAAGTGCATGGAGAATAATGCAATGGTTGAAACACTTTGTTCTAAGTCATCGCGTTGTATGCAAGTCGAAGACATACAAGTTGACGTTGAAGCCATTCATACAGTCAGAAATTCAATCAAACCTGTTAGCCTATACTTGTGTTTGCAATAGTGATTTTAATTACCTGTGGACTATATCTTAAATCATCTCAGTAATATGAATAGTCATTTATTCCAACGTTGCCTTCATCCCGTCTTGCGAACCTAATTTCTAAGCTCCTAACGACTTTAGTCTGCTTATTACCAGCCTCGTAGTTTAGTACACAGTGTTGATAGCCCAATAGCTAATTCTTTGATATTAAATTGTATATAGTACTTTGCCTTCTTCCGACTTTTATAGAGCCTGCTAGAGCTCGACGAGGCATTATTAGGTTGGAATAAAGGTAGTTTAGGAAATATGTGATCGTGTACCAATTCGATGGACTAAAAGTGATAGTGTGCCAATTCGATGGACTAAATAGTGATAATGTGCCAATTCGATAGACTAAATATCGTTACTCGGCTGCCACTTATCTTATTCGGCCAGTATCATTCCAAGCTCCAACGTTCTCACACCCCTTAGGTATTCGTACCTTATCCCTAACGTCGCACGTCATCCAAAGTGTGTCTTTTACCCCCCGTCCAACCCTGTCTATTATATCCATAGCCCAAATGACATCTAAGTGCTCGTATTCGTCTATAAGTTCACTGTGAACAACTCTAACATCCGGCTCTCTTCCTCTTCCAAACCTCTTGAGTAGTCTCCTTCCGTCGACCAACTCATCTTTTCCAGCTGCCCAAAACGCCATTGGCGGGGCACGATGGTCGTACCAAGGTCTTATTTCCCGAACTTCTGGAACGTGAGAAGGAGATGGTGTGTCGTCTTTATATTTATCCATCTCCGCATCGACTTGGGCCTCTAATTGTGTTTCCGCCTCAGAAGCTAAAATACAGCCATTCTTGGCGAACCCGTTTTTACCTAACCACCACCTCATACTCTCACTGCTGATGTACGTTGGACTGCATTGAAACCCACGATCCCGGAGGCCACGATCCCAATTCCGGTCTGACCAGCCAAAGAGATAATTGAACATGCGATAGCCCGCAGCGCCAAAAACACGTCCAGGGAGGAGACGTTGGAACGGCATCATCAAAGGAATAAATGCATGGATCCCAAAGATTGTGCTATAGCGAAATGGAGAGAGTGATGTCACAAAGGAGAAGTACCATCTCTTGAGGAGGGGTCCTGCGTATACTGCTGGAGCAAGAGCACAAAACACTGTGAACTTGGAACCAAGATCCGGTCTCTGGTCTTTCGACAGAGCAATGAAGGTCTGTGTTGTGCCTTGAGAGTGACAGACAAGCCCAAGTTTTTGAAATCCAGTTTCTGATAAGACCCGAGAAGTAAAGGCCGGCAGATCTCTATTCCCCATATCGCGTGGACTCCAGGTCCACATTCGAGGATCAGATGGCTTGAGAAAGGCATGCTCTGGTTTGAAGCCACATCGGTTAGTACCTAGCCAAACGTCGTAACCGGACTTGCAAAGATAGAAGGCGAGCGAATTGTCGTCGTGTGAGGTGAAAGTGCCCGCTGATTGCATTAAACCATGTATCATCAGCACTGGGAATTTTGGCCTTTCCGTAGGCTCGATCGGACGCGATGGAGGCGCGTTAGTAAAGATTTTTGGACCACGGGCTGCCCGTTCAACATCGGACAAGGGTTTGTGTTCTTTCGGATCATATACGTGATGCAGATTTAGTAACATCCCATCCTCTGTCTGTACCCTGAATGTTTCTACGTCTAGCCCAACTCGTCTTGCATAGTACGCAACGTCATTCTTTACTGGATCCTTGCCCCCTTCCGTCGGTATATATTCCAATCCAGCTTTGTTTTCCAGGTCCGGCTCTCCTTTCCAATTCTGCTCATCTTCGCGACGCAATGCTGCTCGACGCTTCTCCTCTTGTAGAAAGGGTCTTCCAGCATCCGGATCATGGAAAGTAATTCGTGCCCACGCATGCTTGAATCCCACTTTCGCGCCGTCTATCATAGCCGCACTGAAGATCAAGCTCAAACAGCATAATGTAAATGTGAAAGCGACTGGACGAAGGACTAAAGATTTAAGCTGCCGCCGTAGTGGCTGCTCATATAGCGGCATGGGGGGAAATACATCGTTGTCTTGCGGCGACGGGAGCGCTTTCTGCAGCGGCTGGATACATTCTTCTTTCGGGGATGCTGGCGACCCGGCCCTATCATATCCTTCATTCGTGCTCATCTTCGCAGGACGATGCTGCCGTCCTTTGTCCGCTCTTGTTGCAGGTCGCAAATCCTGAAGGGGAAAGTATTGCTCTTCAGCTGTTCGACTGCTATCGCCCATTTCTCCTATGTTGTTGGTCGACGTCCGGGTTGGGCGAAGATAATGGAGGCCAGGCAATGGGAGGTAGGTACATGATAGTAGTAAAAGTGCAGCCGTCTCCATAAATCTCTTGCACGTTCATGTAAGTCTGATGGATTCAATAGTTAGAATGAGAACTGGTTCCCTTGTCTGTGTAGAAAATCCCTTGGGGGAAGACTGTATGGTACATACCCCAGTGGCTATAGCCATGCCAGATTGAGCTCTACTTGTACGAATCCAAGATTGATAAGGGGCGGCTCACGGATGGGGTCTACGAACCCATATCCGCACCCAAAGCACCAATGGCTTTTCTGGACAATGGTTCATACATCTCCAAAGGTTTGTGGTGGTCTCGGAGATGGTGTCAGGGCGCATAGGAGTGGCTGTGTTGCCAAATTTACGATGATCCCCCGTCGCTAATCTGAAGGATCTTCTACCAGGGCCAGGTCACAACCGACAAGGCGAGCACGACGTCACTCGACATGGTATTTCTTAGCATCCTTAAAGAAGTATTACGAGTACCGTAATAGATTTCGAGGTAGAAGTCATTCTTAATAAAGGGCTTGAAGCTATTTTAACTTTTCGCAGTTCGCCCAAAACTTCCAGACCTTCCAAAATAGTGGAGGAACTGGGTCTTCGGATTAAGAAATTCGGAGAAATATGGAGGGAAGAGGCTGGATCGCGGAGGAAGGACCAATGATACCAGAACTAGAAGTAACTATTTTTGTTTGCCGTTGAACTTGTAAAACTCAAACATGGAACACCTAGCGAGATAATGTAGAAAGGCATTGGTAAGATGTGTTTTTTATATGATGTTAATGTCAGTGGCAGCTGTCCAGTACCGAAAGCCTAAACCTAGGTATGCAAGCTATGAGGATGACAATATGAATTGTAGTTTACCTTATCAGATGATAAGTGCGCTGTGTAGCTGTATTCCATATCTACGGCTGACGACGTCTCGTTCTATGCCATCAGTGGATTAGTAAAATCAGCAGTAAAGACACGGAATGGTTTTTCTTCGAAATTTCTCTCATGTAAGAGCCTTCTGCTTTGTGATCTCCTTATTTTCTTCTCAAAATTTGGTTTTCCACGGGAACGTGGTAGACAACTTTCAAGGTAGAGAAGCTGGTCGAGCCAAAGCTGGATAGCCTTCACTCGTTAGGTCACATGATTCACTAACAACCTCGGCCGTTTGCTTTGAAGATCAGCCGAACGCGCCTCGTGAAGTACAGAATGAGTGAGAGAGAACAAATTGCATTTCCCGGCGTTCTTCACATTTTGAATTAATACCTTCCTGTTATGCCAATTTATGTACATCGAAACTTGAAAGAACAATCTCTCGATCGCACCAATTCCTGTCAAATAACCCGCCGACTACCATCGAAATCCAGTCTCTGTTGACGGACCAACCTAGCATGACCGAGCAATAGTACTGCGTCCAGCGCAAAAGATCACATACCATTTGCGCGTCGCGAGACAATTCGATATGGTGGATAGCATCTCCTTACCACATCATCGAAAACGCAAGAGGCGACGTCAGGATAAATCCTCCATCACTGCAAGGTTGGTTTTGGACGACCATGTGAAAGGCGACGTAGGTATATTGTCCGAGGACTTATATGCCGATTTGTTCCCAGGTGTAAACCAAGGTAATCTTGTCAATTCCTCTTTCTGGAGCGATCGCTGCTGACTTCCTCCGCTTCTAGTCCAGGAAGATACAAACGGTTCTGCTAGCCCTGAGATTCTACACGTTGCGATCTCTCCATGGAGTCCCCTCCCCGCCGTTGAAAGCTCAACATGGACTGTTGTCGCAGTCAGGTCCTCGAGCGCCTTAGCGCATTCGACACTTCAGTTCTCGCCATCCTCTCTAGCTTTACAGGGATTTGCTGAAGCTCTGCAGAAGATAGCTCCTTCGAAACTGTCAAGTCATAGCCGGAGTGGCATCGAGATTAGGATTCTAGACGTTGTACCTATGCCATTGGATGTTGTATTTGTGACTTTAGGAGCAGATCTGGCAAGACGATTGGAAAATGGGGAGGGCACATTTCATGGCGAACACGCTCGAGCAAACGGTAAACCGACTAGCAAATCAGCATCAATCCAACCTGAAGGTCGACTAGCAGCTGCAGTACGAGAATCCCTGGGGTCATTGAACGTTGTGCATACTGGGGATTTCTTTGCTTTGCCTCTCCAACCTCATCCCGTAACGCATGTTCCACCTCCGCCTGCTCAAGTAACACTTTGCGAGCCGGTTGGCCAAGGATTTTTGACGCCAAAGAGTAAAATTATAATTACCAAAACTGGTCATCTCTCGAAGCAAAATCGTAAACCACAGCAGTTACCTGTCAACAGGGCTTTGAATGGGGTCGCCGAAGAGGACGACGAGGCGTCGACCGATCAGTTCTACTCGGCTGCGGAAGACCGCTACAAAACAGATACAGTAGACGACGAAGATGATGACGGGGATTCGGCATCTGGGACTGAAACTGAGGTGTCAGATGCGGATAGTGGAAGCTTGTCGGATGATTCTATGGATGATCTAATATCATTACAAGCACCTGTGCTTCCAGCTCACAATGCGAGCGGCATTTCTACAGTCCAGGCTGGTACCCCTCGTACTGTCGGTAGAGTAACGAACGGGATCAATACGCCTGGGTCGGTCTTCTCATCATTGACTGCGACTACGGCTCGGGCTGGCGGTCAGAAGGGCAGACTTTTTAAGGTACAAGGCCTTATGGCCCCGCTGCCAGAAGAATTACTTCATCCAAAACCACATCCTGATGACGACGAAGAAGCTCGAATATTCGTAGACATCAATTCGTTGACAAAGATCGGCTGCTTCTCTGGGGATTGGGTTCGATTGGAAGTAGCCGCTGAACCGCCCGCCAATGGTGCAGGGCTCTGGGGCCTTGGAAGCTTTGGCAACACTGAGCTCGAGGATCCATTATGGCGTCCTGTCAAGGTATTTGGCTTGCCAGAAGGATATTCACGTCGAGCAATAACAAAGCTTCCCAGCCATAAGCAAGGAGAGCGACGAATGTCCTTTTTCGACGCCCAAGTTCAGAAGCCCGCAAGTCCTACTGTTTTCATGTCTCCGATATTGCTTGCAAATATGGAGAATACGCCATACTGTAGGCTTTCTACGTTAAAGCGACCGCCACAACCGGGCAGAGTCTCGCAGCCGAAGATCACGGGTTCCTCGCGGCCTCCGTTTCTTCAAGAGCTTACTTTGCTCAAGATCGCTACTCCTGTATCTACCGAAAGATCTGTACAAAAAATCCTATTTTCGAATTTAAAGAATTATTTCTCCAGTTGCACCAGAATAGTACGAAAGGGCGATTTGATTGCTATTCCCATCGATGGGGATCTTGGACGGATACTGCACCATAGTACTGCCAGTGAGGATCTTGAGGTGGAGGAGCTTTTTTCGAATGCGTCCACTACGCAATCTCAGCGCGCAAGTACCAGCAAACCTACTGCGGTAGCTTGGTTTAAAATTGGTTATATTAGCGTAGCTAGCGAATCCCATGACTCTCCCGAAGAAGAAGATCTTTGGGGTGGAGCTGCCTCAGTTGATAGCCCATCGACGAGAATCATGCAATCTGGGAGCGAAAACAGTCGAGTACCGGCTACCATCAACAGCTCGTGGGAACATTACTTGGGTGTAAAATCACTGCCAAAGACCGAGTCGCCTACAGCTTCGCTGTCTGAAGTGAGTAAACAACATGTCCCACCACTTCGCCGTCGTTTACGGGAACTCATCGCTGCCGCTACCAGTCCGCGGGCCATACACTTACAGCAGAAGCCCCTTGCAATTCTTCTTGTCTCCACTCAACGAAATATTGGAAAATCTACGCTGGCAACTGGTGCGTGTGCCGACCTTGGAATTCATACATTCTGCATTGATGCATACGATATCGTGACAGAAGGTGGGGCAGGCAGTGATGTTAAAACCGCTGCTTACCTTGAGTCACGGGCAGAGAGAGCTATCTCCTGCGGCCCCGAGTTCTGCGCTGTACTCATTCGTCATATTGAGGCTTTGACCGCTGACAGAATGATATCTACAATTAGTGACATACAGTCACGTTTACGAGTTTTGATCGCGACAACCACGGAAGTCGACAAGATACCAGATGGGATCCGTGGTCTGTTCAGTCACGAACTAGAGTTGTCGGCTCCAGATGAATCGGAAAGAGAAGGCATTCTCCAGAGCATCGTTGATGATCAACCTATTCCTCTAGCACCAGAAGTCGAGCTTTCTTCTGTGGCAGTCAAAACAGCTGCCCTTGTTGCAGGTGACCTTGTGGATGTCGTAGATCGCGCTGTAGTTGCAAGAAATTCTCGGCTTGAAGCCCTTGCGTCCTCTTCTTCAAATGAAGAGTCGCAGGTCACCACCCGTGATGTCCTAGTAGCTGGTGGATCCGCGGGTCGATGCCTTACGAAGCCTGACTTCGAAGTTGCCGTCGAAGCCGCTCGTAAGAATTTCGCAGACGCCATTGGTGCCCCCAAGATTCCTAACGTGGGGTGGGACGATGTTGGTGGACTTACTAACGTCAAGGATGCGGTCATTGAAACTATTCAACTTCCACTTGAGCGCCCTGAACTCTTTGCCAAGGGAATGAAGAAACGATCCGGTATCTTGTTTTACGGTCCTCCAGGCACGGGAAAGACCTTACTTGCCAAAGCGATCGCCACCGAGTTCAGTCTGAATTTCTTTAGTGTCAAGGGCCCAGAACTCCTAAACATGTATATTGGGGAGTCCGAAGCAAATGTCAGAAGAGTGTTTCAACGAGCAAGAGATGCAAGGCCATGTGTTGTGTTCTTTGATGAATTAGACTCCGTTGCCCCCAAAAGAGGCAATCAAGGCGACAGTGGCGGTGTTATGGACAGGATAGTAAGTCAGCTGCTCGCAGAATTAGACGGTATGTCGGATGGCGAAGACGGCGGCGGTGGTGTCTTTGTTATTGGGGCCACCAACCGTCCTGATCTCCTTGATGCTGCATTGTTGCGACCCGGTCGCTTCGACAAAATGCTCTATCTCGGCGTTAGTGACACACATGAAAAACAACTCACTATCATGGAAGCACTCACACGAAAGTACGTACTATAGCCATTATATTTCTAGAGATTGAGAATTAATATTCCAACTAGATTCACACTACACCCGTCGCTCTCCCTTGGCCGTGTCGCCTCTCGATTACCGTTTACCTATACTGGTGCAGATTTCTATGCTCTCTGCTCAGATGCCATGCTTAAGGCAGTAACACGCCAAGCTTCTCTCGTCGACACGAAGATTGCTGGTATAAATGCGACCGCTGAAGAAAATAATAAAACTAAGATCTCGACGGCGTATTTCTTTGATCACTATGCGACGAAAGGGGATATTGAAGTTGTGGTTACGGAAGAAGATTTTGTCATGGCGGAGAGAGAGCTGGTCCCAAGTGTTAGTTTTGGGGAGTTGGAACATTATAAGAGAGTGAGGGCGCAGTTCGAGAAGGTTGAGGAAGGAAAATCAGAAGGGGAAGACAAAACCGGGAAGGGAAAAGCACCAGCCCTCGTCTCTAATCATGGACGTGTAGACACTAATGGCAAGGGCAAGGGAAAAGAGAAAGCTGTTGACCGCAAAGGAAAAGGACGAGCAGTCGAAGAGTGGGATGGTGAGGATGATGGGTTTAAAAGATCGGATGTAAAAGGAAAAGGTAAGGCTGTCGATATGGGGTTCCAGGATCGCATGGACGATGATGATGGGTTGTATTAATTATAAGGACAAGCAATGACGCTTCAAGGAATCTGATGGTGGGAGTCTTGTGCTAGGTTCATAAATATAGCAGGACTCGAATATATTATATCTTGGACCTTGTCTGATTCGGACCTATGTTGCTCCACCTGCACCTTAATCATTGTAGGTAAGTAAGACTTAGTAAGTTTCTTATGGGAATTTGAGCTCATCGTCTGTTGAAAGGACAAACGCCAAAATACAAAGAGCAGTTGCTCCGTGAGCTGAAAGAATAAAGCTAAAACTCGCTACCATCGTGGAACTGTCAAAAGGAGGGTGCGGCTCACAAAGAGTAATTCTTTCATGTTTTTGCATCTAAAAAGTGAAACCAGATATTGATAAGATTAATGTGCTACACGATTGGAGTAAATGAAAGTTCGACACAGTGACTATAGGGAAAGGCTTGACACACTTTCTCCATTGTATGTTCGAGAGCAATCTTAATCTGATTGGGCAATGGTTCTTTAAAAACTGTATGCTATGATAGGCATTTGATGTGATAGGCGTATTACTTATGAGATTATCTAGGAAGTTAATTTGGTTCTCATATTAAACCCGGGGGTTATAGCACCCAGGACTTGCTATTATATAGGCTTGTGTCGGAATGACAGAATTGCTCGCTCCCCTTATGGAAAACTAGGGAGCATAGACATGAGAAGTACTAATACTAGATTCTTAGACATCGGTTTAGCAATGTTGTAAATTGTGAAATTCGATATGCCAGTAGTTTACTTATAGCTACTCATTGAGCCATGTTTCTTGGTTGATGTTTCATATGATTCCACCTGCGTTTCCACCTTCATAATAAGTGGTTGGCGTCTTGTTTATATCTCCACCAGAGCATTCATCCTCCCAGACACAGACTATCAAAGAAAGAGACTAGCACTGAAACAAGATTAGAGAAGTGTTTGCTTCCCAGAGATGACGACTATGTCGGAAATCTGGGTGAAATAAACGTGAACTAACACTTTGCTATTAACAATCATGATGTTATAACCATAAAATCTGAATTAACAACCCACTAAGCCATGAGCTAAGGAAGAGAACAGAGCGAATCATAAACCTAACATACTGTTCACGCCCATCCACGCTTGTTACGCTCCTTGTGAGACCTTCTCAAGCCAGTTATAAAGTCTCTTCCATGGACCCGATCTATCCTTTCTCCAACACTCCTCTTCAACCTCTACAATATTGCTTTGTCCATCTTCTGACATCTGAGTTTACTCAGGTCAAAAACATCAATATCAAGTCATACTTATAACACATCTTCTTCAAATCATAAAACAAAACAAACCCAAGTCGAGGACCTCTTTATTCCAGCGACACTACCTGGCTCTAGTGGCCTTACAGCACTCCAAGATGAGCTTTCTTAATCAACCCCTTGGTCATGGCAGGAGAGAGAGCGGCTCTTCTGACGACACGAGTGCCAAACTGTCACCTCCTACCAAGCCAGCAAACCAACTCATTGGTAATGAGGAAAGCCTAAATCCATGCCAGGATGTTGAAATCGACTCCATCAACAATCCGCAAGATTTCTTTCCCTCTGAACTAGAAAATAGTAACTTCGAAGATAACATGTGGGGTCGAGACTTACAAGTTGAACACATGTCTACGGAATTGACTTTCGATCCCAGTACGTCTTTTGATTCCGCCGACTACAATAGGTTCTTCGGCAGCGGTATAGATCGAGTTCCTGATTTGGTGCCAGGACCCTCCGTCTTTGAGAACACTGAACTTCGACAATCCTATCACTACCCTGGAAACGTAGGCTTAGCGAGTACTCGTGGGCTCGGTATCGACACAGGAAGCCAAGCATCCCCCTTATCTGACCCACTATCTACATTCACCAATTTGGCAGACAGAGCAGAAGAAGGGATTGCTGCCATCAGGAATATTACTCCTCCACAGCATATTGGCTATGGAAACTTAGTCGATGGAGATAATGCCCAGAACATTAACTCAACCATCCCGAACATCGCAACATCGGACCATCTTAAGAGCAACCAACAAAACAACAGGATGACAGGCCCAGGAAACTGGGAAATTCACCATGACCAACAGCACCGAATGAACCACTATCAACGAAAAAGAGATCTACCGCAAGAAGTAGACCAAGCCTCGTTCTATCCAGAAGCTCCCTTGGAAAATCAACCTCAACCTTTTTCATACCGAGAAGCTCCAATCCAGCATCAAGCAAGCCGGAGCACCTCTCAGAGCACCAAGATTCCAAACCAGAAGAGCACTAGAAAACCCCAGCAGTCAACCAAGACTCAGGTAGCAGATAACCTGAATGTTAATACCAGCGTCTTCACCGTCCAACCACAACATAGCGCATTGGTGTCTGGCGGCTCCTCTGGTGGCAGACCAGCCGCGAAAGACGTTCGCAAGGCTCGATCTGGTGAAGAAGTTGACAGACCCGCCGTGAGCACCATAAGCAGCAATATTACGAAGCTCAGAGGTGGATGGTCCCCTGCTCTATATGGCGAGCAACCGCTCAAGCTTGATACTGTACTGTCTGACCCATCCACAGATGAGACCTTGCGAGAGGACTGTCTGGAGATCTTTCACGTGCTCAGCCAAATGACACGAGGCGAGAGCGAGTATTTGCCGTGGTTCAATCAAGTGGAACAGTATATAAGCAAACCCGATGAAGAACTTGATGCCTTCGCCTCACATATCGGTTATGAAGGTGCCGCGGCGAAATATCTAACACAGCGTAGGGCCAGAGAGGCGGAATTCAGAGGAATCTGTGAGCGCCTAGAAGCTGAGCAAGCTGGTCAAGCTGGTCAAGCTCATCAAGCTGTCGGACAAGTTGGATTGGTTGGACAAGCTGAAAACCTCAGACCAAACCCTGCGGCCAGATCCAGATCTGGTCCCATGAGAGTATGTAGAGTTTGATACCAAGGTTCGTGATAAGTCTGGCTAACAGATATCAGAGGAGGCGATTGGCATCCTATCCGAGACGAAGCCGCAAAGACGAAGAAAGTGCCGAGCAGAACCGTCATCATTCTTCGCCAGATAATAGCCATCTATATCATTCAGGCACTGTTTCCCCCAGCGTTCAAGTTTCGACAAAACGCCAAAGACGAGAATAGGTCGAAGGCATCAGGCGACAGTCACTCTTCTCAGTGAATCTACTCCCCTGAGTATGGTTCGATCAGTGAGATAATCAATGTCTCGTCACTTCCGATTGATATTTGCAGGTCATGTATCGACCATTCAACAGTAAAGACTGTAGAACTTCAACGTGTGAGAACGAAAAGCAGAACATTTGTGTTGTCTGAAGAAGCACCCAAGCATGCCGGATGTGAGGCGAGGCATGCTGTTGTGTAGAAGGGTGAGGAAGGGAGCAAAACTATTTATTCAGAGTCTATCTTTAGGCCGTAGAGTTTGTTTTTTTGTTAGCATCGCGTGCTGGATGTGTACCTTATTAGCATAGTTGATCTTTATGACTATCTTACCAGAAAACCAACTTTCGTTATGTGTCTATCTTGCAGGAATGACTTGTAACATGCTCTCGTTTCACTGCCGGTAAAACTAATTTTTTATGTACCTATCGTCATCGCGAGTCTGCATTATCACAGACGAAGGCTAATCTGCATCAATAGATCCAGTAACTAGTTATAGTAGTGAAACACGACCATGCCACGTGTACGTCAAATCTGTTGTGTCCAGATGAATCGAAGGATGTCCATCATTCATCCGTGTCAATTCGACTCTAGTAGAGATTGCGGAACAAGATATGGGGAAGAAATCGTGGTCAATTGGATCAATCAATTCCAGAAATCTTTGGAGCATTCTTCAAAATTTTGCCAGACGAGACATTGTCGAAGACAAAGTTGCGACTTTGAAACCCACAATCACAACTCTGGATCGCGAAGAAGGCTCCAACACCAGCGAGATCCACCTAGAAGCATGAACTTGTTCCACGCGAGAATAAATTGATCACTCAATCGAGTCTATCTACCAGACTTCGGAAAACCCACACATCTCCCAGCACTGTGCCGCCACAAGGTTACAGCTCCAATGCTGTACATTGAGGAGAATAACATAGGCCATGAACTTTAACTACAAGATCAAATTACCAGCCTAGATGGTCCCACGCCATTTGTCAATCACACCAAATCCAACTCCTATCTCTATAATTCTTGTACTGCAGTCACACATCTAATAAGACATGGTCCAAAAAAAACACAGTTTATTGACTTCGGTCTAATATAGAATCCCTCGGCAATATCTTCCTAAAAGAGGAAACAGTTGTACGACTTTACGTTGTTGACCCAATCCTCCGGTAAATTGTTTACTCCAGGCGAAGGATCAGTTTCATTTCCACCACAATGATAGTCACTAGGTAGTCCGTCAGATCAGAACTTCCAAAACTCGAGTGCGTGAGAGAAGGGCAACTTACTCGAAGAGCATACAAAACGCACCATCAACCTCTGTCATGAACACACTACTCACAACCGTATCTTCAGGGAAATTCGTACATTCTCCCCAACTAGCCAGCGTAAGATCAGTGCATGGTTCTGCGCCGTCAGTAGCAGAGCAACCTCTGAGCGGAGCTACTAATTCAGATTGATCCTGTCGAATAGCGTACTATATTGATCATCGGTAAGTCAAGAACTTGGAGAGTTCGGAAGGGACCATACATCGTGTCTTGGGCTGAGGTTGGCCAATGAACTTCTCGTTGCCATACAAAGAGAAATCAACATCCCCCCAAATACGCATAAAGAAGCCCTCATTATGAATATGGTCTTACTGTTCTAATCAATATCGGTTGTAAATGATGAAGTTCAACGAGGTGAGTTTTGACTCTCCATTTCCGGCAGTCGTATACGTTTCATTATATCATCAAATCGGGCTGCTGCCTGTCAAAGCTTGTTTGATACCATACCAAGATCTCACATGTGGCCTTAAAACTTCCGAGTTCATCGTGGTACTGGTGTCTGATCTAATTGATTAGCCGAGGGGGTAAATATGCAGTGTGAGATACTTCGCATGTATAGACGCGGAACTTATCACAAACCCTTGGTAAATGATTAGAAACACGAGACGGGAACCATTAAAATTGGTCTGGTGCCCAAAATAGTTCGTTCTATACAAACACGGAAGATATCGTCAGCTATTTCGCCGTTTTGAGAGGGCTTAGGCAGTTGCCTACCTCAGTCCAGCTCAATTAGGCGGTAACAAAAGACGATATTTAAATTAAAAAAGTTGCTTGTCCCGTTTCTACGAGTTCCAAGGTTTGTGGTACAACAGGCTGCAGAGATTCTTGTTTCGGTCCCTCACCGACAAATCTTATAGGTGATCTACCGCTTGTAGCGAATAGAAGTTCCAGAATGTAACCGCACAAATACTCTCAACATCTACAATATTTTTGACTTTTGGTTTAATATATCAGAGAAGTCAGATCGGCTATTATAATTAGCACTGATCAGAATGTATATCAAAACATCTGTACTGGCCCCGCAAGCTTAAACCCCGTGATGCTCGTTTATTTCCTTATCAGAAAAAATCGAACTCCACGTGATCATTCAGTTCTCCACGCTTCTCGGAGATCTTTTGCTTTTGGCCCACTGGCTGCTTGGAACAAATAGGCAGCTTACAGTTGCGTCTGAATCGAGGCTGTTTCAACCCACGAAAGAAACAGTCCAACATTCAAAGCTAACCTCTGAGCTGAATCCCAGATCTCACAGCTCCAAAAGGACCAACGGTCAAGTTTCAACACAGACCAGTGTTTCGATGCCCTTTCACGAGTCGACAGTTACTTATATATTAAGATGGTTTCAAGTAGGTAGACAGGACGAAGACTCGATTCAACGTAGATCGTGGATGGATAGAAGATTTGCTAGTGCTTTCAAAGAAAGTTTCGAAATACGAGATTTACGTATCCGAGCTCGCATTCGCACTTCTGTACGAGTCCTTGCCCAAAGGAAAACGAACCATTGGGAGCATAAACATCTAGATCATGTCATGCAATTGACTAGTAGGTACCTCAAGGCTGAAGGTACACTTACTCGTAAAGTGACGCAAGGAGCACTGCCGATGCGATAAGAGCAAAACAAAAAAACCCTCCTTTCTCAACTTTTTTCTTTACTTGCGCTTCTCACTCGTTTTGTTTTTACTCACACATACTGTCTTTTAGCTTTTCACATTTGGGACTCAATTTTTCTCTTCTCCATTTCTTCGGTAGAAAGACTGGTAAGATGGGCAAACCAGAAGCATATCACACTTCATTTGAGCAGGAGAATTTCAAAGATGCGCCGCCACCGCCGTACGAGATTTCGTTTGAAAACTCGGTGACTACCGCATTACAAGGTATATCTTCTTTCGGACGTCTCCAGTATCTGTTTCTATTCAATGCTAGCTTCTGACCAGATCTTTACTCATAGAAAATGGCCGCTTTACCATGAATTTTGCGCCTGACAGTAAACTTCTTCAGTCATTACCACCACTTCCAACACAAGACCAGCCAGAAACTCCCTGGTCAAGAAGCTTCGAAGAGAGTCGATCGTTTCCAGTACTCAATATCGTAATGCAGGTAGTGGGTAGCAGAGGTAAATTCATGTCGGACACGAAGGAGAAAATGCTAATCAAAATTACAGGTGACGTCCAGCCATTTATAGCTCTAGGCGTGGAATTATTGAGAGTCGGTCATAGAGTACGATTAGCAACCCATGATACGTTTCGCGACTTTGTAACCAAATCTGGTCTTGAATTCTTTCCTATCGGCGGCGATCCCGCAGAGTTAATGGCCGTATGTTTCTCACTTCTCACATCTTAAGGCACAAAGGGCTTACCGGTGGATTTTTGTACAAGTATATGGTTAAAAATCCAGGAGTCATACCCACCTTGGAGACTCTACGAGGAGGCGAAATTCCGAAAAAGCGAAAGATGGTAAAGGAGATGTTGAAAGGATGCTGGAGATCATGCATCGAGCCAGATCCTATTACGAACATACCATTTGTCGCAGAAGCTATAATTGCGAACCCTCCGAGCTTCGCACACGTTCATTGTGCTCAAGCATTGGGAATACCTGTCCACTTAATGTTTACAATGCCTTGGACGGCCACACGATCATTTCCTCATCCACTGGCGAACATCCAGGCAACAGATGCCGATCCATCAATCGTTAATTATCTTTCTTACGGAATGGTAGATGTGATGACATGGCAAGGGTATGTTAAAACTAAGTTCGAAATGCTTGAACATCGGCTTACAAGACACTGACAGTCTTGGAGATCTGATCAATGGCTTTCGACGGGACACCCTTGATTTAGAAAAGGTACCAGCAATGTTTGATTCAAATTTGGTACAAACTGGAAAAGTTCCGTTTACGTACTGCTGGTCGCCAGCCCTCATTCCCAAACCAACAGACTGGCCTTCCACAATAGGTTAGCATTTTTACTTTACCGTGTACGTTCAGGGACTGATTATATCGCTTTAGATGTTTGTGGCTTCTTTTTTCGAACACCACCGTCATATGAACCGCCCCCAGATATTGATGAGTTTCTCCGAGCGGGCTCGAAGCCAATTTACATAGGTTTTGGAAGTATTGTAATGGAAGATGCACAGACAATGACGCAAAATATCATTGCTGCCATTGAAGAATGCGGAGTACGAGCTATTGTATCCAAGGGCTGGAGCAAACTCGGTGGTGGATTGGAACATGAGAAAATACTGTTCATAGACGACTGCCCTCATGGTATGTCAATCGATAAACGTTCGCTCAGGCAGCGATGTTTTCATGAGCTCAGCTAACATTATGTCTAATCACAGAATGGCTATTTCAGCATGTGTCCGCCGTTATTCATCACGGTGGTGCCGGTACTACTGCCTGCGGTCTGCTGAACGGGCTACCTACTGGCATTGTTCCCTTTTTTGGCGAGTAAGTATAGACCTGATTTTTCATGATTCCAAGCTGACATTTGTAAAGTCAACCATTTTGGGCTAATATGGTCGCTGCCGCAGGCGCAGGCCCACCACCAATCGATATAAAGTTATTGAATCCCGCCATGCTCTCCTCAGCAATCCAGACTTTACTATCCCCAGCCACCGTTGTAGCCGCAAGAGCAATTTCTCACAAAATGCAGACTGAAGAAGGAGTCCGGACGGCTGTGGCGTCTTTTCATCGCCATCTAAATGTAAAAGACTTGAGCTGTGATATAGTTCCAGGTCATGTTGCGACCTGGGCAGTAAAGGGTAGCAAGAAGGGGAAGGAACGAGCGGTGATTCTGAGCCACAGAGCAGCCAGTGTGCTAGTGGAGAAGAAGAAGATTCATGCTAAACACTTGCGCCTGTAAGTATGAGTTTCGGGGTTCAATCAGGTGAGAGTATTTAACATCACACAGGCATAAATCAAAACCAATCCACTACAAAATCACGAGGTGGGAACCAATTACGGCGATATTATCGGCTTCTCTTGATTCCGCTCTGGATATTGGATCATCCATCGGCAACCTAGCTTCAAATCCAGTCAAAGAATATCGGAAAGAGAAGTCACGAGCAATCCGGAGCCGAATTGCAGGTTCGGACCGTGGAACAGAAGATATATCTCCGGTACCGTCGATTGCCTCTGGATCCACCAGCACAACGTTGCTACAAATCACTGTGCCTGATGATCAGGGGGCTTTGTCAAAGCACAGCATTGATGAGGCACAAGAAAAAGAGGGCGAAAGTAATAGTGAATGCACTCACGGTGAAATTGAGTCAAGGCAACTAGTTCTGGCAGATCAAGGTCCGAGAGAGACGAGGGATAAGTCACAAGATTCCCGTGGTGCAGGACACGCCGCTAGTCGTGCGCTTGGGAGAGGGTTGGGAAGAGTCGGAAACTCATTTGTGAAAACTGCCATCGATATACCGCTTGCATTAAGCGAGGGACTGGCCGCAGTGGTAAGATTGCCACTGCATTTTCCATGGGCTTGGTGAAACCCACTGCTAACGATATATGGCAGCCTAAGTTATACGGAAACAAAGTTCGCGATGTAGGTCCTGTCTCTGGTTGGAAATCGGGAACCAAGGCAGGCATGCGGTCTTTTGGATATGGCATGTACGACGGCTATGTAGGTCTCTTTACAGAGACATACAAGGGCATCCGAGATCATGGAGCTCCAGGTCTGCTTTCGGGTTTTGCGAAAGGTTATGCTGGTTTTGTCACACAACCTGGCTCAGCAGTCCTTGGACTGGTGTCATATCCAGCGCTGGGTCTGTACAGGTCGTTGAACACTCGCTATTCTACGGGTGCTCAGGGGGCGATTCTACGAGCCCAAAAAGCTTATGGGCAACTGCTCGCAGAAAAGAATCCTGTCGTCGAGGAAGAAGCCAGCCAACTTGTTCAAATGTTTGATATGGCCACCAAAGGCCAAGTTTTTGATCATGATGATGAGGAATTAAGTGAAGAAATTCCCGTGGACGAAAGCCAGTACACGACGTTAAGAGAAACGAGCAGTATTAGGAGTAGTGGCCGGGTCATAGAGAAGGATCGGTATCAACGATCAACACCCGGCAGTTCTCCCGAGAGAGGTCGTAGCCTCAACCCTCGGTCTACCGCTGTCAGCTATTCAAGCTCCCTTCGTGCTCAGCCATGGAGTATCCGATCAGTAGATCAAGAAGACTTTGACCAAACTGAACATGATCACGCGGCGCTCACAGAATTTTCCAAAAGGGACAATGCAACAGATAGGCAAAGTCCATTTAGAGAATATAGCGACTCTAGGAGACTCGAAAACATATCAGGCACCATTTCACAAGTACCAAAATCAACTGGGCGCTTCTTTCCGGCCAATGAAAAGCCGTCTTTGTCTCATCGAGATTCGTTTCAATCTATACGCAGTACTCCAAGTTTCCTACCAGACACAGCACATCATGGGCCGGAACTTGGCCCACACAACCAGAGTATGTACAATCAAAAGAGCTTAACGTATCCCACAAGCAGCGAAGGCAGTACTCAATATTGCCAACCTTATCGATTGGCCGAACTCTCTGCGGTTCCCGAGAAAACAGCAAACTTTGTACCCTCTGCCTCTCCACCACCATATGAGGAAAGTCCCATATCTGAGCGGGAGGCAGGAGAGCTCGACCAAGCTATACGAGAAAGTATTGCTTCGAATAACGAGACACATCACAATTCTACAGACACCGAAAATGCGTTAAATGTCGCGCTCCGGGAGTCGATGCGACTAGAAACAGAACGTGAAGCGGTTGAGAAGCAGGAACTTGACGAAGCCATTCGTCGTTCCATGAACGTTGCCAGTAACAGTCCTCAATATCATTGAGCTATGAGAAGAAAACAACAAGGAACGACCTATAGATCTAGCCATGTCTTTCAACATTCATCAGATCCTATTCAACCTTCAAGTAAGCCTCCCTTCCCCCATCACCACTCATAAACCCCCTCCTTCCACACAAATCTCCCAACATCCTCCTCCCTCTCCCCCTCAACAACCCCCCTAATCAACTCCGCACTCCCCATCGGATCCCCCGCCTGCCCCCATCCACTCCTCTCCTCCTCGCTCGTCCCCCTAAGATTACTAACCACAAACCCAGGAGAAACCACAAAAACCTTCAGTCCCTGCTCCTTGAAATCCGTATACTCGAGCGTGGCAAGCATGTTCAACGCCGCCTTGCTACTCCGATACGCATCCTCATACTGCATCTTATACGCACTCTTCTTCATCGCCAGATTAATCGATCCGACGCCACTAGATATGTAAAGCGAGTACGGATTTGCACTCTTCAGCAGCAACGGACGAAACGCCTCGCTTACCAGTGCGGGACCAATTACGTTTGTCTTGTACGCTTCCGTAAGACGTGTCTGCATATCCGGGATTCGAATGCCTGTGGCCGCGTTATTAATCAGGACATCGAGGTGGCCATGCTGTTCTTCGACTTGTTTTGCGGCGGCGGTGATCGTTGAAAGGTCTGTGACGTCGAGATGGAGGATGGAGAGTTGGCTTTGTACGGTTCCGGTTGCTTCGATTACTTGTTTGGCTGCTTGCAATTTGGGAAGGGAGCGTCCGGTCATGATAACGTGGTAGGTTGGGAAGGAGGAGAGGAGTGTGGCTGTTGCGTAGCCTACTCCAGAATTGGCGCCTGAACTTTGTTAATAGAGGTAAGAGTTTTGAGGTATTGGGATAGACGTACCAGTTATGAGAACGGTTCGTAGAGCCATGTTTATTAAATTTTGTTTTGGTTGTCTGGAAGGTATCGATAGTGTTGAATTACGATCCAGAACTCGAGTCCTTCGGACAACATTTATACTTGAATCATTTTCTCTGTATCTTCAGACTCCCTACATATTCACTTTTAGTGAGCAGATATCAACACGGAATTAAGAGTTTCTCCATGTCTCTAAGGTCCGTAGACGGACTTAGGATTACATGTGGTTGAAGGTGTGGTTGTACTAACCGCATCGGGAGAAACCCAACGAGACGTGTGATAATTGATTGTACAGAAGATGCGTAGTAGGGAGCAGCACGATATTAATGAGCAAGTAAGGAAGAGCATAGTCATGATATAGTAATGAATTACCAAATCCCATCAGCTTGGACAGCACTAAAATACAAATCGTCTTCACCTCCACAGACCCACTCTTATATGAACATTTTTGTTATGGTATCATGAACGCTCTGGTATTCAATTCCAGCCCAATCTCGCAGTGTATCCGTTCGATGCCATAGGAAACCTCCACAACCCAAAGAAACAAGACAGAAAGAAAACATGCGGCAAGGGAATCCATGCGTGCGTTACGTTGCAACAAAACAAATACAAAATCAAAAGTAGTGAGTCTGACCTCCCAATGTATGCTTGTCATGAACTTCATACCTCGCATTCTCATTAGGCATTACAGCAGCCGTGATACTCCGGCAGTCGTCGTAATAGCTCGTTGTATCTCCATCTGCGAATAGGCTTCTTCACGCCATGTAGACTCCATAGCAAGGTGCAAGGGTCGATTAAAAATCCCAGAAATCACCGCCAGTCGCTTGTTGCTTTCCTTGAGTCTTTCCGGTTTTAAACTTGGGTACGACTTCGTCATCACTTTCGTCGCCGAAGCCCCATGAACGGCCACCACCTTTCTTGCCCCCCATTCCATCACCACCGATATTGATACCCTGAGGCGCGTCGTTGCCGAATCCCCATTGTGGTTCTGTTCCTTTCTTTCCTCCCATACCATTGCCACTGGACTTGATACCAACATTCTTATTAGTATTTTCAGACAATGGTCCCTTGTTGGACGCGTTCGGTCTCGATGAAGCTGGCATGTTTTCCTTCTGAACAGGCGACTGGTCATAAGAGCCCCAATTCGCATCCATCATCTTGACAGCCTTAGCTTGGTTTTCAGTTATACCAGGCCCAGGTTTGTGGGCTGGCGAATCATCGGTCATGGCAAAATGAGGATCGAAATTTTTCTTACGATCCTTGACATTAGCCAGAGTATTAGACTTGTTGAACTCCTCTCCACCAGCTGTACCTCCTTCACCATCATCATACAAGTTGTTCTTGTAGAGGCCAAGACCGTTATTTTGACCTGCACCACGTGGTCTGCCGGGAAGACGTTTGTTTTCGTCTTGTGGTCCATCATCTATGAATTCGAAGTGAGTCTCAGCGTCCTTGCGAGGTTTGTCAACCTTTTTGACCTTGACAGGACTGGCAGCATCCTCGTCACTGTTATTGCCCCAATGGCGGACATCGTTAGTCCGTTGAACCTTGCTTGGGACCACCTTCTGAGGGGTAGTAAAATCATCAAAATTCCACTGGCTTCCGTGTTTGGCATGAACTTCCTTCATTGGCTTCTGCTTGGGTTCCTCTTCCTCAACGTCACGATCAGTCATATCAAAATGCTCATATCGCTTTGGGTTGGGCTTATAAAAGGCTCTTTTGCCTTCCTGGCCTGAGGCGACCAGTGGCTCAACGGTGTCCTGTTGCTCATCCTCGTCACGATCGAAAAGGCGCGAAGGAGCATAGTTCTTGCTTGCTCCAGCTTTGGCGAACTTGGATGGCGATTCAGATCGGTCGCGAGCGGCGTCATTAGTTGGTGGAGCAAGAGAGTCGCCATTCACAAAGAGCTCGCTGTACTCCCGTGGTGGTGGTCTCGAATTTGATGATCGCTGGGCCACCGGTTGATTTGCAGCAGGGTTCTTCTCGCGTGGCCCGAACAGTGAAAGAGAAGCGTGAGGATCGCCGGTAATGTGGCTCGAATTGCCTCTCGATCTGGCAGCAGGTTCTTGTGTGCTTGTCGGCTTGCCTGCAGATTTGACACTTGAAAGGATCAACTTAATCTGGTCCTTGCCATCGCGAATAGGCCAATTGCGTCCCGTCTTGCCAATGACATCGATGAGTTTGAGAAGCGATCCCTGATCCCAATTTTGACGTATCTGTGAAATCTTTCCTTCGGGGTTGAAACTGACAATATGGATCTGTGGGGACAACAAATCAGCCACAATGTCCCGCTTATACGCAATGAAGCCTTGTAGAACTTACAATTGGAAAGGTTACCACGCGATCTGCGAGGAAGTTGTCGTCCAAACTTGGCAGATAGGCACCGCCTCCGGTCAGAAACTCAATGGTAGTGTGTACCTCGACGACAAGAGCGTTTGCAGCTTCGACGACATCCAGAACCTTTTCCTCCTTCTTCTTGAGCTCGTTGTTCTGGCCCTTCAAGTATTTGGTGATCTCGGCCGCACCGTGAAGCGAAGTCAATGTTGTAATGTAATGGAGCGCTGCGTCTTCTGCGAGGAGTGATACATCCGCCGTTGCGAGGAACTTCTCGTAGATACTCTGCAGCGACATCTTGATGTCAAAGACTGCCTTATTTGCTGGGTTTCGGCAAGTGAGTCGATGTGCAAGGCGCAAATGCGTTGGACGAGTTGTGAATCTGTGCAAGGAAGTGCACCGTGGATTGAGAAGAGAAAGGAAGGCTCAGCCTGGCAGGTGAAGAAGCGAACGTCGAGGAAGTCTATCCGTGTGTCTTGGTCGATGTTGGCAGGCGCGACCGAAGTGAAGGAATGGACGTGTTGATTCGTGCGATTCTTCGGTGCAATAACAGAGCAAGAAGAATAGAGTAATAATAGTTCATCTGATATAGGCCAGCTGCTCGTTGTTTTTATTGCGTCTTCATGCGACAAACCGTCTCAGGGGCATCACGACTGCGGGGCACGGAATGTAATGTTATTTTTGTTTTGTTTACTTTCCGGGGGTCTGTTCGTCTGAATCCAGGGTCTGAAACGCTCTCGACTAGCTTCCAACACCCACCTTTGCCGTTCTCAATCGTATTTGGATTAGTTGACATTGTAAACGGATTAGCCTGCTGGTCGTTTGTGTCTCAAGTGATCAATTCAGCCAATGATGCAGTACTAGAAGCCTCTAACCTGGTTCCCGTCGCTGTCCCGGTTGACCAAGCGGGGAGCTGCAGAGGATCGAGTCACGTGGTACAGAGCACAATGCACAGTGCTTCCAGTCGCGGTGGACAAAAAAAGTGGCAGTCGAAAATACGATAGTTTCTTACAAGATTGACGAAGTATCGTATTCCGTCATTCATTTCAAGTAAATAAACCCTTCTCAATTCGAAGTCGCCCTATTCAATCCAAATATTAGTGGGCAGATGACTGACTTGTTCACCGCGAGAGTGCTCAAGAATACTCTTGCTCTCAGCATATTCCACCACAACCGTGTGTCGAAGTCCAAGCCCATTGCCCAGCGACTTCACCAGCTGCGCAGTATCCGCAGTGTCAGTCCTGAGCTGCTCGAGATGCTTGTATGTTCGGCTTCCTCTTCCTCTCTTCTTGTTTTCTCCTCTTCTTTCTTCCCCTCTTCCTCTCTTCCTCTCTTCCTCTCTTCCTCCCTGTTTGAACTCCGAGTACTTGGAAAGGCCAGTATATCCTCCATTTGAAATGTTCCTTGGGTCTACGGAGGAGGGATCATGGCCTTCCCGAGTCGCACTGCAATTGTCTGGGTACTTGGTGGAGAGACTTATTACGTACGGCATCCCGAGGGCATTCCCCCAATTCTAAAATCCAACAATGCGATCGAAATCTCACTGCGATCGGATTCACACTCCTCTGCCTGTGAGAAGCAGGATTGTTTTTCGAACGGCTTCGCCATGATAGTTGGAGTTGGGAGTTGGAGACGCAAACATATCAACATCTATTCAAATCATGGCGGAGCCTTCTTGACGGCGCAAACTGTGAACGACGGCAAGCCCAGCATTCTCACCGGGACCAGGACTGCTCTTGCTAGTCATCAACTCTTTTCAACTCTTTGCATTTCTTGCTGAGAGTACTACGCTACCGTACTTCTCTGGCTGATGTCCGCTTCATGCTTCTTCATGCGTTGTACTATCGAGCTGCAGGCAACCCCGCGAATCTCGTCATTATTTACACACACTGGAACATGGTGAAGTGTTTGCATCTTCGATTCGAGCTTCTTCCTCGCCTTGGCTTGCCCTCTGGAGTGCCACACCGGAGAAATCCTTCAATCATGGTGTTCGTGTACAGCCTCTTTGGCTGCGGATGCTCACCCATTGGTTCAGATGTCACGTAAGTTTGGACGCGACCAGTGAGAGACCGTCTCTGCTGTTTCATCTTCCACCTCGCCAACAGCTCGCATCTCCCTCTCGTAATCCTTGGTGTTCCCCACGATTCCTGAGCCTCAATTGCGACTACAAGACTGGACGTCGGCCTCCGAAGTGTGGCCTCGACGGTGTTGAGCATTACTTGGACTGGCTTATCGACACATTCACTAGCCACCGACGAACTCTCCAGGCTCATGAACGTATAGTGTCGTGACGCTTGCTATGTGCAACACTGTCGCTCGATTATCTCTGTAATTTGACAGTCTTCTGCGTCCTTAACTCAATCGGAGCAAGCTCGAAACATGGCGACCTTTGTTTCTTCCTTCTTGGCCGCCGCTAATGGCCTCAAATCAATACTCACCACACAAGACTTTGGGTCGGATTACGAGTTACTTTGCACGGAACTCTCACTTCAGTCATTGAGATTTAGGTTATGGGGAGAATCGGTATGTGTTTTCTTCATTATAAGCGTCTTATCTTGCTGATAATTACCAGGTCGGAATACATGTTGATTTTCCAGAGCGCACACAAGCTCACACCTTCACGCGCGCTGAGATTCAAGGCACAATTACGCAAGCTGTCAACAGTGTCATTCATTTACTTGCAGATGTCGAGGCCCTTCGGCATAGATATGATCTGAAATCGACCCGCATCTCAACATTTGGCGGTTCTAGGAAGAGCTCTATTACGCAAAGGGAAGCTGGGTTAACTGCTACTGACTATCAACCCTCAGGGGTGACCCTTTTGAGGGAGCGCATGGAAGAGAATCAGCAGCAAAAGTCGTTTCTCAGTCTTGCTAAATGGACACGCACCGATGCGAAGAAATTCGAGGAGAAAATTGCGAGACTCAAGAGTTTAATTGATAGCATGGAATCGATCAGCAAAGTAGCCGAGTTGACCTCAGCCATCACATCGCCAATACTACCAAATTATACACCAACAACTTTGGAAGAAGGTCCACCAGCATACACGGAACGACAGGAACGGCCTGTCATTGCTGAACGCTCAGGATCATCTGACTGGCCTCTTCCATCACCGCGATTGATGGAAGTACAAAGCAGATCTCCCAGATCGCGACGGCCTCGCCTTACTTCGATCTACAGCTCACAAAGCTCAGATATTGTGAAACATCATACGGCATTTGTCACATATGTAGCTGGTATCGATGGTACCAGCGATAGAGAGGCATCTCCAAGGGCTCGAGACAAGTTGCAGCGTCTGTCTTCAGTTCAGTTCAGCGAGTTGAGCTCAGACATATATGATGAGGTTGTGCGTCGGCAAGAATATAATGCGTATGTCTATCACGACATACGACAAGAGCCGCGTTTAGAAATGGTTGCAGACACCCTTCCAGAGAAATCCGATTACCACCCAAAGCGGAATGCGGCCCGTCAACGACTGGCCACACTTCGCACTCAGCGATTCCGCGATCTTGTTAACGATATGTTAGTGGAGATAGAGCGCCGCTCATCTCTACCACCGCCTCCAACGAGTGGTATATCGTATCAATCCCTCTCCGCATTATCATCCCCCAACATCCTCTCTCCAGTATCCACTACAGGCTTTTCAGCCGCCAGTACTCCAGCCACTACGCCATCTAACTCGCCCCCAACCACACCAGAACTCCCTTCTGTCGAAGTCTTCAAGTCATTCCGCGTGTCCCCAAATAGTACAACTAACCAGGTCCTTCCAGAGGCGCTTCGCAAGTATCACATCAAAGCTCGGTGGCAAGATTATCAACTCTGGATTATGTATGGAGATCAAGAACGTTGTCTTGGACCTGAAGAACGACCCCTGAGCATATTTCGTGAACTAGAAAGAGATGGGAAGAAACCTATGTTTATGTTAAAGAGCCACAAGAAGCAAACTACGGGGGCGAGTTCTGCCAAGAATGAGGGTTTTACCAAATGAAGAGCGTAGGAAGTGCATCTCTTACCTGTCGATTGTGACTCTCAGTGGTGCGTCGTGGGGGAAGCACCCTGGGTGTGTGCTTCTCATTTACTATTGGGGTTCATGGGTCGTTTTATTTCTTAATTTCTTGTGTACCTATTATTCGGCGAAACAATAATGTTTAGGCGCTGTGGGCTTGGTGAAAATGGTGTTTGGGACATGTTTCTGGGATCATGCTGCAGGTGCAGGCATGGTCTGCGGAAATGGAGTTAGGGATTGTGAGGCGCATAACTCTTGATACCATTGATTTATCATTACCTCTCTATATGTGTCTTTTATTTGCTGTGTCTACGGGGTTTTGGTGAACTCTTGAAGAAAAGGAAGCTAATCTCTGCCTAGCGGAAGTTTTTACTTCGTGTATAGCTCCCTCATTGGCGCCAATAAGATAGTATTGGTGTCGCTGTGTTGACCCAAAGTATGGAGTTGCTCTCTGACAATTGAACGTAACGAAGCCTCGCGGTGGAACTAAGTTTATTGGATGGTAAAGACGTTCGTCCATTTATTCTGTCCTCTACCTGCGAGTAAAGGTGCAACAAGCGAAAGAGGCAATCGAATAAATGCAGATATTAGTATCAACACTGTCATTATACAATCTAGTGGGTGCTGCCCAAAGCATCTATGAATTACGGAAAAGTGCTAGCTAGCACACGAGTCACTAGATAGCTTCATATTAAAAACATATCCTACATCACCACCCAAGTTCTCCCCACTTCAGACCACCTCTCATATCCCTTTCTGGCCACCTTTCATAATCCAAAGCCTCCCCGAAATCCAATATCTACGACCAAGCCAAAGAGCATGACCGCAACACTACCACGGAAGACCCTCGGTCTCACCACCTCTAAATCCTCACCCCATCCCGCCCCTCACCATCCACCTCCATCTCCTCATCAAAATAATCCCAATACCCCGAATCCTGCTTCCCGTTTAACTTCCCCTTCGATTGCTCTTCCTCGTTAGGCACAATCCAGCACCTCCTCAACGGACTCGGGTAATTAGCTCGATACTGCGCCAACTTCCGATCTTCATCCAGCAACAGCTCGCCATCAGATATAATCGCGTCGACCAACGTGAATCCCTTCTCCATAAGCTCGTCTTCGTAGTCTTCGGCTTCTTTCCACTTGGCGTGTTCGGCTTCGGCGGTGGCTAAGGAGGCCGACAACCAGTTCCCGGATGAGCTGCGTGGACTGCGTTTGAGGAGGTCTTTGCTGCCTTTGCGTGACTTTGGCGGTGTGGTAGTCGCGTCTGATACTGGATTTTCCGCTAGGATTTGAGAAAGTTCGTTCGTGTCAATCTCGTCCCGTGCCTGTATCTCTTGCAGATCTTCAAGCAGAACGTCCTCGAACTCCAGATCGTCATCGTCGTCCTCGTCGCTTTCGTCGAGGAGAACTTGAAGGGGTTTTCTACTGCTGTAGGAGTATTCGACGGATACGCCGCGTGTGGTACTGTACGAGTAATCGATGGATAGTTCGCGTTCTGCGGGTTGGGATTTCTCGTATTCCGTCATTTCGTTGAGCATTTGGGAGAGATTTGAGTCGTTACGCGGGATAGTTCTGATGGGGAGAGGTGATGAAGGTGAGGCTTTGGAGGTATTACTGTAGGATAGATCGCCTGTGAGGCTTCTTCCTATGTTCATTGAATCATCGGTTTGTAGGTCTTGACCACATGCCATACAGCAAATGTCTGATACAATCAGTCTCTGGGCTTTGTCTTGAGAGAAATGCTTTATATGGTAAGCTTACCGCCAGTATCATCCATGTCCATGAGCATTCTCCCGTTCCAAAAAGTTGTGGCTAGCTTTGTTGCGCAAAGGTGGTTGATTCTTCTGCTGGGTTAGTTTGAAAGTAAACGTCAGAAGCAAATCGCGTTTGCCTAAAGAAGCTCAAAGAATCATTCCAGTTCCCGTCACGCATAGTGAATAGGTATCAAACAGCCGAATTAAGGTTGAGGCTCTTCGGACAAACATCACACATTCACTCGACTTTCATTCAAACGTCACTTGTAAGCGAAGAGTGACTGGATATGATGAGTAGATTGAAAACGTGACTCTGTTCTCGGATGATTTTCACATGAGAAGACTCACTGGGTATAGAATCTCATTGCGTGGCATGATAATCAGAAGTCTATATGACAGTACAGACGAGAAAGAAGACTTTTTCTAATGCTTGTTGATTATAAAAAGGTTGAATATCCTTTTTCCGTAAATCCAATACTATAATAGATATAGTGCTACCGACATGAGCATACAACTTAAAATCCCAAATATCTCAGATCGATTCCAAATCCATCAACCATTTTTATGTGCAAGAACTCGATATGGCAATTTTACTCTCAGGAAAATTTCTTAAAGTGACTGACGAGTTCCACTCCATCCTCCACCCGTGTATAAAGATCTACACCTCTCATTAACAAGATAACTGCAGATAGCCATGCCACAATCTGCTCCCAAAACAGTTCTTCGGAACTACTGAGCAACTCATCTCGGTGTTAAGCTCGGACAACCCTTTTTCTCTCATCTATCAAAATGTGCAACTCTCTCCTGCAGTCTCTCAATTCGTAGCATACTCGTTCCAAACACCATTCCAATAAACCCAGACCCTCTCAGTTGCACCGTCCTCTCCTTGCACAAACTGCGCCCACTCTCCCGGCAAGATCTCATGTTGGAACGCTTTTGGCGTATAAGGATTCGCAAAATTAATCAACTTGGCCACGCAGAATATGTAATAGGTAGCGATATCGTCAATAGTGGTATTTTCCACACCAAATTTATTGGCTGGATTTGAAACATCGGCATTAGCTTGGTGAATGGCTTCGTTGAAAGCATCTCTGTAATAATCGACGTCTGGGACGAAGCCGGGGTCGGGTTTGTAGATATTGGGTTCTGTGGCGAAGGAAGGGATGAAGGTTTTGTTGTTCGCTAAGGCTTCTTTTTGTTTTTGGACAAGGAAGGCTTTTTTGAGAAGAGCGTTGAAGTTGTCGGAGCTCTCTTTGTGGAGGGTGGAGGAGTTGCTGATGGTTGATGCTGTGGTTCCAGACTTGGTGGTGGAAGAGGAGAAGGAACCTATATTGTGTTAGCATATCGTAAATGATAAGTATTTTGGCGAGGATATGGGCAAATAAAATGGTGTGAACACACTTGATCTTGATTGTTCTGAACCCGACAAGATTGGGGATACATTCAGTTTACTGAAGCCAATAATAGCAGGATCAACAAAATGAGATGCCATGATGGCCAAGCCTTTTCTTTCTCAGCTGTGTTTACTTCTTGAACCGGTGCAATTGTATTTTTTGCAGCAGATACTGAAATGCTACGAGGGTGTTGTGGAAGCATTCTCTAGCTTTCCATAGTCCTACAGAAATATGAGGCCATCTATTTAAGCTCTGCTTATCAAGGCACGGAAATGAATTAATCTTTGTTGCAGTTCATGTAAGTTACCCAGATGTGGTGAGATATCTAGCAAACTGGTCACCGATATAGAGTCACTTTGAGAAGTGAATCATCTAATTCATGTCTATTTCGGAGGCTGCAGGTATTGTGACGAACACTGTAGTTCGTTACACAAGATTGCTCGACGTCACAAAGAAGTCTTTGCTGTTACCAATTTGATGTTTTACTTTCCAATTTGATCCTTATCACAATCTAGAACAGTCCTATGCAGGTAGCCTTTCCTTTCTTATCATGCACCTAGCCTCAGGTTCAACCAACATGTTCGTTTGTTCTGGCTCGGTATTGCACTTCACTTATCAGTCTAGGATCCAACTTTGATTGCATCCCCAGTCATGACTTAGCGGTCCGTCATCGCTGTTCGATGATTTGGTCGCCTCGGAGACTTGAATTCTCAGTTCTTCGACCTCTATTGTCCAGGACCACCGTAGGGAGCTAGGCCTTCTCGGCACGAACCAGCCATATTTGCTGTCTTGATACAGCAGGTCCTCAGCCCATTCTTTCTCCTTGTACTCGACCTTAATTCCATGCATATCGTCAACGCAGGTCCAGGCCCCCCAACGACAATTTGCGTCTTCTATGCGGCTGGTACCTAAATCCAACAAGTTTTTATTTATAAAGGTCGTTCTGTTGTTCATCACTGGCCTTTTGATTCCCTGTATCCGTCTCATAGCAACAAATCTCTGTATGGCTTTGTTCAAGATGAGGTTCAACCTGATATATTCCTGCCAATTTGTGCTGGAAGGAATCATAGACATATCGTGCGCGGCCGAGAAGACAGTGGAGGATAAAGAATTCCGCCGCAGTCTTATCGCTGGAAGCCAAACCTTGAGCTGCGGTTCCGATCCCAAGTCTTTGTTTCTCCCTACCTTCGCTTCTTCCTTGATTTGGAACCTCAACTCGCTGATGTGCTTCGTTTCGCAGACGTCTCGATTTTCTTTCGCATTGTTTTCCCTCTCGATTTTCGATCTGCTCCAAATGGTATTTTGCGAAAGTCCCTGCAAACCTGGAGAATTGTTCTGGTGGTTTCGTATCTGGAGGATTCGTCGCCAACTCTTGCTGGCAGGTTTAGCAGCGGCGTCGTCTTCTTTTTCCATCATGACCTCTACAAGAACTTGGGCAGGTATCGACAACTTCGGATCTCTCTCTTTCTTTCTTGTTCCTCTTCTCGTCTCGGTATATGAGGATTCCGACGATAATCAAAATAGGGATAATAGGAATAATCATACTCAATTTAGATAATCCGATAGCGAAAGTGAGTTTGAGAGGATGTATTAGGATTTGAGTTGAGTCGAGTTTGTAGTGTATTACTCCATTGGCTGAGGAGGAGAGATTACCTTATGGTGAGGTTGCGATAAACATGGCCAGCTGGGTCGTGGTTGCTCTTTTCGCAAATTCACCCAGCATCCAGCAGGATACCTAGCAAATGAAGCATTACGGAGGTCGCGAATGACGTACTACCATAGACCGGAATTCTTACAATTAGAGTTGATCAAGTGCACGATAACGTATCAATTGTATCGGTTCAAAAAATGATGTTTGGACTACCTCATAACTGCTCTGTTAACTACAAGCTCCCTATCACACAACATCACCTTCAAAGTTTTCAAGGTATGAACTTCCCACATACACAACTATTGCAGAATCTTGGTTTATGTTGAACCGGAAGTCTTCTGCGAAGCTTCCAAGTTATCAATAATCAAATAGATCGAGTAAATTAAAACGCACCTCCAAGGGTGGCAGTTCAGCTGCTGTGAAGCCCAGCCCACGCCTATAGATCAGCAAATGAATACAAGCGACAAGTGCACCATCGTTACTTACTGGCTCTCCCTTTATCCAATAGCTCTGGATTTTCAACGACCAAATAATTTTACAAACTGCAAAACCATTTAATGTGATTCATGGAAGCTTCAAGACAACCTAGGCCGGGTGTTTAACCACTGAAACACAACAACCAATGAATCGGCTTACTCTGTATGTACATACGAACCTATAAACTTTTCCAATTCGTCTATTTTTCATTCCGATCATGCTTACAATGGAAATGTCATAGAAAAATCCAGTATTCTAAGAAGCATGGTCACTTGATTTGAATCAATGGATCGAGGATAAGACTTTTTAGGGTTCCAGAATGTAGTTGACTATTAACAGAAGAATAATATATAGCATTAAGAAAGGTTTCTAAACACCAACGACGCCGCAATGCTAATTTCCTAATCTTTCTATCCATATGACCTTTTTAACAGTTTCTCCATTGAATACCGGTAACAACAGTTTTGACATTCACATAAGTATCGGCACTAGTGGCTTTTCTCATTCCCACCCCAGTGTTTATATTAAGTGGTAGAGGAGCACCGCATGGCGACCAGATTTGGGAGCCGGCCGGAATGCTCTCTCTGTAGGTGTAGTCACCATCGAGTGGACCCACGTACGTGTGTATGACATTGTTTTGAGCGGTGCCTGGTGGATTGAATTATTAGTACTTAAGTTAAAGTATGTCCACCCTTGAGAAAGAATGCTTACTGCCAGAGAAGTAATATACAGCATTGTGACGTGCGTCCGCTCCTGCGCCAATATCCACTTCATCGTAGAATGTGGCATCAGTGACCGCGAATTGGAGATTTTTGGGATATCGGATATCGAGGTTGACTTGGCAATTTTTACGAGCATAACCACTGTTTGCGGACCCCAGCTCGAAAGCTGTGTATTTTATCGTTATACTTTGGAAGAATTTATTAGCAGCGGAGCATAGTCGCTAGCCCATTTGAAGATTGCTCAAATGTTTGGATTGATATGAATGTTTTTTGGGTTCAATCTACCTTTTCGCATCAACTGAAATCGAGAAATCAGTAGATCCTTGCGGACAAGCAGAGCCGCCGTGTGAGGAACTGGCAATTGAAACGCCCGAGATATCAGGGCTATCTCCTTTCACTGTTGCCAAAAGCAATCCAAGCCCGACAATCGAAGCGTTGATTAATAATGAGAACATCTTGAAATGTGTATGTACTGATAAGAGAGCGATGGTTCAAAATATCTAGGAAAGGGCAAAATTCTAGAACTAAATGCGATCTTGAGAAGCAGGCAACAGCTTTATACGCCCATCATGTCACTTTGATCATAGACAAGAAAAGCAAGGTCTGAGTTCCGACACTATATGCTAAAGTGTCTCTTTGGATAAATCCCCAATAATAGATGTCTCGTGGCGAAAGGCATCAAAGCGTACTTGGGAATATAGGCTAATGAGATAAGAACAAATATATGAGAAAATATGCTCGGGTGGTACAAACTTTAAGGTTATTCGGTAATCGGAAGTGATGACCCCGCAAATCCTACTTGTTGTTCGACCGAATGGGCCAGTTATATCTTCACTTGTCGAGTGCTACCAAACTTTTCAACGGCGGTGTTACTGTTGGTGGGCCTGGTGGCAAAGATCGGAGGAGGGGTGGCCGTATGATGATGCCTAGTTTCCTGTATAAAACCTTTAATAACCCAGAAGTCTTGGGTACTCTTGAACTTTTTCCAGCATTCTGGTTCTTCCTAATTCTACATGGAACCCTTGGAGGCCAAGTGTTTGGGTAGAAGCGAATATTGATCGGCGGTCACTTCACTACATCCTTGGAAAATCAACCAGCAGGACAATTCTTGACTACAATTAAGAATGTCCCACGCTGGAGTTCATTACTAATTGCCGTGAGATGTGTTGAATATATATTAACATCTATTTTCTCGGCCTCATTCGACTATACCTTTCGATCAATTTCCAAATCGCAAGCCACGAGCTGAGGCTGCAACGAATTACTTACATCTTCATAATAATAAGTAAGGTTTACTAGATGGAGTGGTCTCAGTTGTAAGAAGGTATAAACGAACTTTCGGAACTTTGAGTTCTGCCTGATGCAAGGCCATGTGGGATCTCGAAGTGTTCGCTTGTCGATAGATGAAAATGAAACAAAAGAGTCAATATTGTACTACGTCGGCAGTCACACCAAGAATCTTGTAAGTAACTTTGTCTTCAACACGTGTTCCCTCTTCACCTACTCTGTAAATTTGAGGTCAGATGGATTTTGTTATCTCTTGCTCTGTCCATTTTTGATTACGAAGTCGTTCCATTGAAGAGGAATTGAGGGATGATTGACGACTTGTTCTCAGGTAGTCAGTCAGTAGCTTAGGTTACGGTTCGATTTTCATGAAATGAAGTCTGGTACATCATATCGAATCGAAGATTTCAGTCAGCATGATTATAAACATCTTGAAGCTATTTCCATATTTTAGTAATGGCAGATTCTGTGCAGGCAGCAAATTTCATTTGCTTTTAATATGAATATAGTAGATTTACGAGGGAAAATGAACTAAAGCTGCCGCCTGGATATGGAGAATCCCACTCTCGTTGCGATATAAATTTTCTCGTAAAGGACACTGCTCACCAATCTTTAGACTGAAAAGATCGACTTTGAATAGAGGTTAGGACGCTGTCAATTACTTAAAATGATTGAAGAAATATGTGATGGGGTACTAAGTTAATTGACTATATACACGATGTTTCGTCGATTGTTTTGAGAAAAGTTTCGACTGCCACTTACTTTTCCTTACCGAGTCCCTTTATACGAGTTTCATTTTAGCAAAGATAAATTAAAATTCCATTCTAGCTGAACTCAATACCCCCATCGATGATCAAAGTCTGCCCCGTCATATAATCACTGTCAGGACTACCTAGATAGCTAACACACTTCGCCACATCCTCAGGAACACTTGTCCGTTTGAGAGCGATCAAGTCCTCGGTATATTTCTTTATCGTATCTCCCTTCTTACGATCTTGCTTCTTGCCTAATTCTTCATCGATCAAGTCCCACATCGCAGTTCCTACAATACCAGGTGCGTATCCATTGACTGTGATCTTGTGTTCCGCCATTTCCATAGCAAACGCTTGCGTGAAGCCTCGAACAGCCCACTTGGAAGCCGAGTAGTGAGACAACAGAGCAAATGGCTTGAAAGCCACAATACTATTCGAATTGAGTCAACACCCAGCTCTTTATCTGCGGGGGAAAGGGTCATACCTTGCACAGCCAAGTAGCTTCCCTCCAGAACCTTGTTTGATCATTTGCTTAGCTCCAGCTGTATAACAATTGAAAACGCCAAAGACGTTAACCTCGAATATCCGGCGAACGTCATCTTCAGTAAGGTCTAGGAGAGCCTTTACTTGGGCAATTCCAGCATTGGCCACCATCAGATTCAGATCTCCGAGGGTTTTGACGGAAGCTTCCACGAGGCTCTCAACTTCCGACAATTTGGAAACATCTGCAGCATGTCCATATGATTTTCTACCAAGGGCTTCAATCTCTTTCACTGTCTATTGATAATCACATTAGCATCACACTTCTAATGAAAGCATTACACAGTTGGTACCTCTTCAATCCCCTGTTGATTGGCTGATATATCATTGATACAGACGTCGTATCCATCCTCAGCAAGTCGAATGGCGATTGCTTTCCCGCTGTGACAGTATTTAGTACGATATCATCTCGTAATATAACACTTACTCACATTCCACGAGCTGATCCAGTTACAATAGCCGTTCTTTTTCCATAATCCTTTGTAACTGCCGTACTTGAACTTCCACCACTCTTTCCATTACTCGCCATCTTTGATTGTGGATAAATCTGCAAAGAAACTACGTGGTCACACGAGATAAGAGTGCGCAAACGAACAGCACAAAATACAGAGTAGAACCAGGAAGGAGGCTTGATCGAAAAATAAGAGAGTATCAGAGTGTCTTTCGGAAGGAACTCTTGAGCTATAAACCACCTTAGCTCACTTACAATGCGGGGTCGAGGGGAAACGGAAGTCGCAATGTTTGAGGTAGGGAGGGGGTTCTGACGGTTGGATTCCGCTTCCACCCCACCAAACCCCGCCTCCACGTCTTAGGGCTGACAGGCTTCGTACCACATGTCAGTAGGAAACATCAGAGAAAGATGAGTTTGTGGGCACTTGAAGGCCACTATAAAATCGTTTTGGTTTTGTGATGAGCTCGAGGAATCTTGCGGTAAGATTAGCACAACTCACTGCCATTATTTACGTGAAGTTTCAATTACTGATGGTATATTTGCTAGGCACATATATCAATATTGAAGGCCGGTCTCGAGAGGACCCATCGCTCTTCTTGGAAATTGACCTAACATTCGTGGATCGAAACTCAAGAAACTAATTTTCAGCATCTCCTCACCCGGGAGAGTCGATATTGTTCAATTACAATAAACCTTCGGTTTCAAACTCCAAGCAACTTCTTGTTTTAGAAGCAGCAGCAATTGACGTCGTGATGAGGCGCCGAAACTGGACGGGAACCGGTATCTCATAATCTGGGGAAGTTCGGACCATGATTCAGCTATTGTGGACTTAATCGTCTTAGTTTAGTAAGTTTGACTCGATCTCCAACTCGGCCATGTGCCTGCTGGAACTTCGCGGAGGACAAAATAAGTGTCAGTCACCTGCCCACCAGCTTCGAATAGAGCTTTAGATGCCTCATTTGCTCAAAACATTTGACGAAATATGTCATATTTTGCCAAGTTAATCCACTAAGTATATCATATTTCTCAACTTTTAATTATTGTGTTTTGATTACCACTTAGGTATTTTGTCCCCCGCGAGGGTCGGGTGCTTGATATTTTGGGTGGGAACGAAATCCTCACCCCACTGAAAGCGCCTGCCCGATGGGGAATCGTGGAACTTCGATTTCTGGTCTACACACAACCCCATCTTTGGCCCAATTATGGCCTTGCGGCATTTTTCTAGATATGTATCAGCTAAACGTTTTGGCCTGCTAGTTGGATCTGTAAATCTTGTTCACATAGCATCGACTGCATCGTCGCAGACAATAGTACGCGTTTTCCCTTCCCGACTCCGAAACCTTTCATCTCGAAACATATCAAACATGTCGTTGGCAGAGGCACACGAAGAGACGAAGGGTTTGAGTGGCACGTCAGATCTTGCTCCAACGCAAGAGCAGCACAAAAGAATCAATGCCTGGTCTGGTCCTGGCCCAGCCGCCTTCGATTTCCGGAGTATGTCTTGCAGCATGTACCTTACTTCGACCGAAGCTCATAATACTCTTAGGTGATGTTGTGACAACACCCACACCGTCCATGCTGAAGGCGATTTCAAACACCTCCCTCCTCGACGATGTCTTCATGGAAGATCCTACCACGAACGATCTCGAATCATACATGGCCGAGCGAACCGAGCAAGAAGCAGGTCTTTTCGTCCTGTCAGGGACCATGGGAAACCAGCTTGCTCTGCGATCACACCTGACGCAACCCCCTCACTCGGTGCTGTGCGACTATCGGGCGCATATTTTAGTCTGGGAGGCTGGCGGGGTGGCCACTTTGTCAGGCGCATTAGTGAACGGAGTTGTGCCAAAGAATGGAGTTTACTTGACATTGGAAGATATCAAGGAGAACGTCGTTCTTGGAGACGATGTTCATGCTGCACCGACAAGGGTGATATCCCTTGAGAACACTCTTGGGGGTACCATCATGCCATTAGAGGAAGTGAGAAAGATATCCGCCTTTGCAAAGGAACATGATATCAAACTGCATCTTGATGGCGCTAGAATCTGGGAAGCCGTTGTGGCAGGTGCTGGCTCACTCCCAGATTACTGCAAAGAATTTGACAGTGTCAGTCTTTGCTTCTCAAAGGGTCTTGGAGCTCCTGTTGGAAGTGTCCTTGTCGGCAGTAAGAAGCTGATCAAGCAAGCCCGATGGGTTAGGAAGAGTATTGGTGGTGGCCTAAGACAACCAGGCGTGGTTACCGCAGCCGCTCGGGTCGCGGTAGACGAAACTTTTGGCAAGTCTCCAAATGGTGAAGATGGCATTCTAAAAAAGAGCCACGGAACCGCAAAGAGAATTGCAGAGATTTGGACCCGTCTCGGTGGTAAGCTGGCACAACCGACCGAAACAAATATGGTGTGGTTTGATCTCCGTGATGCCAATTGCTCCGGCAATGGTTTCGTGGAGATTGGGAAGCAGCATGGGCTCCGACTACTTGCTGGTGGGCGGTTGGTTGTCCATTACCAGATCAGTAATGAAGCAGTTCAAAAGCTTGAGCTTGCGTTGAAGGACATTGTAGCCAAGAAAGGCCAGAACGGCCATACAGATATTGCAGCCAAAGTTGGCGAGAAAGCATATAGATGATGGTGCGTATTTTGAATATACCCTCAGTCCGATACTTGCCATATGTTCCGTAGTTTGATATAGATAGAGAATGAATCTAAGTTGTCCCACAATGTCTCTATTCTGCTATTTAGAGGCAAATTCCATAGTTGTAGAGGCGAGGGAGGGTTGGGTTTGAATCCAAGACGCCAATCGAGCTTGAGCTTGAGCTTGGGCCATGAGACAGGGTAAAATTTCCCAGGGCTCTGAACCTCCAACCTTGCTCATACCACGACCAAATAATCAACAAACATAACGAATCAGGTTGCGCAGCAGAATCCGAACTTGCGAATAGCTTCATTTTCGCCTGCTTCCATCTCACCTCCAACCCAAACCACCAGGTTACCCGTTTTTGCTTCACACAACTGACCAATCCTGAGCTAATCCTCAGAGAGTAACTTGCACCGATAGGGAGGACCCCGCCCGTCTCGACCCTGGCATCTTTGTCCGCTCATGAGTGGGCAAGTTCCATTTATTGCATACAACTTTGATCCAATATCGGCCAGAACGGGGCACCTCATCTCCATTGTTATTGGATGTCTTGCAGACAACAGAACTTCGATCTACGGTATTTTCTCTCTTGACGACGCCGTCGATCTTCTTTGTTCTTCATTCACTCTCTTCCACAAGTACTCAATCTTCAAGATACCAAGAAGACTTCATACCTGGGGTTTAGTGCTCATAAATAGCGACGTTATCAATATTGTTCCGAGGGTCCAGCACAATATGGCAGACGTTGCAAAGCCACTAGATTCTGTGGCTGTAGAGCCTTCCAAACCAGAGCAGAAAGAACTAGAAAAGGTTGCAGAGCCCAAGCTTCCTTCTGAAGACGGTCATGCCACCAAACCAGCGGATTCGCCGACAAAGTCCTCCGAAGAAGAGAATGCTCCAACAGAAACGAAAAAGCCTGACAAAGAAAAGCCCAAAGAAAAGGAATCGGACTCAAATCCGCCAGTCGTAGACGTTCCCAAGAAAGAAGTACCGGCTACTCAACCCAGTGAGGAAGAAGGCACGGATCCCTTGCCAGTCAAGATTGAACCCAAGCCTACGAAGACAGACGAGAAATCTTCAAAGATCGAGGAGTCTCAGAAACTAGAGACAGAAGTTCCAGGCGAGAACGCCCCAGATGCGAAACCTCCAGCAGAAAAGGCACCAGATGCTGTTTCTCCAGAAGTCAAGAACCCGGTAGTGAAAGGCTCTCTGACCGAGACTGTTGTTAATGCTGTAGGTTTGATGCTAAGTCTTACATCTTCAACCTCGTGTCTGCTAATTGGTGACAGGTTGAGGGCGCGGTCATCGGCGCTGGGGCTGCGGCTATCAAGGAGCTTACAGCTAAAACTGCTGGTGACCTAAAGAACATTGAAAAGGGTCTCCAGCAAGAGCTAGTAGCAGAGACCAAAGATGGTCTCCCCAGCCTGGCTGAGATTGGGGAAGGTATCGTCGATGTGGTAGAGACCATTGGCGAGGAAATTGTGGAAGGCGCTGAGATTGTTATCAAAGAAGTCAAGGCCCATCCTGAGCTGATCGCTGAGTATGTGTATTCATTCTTGGACGGCCCGAGAGCTAACTTGTTGCAGAGGCGCTGTTGCCGTGGCTATTGGAGTTGCTTCTATTGTCCAACCAGAGCTAATTGTCGGAAGTGTAGCCATGATCGGTAAAATGGCAGCAGACAGAGCGAAGATTACTGCCAATGAAATCGCCGTAGAAGCTAGTACTCACGTTGTTAATGAACTTAGCAAAGATCTGAACGAAGAACTTGCGCAACATGCTAAGGTTGAGGCAACGACTACTAAAACTGATACTGTCAAGACAGAAAAGAATGTAGATGAGGCTGCAGGGACTATCACTAAGAAGGAGATCAAGCAGAGCGTGAAGGAGACAACCATTCAAATAGTGCCCAAAGAGCCAGCACCAGCAAGCACATCCGCAGTTGATGCAGATTTAAAGACTGTGGATAGCAAAGAGGTGAATCAAAGTGCGACCGAAGCAGTACAAAGTGACGCCATCAAAACTCCAGCTGAGCCTACCAAAAGAAATACAGCCGCCGATGCCGAAAACGTGGCACCAGACGGAAAGCACTCATCAGTGGTTATCAAGAGTACCACAAAGACAACTTCAATCAAAATCGACGAAGATGGCACTATTACCATTGGTACTGACAGTCCCAAAGACATAGAGCCTGCCAAAATAGCTAAAATTTCGACGACCGATGCAAACAACGCTGATGCTTCTGCTGCGGAAGTAAAGCCACCAGGCGCGTCAACAAACCTACAGACCGATGCGTCTAAGTCTTTGGAGCACAAAATAAACGAAGCAATTGAGCAAGTAGGTGGGAGCGTGCCAGCTGCAAAAGACGCCCAGGAAGTTGTCAAGGCAATGTCACCCGAGCCCTTGACAGTTTCACCTGGAAAACCTTCACTACCTACTACTATTCCTGATGGTTTCACTAGCAGAGGCGGTGACCAAGGACTTTCTGCACTCACAGAGACTCTGCTAGAAATCCACAAGAAGCTTGACGCTCTAAATATGACAAATAGCTCACATCCAAAAGAAATGGCAGGCCAGATTCCCCAGATCGTTGATGCCCATACTCACGAGAGTTTGGATCAGATCCACCAAAAGTTAGACGGCATAATTCACTTGAGAACCGACGAAACGCAAGCAGTCTTGTCCTCTAGAGAGTCAGGAGAATCTACCACTGCCCCAGTAGAGGAAGAAAAAGAACATGTCTTGTCAAGTGCCATGAGCAAAATCCACATTAGTACACATTTCGACCCCCAGCTATAAGTATAAGAGCTAATAGATATCAGAACTTGACGAATTGCTTTTATCCAATGCGGAAGTGATCAAGGCCGCAGCGACCAAAAAGGAGCAAGCTAGCGAGTTAGCTACACAAAAGGACCTGGAGAAACTACATGAGAGTAAGTAGTGCCAGAATACCTAGGCATTGAAGTGTTGGCGTACTAAGCGAAATACAGAACTCGATAAAATGCAAGAAGCACTTGCAATCAAATCGGATTTGGAAGAAGGAATCGTTCCTGTTCATAAGAGTAGGTCCATCCCCGCACGGATTTGAGGCTTACTGACAAATGAAATAGAAATGGACGCCATTCATGAAGCCATTCTTTCAGATGCAAAATCAGCACCCTTTCAGGATTTTGTGCAAGCGAACGAGAAGGCCAACGACGTGGCTGCCCAAACCGCGACCCATCTGGAGAACTTCCATAAAAGTAAGTTCTTCGTTTATCTCTTAGACAGTGCAACAAAATCTGACAGAGTCTCCAGAATTCGAAGTTATGCAAGCATCTATTGATAAGTTGACTGAAGCTCTCGCGGCAAAATTAAAAGCTGAAGCACCTCCGCCTTCACACCCAGCTGCAATTCTGACGCCAGAAGCTAGCGGCATCTCCGAACCAGTCCAGACAAGCGATTCCACTAAGGACGTCACTGTGCCAGCTCAAAACCCTCAGGACGCCACTGAAGTTTTACCAACCGCCGCAAACGAGATTACCAAGGACTCTACAACGAAACCGACACCATCTGAACCAGTAGCCGAATCAAGCGACACAGCCACCAACAGTAACGTTGAAGCTTCAGCTGAGCCTGCCACACCAAAGAGTCCTGGTGTCAAGAAACACGTCAAACGATCAAGCTTCTTCGGCGGATTCTTTGGATAAACCAGCTGTTCTGAACTGTATACACCGAATGATGGAGGAGATATGAGCGTTGTATATACATTTTTGTGAAGTGTGGTTACATGGACGATGCGATGCGATATACCCCTGAGTTGTATGAACTTTGGTTTCGAGCTTTAATTCATTTTGGTAGGTGTAGTGTAGTGGTTTGGTCCAGATGTAGCAGTTGGCAAGAAGACGTTTAATGGCTGTGGAAGAGAACTTGGGTAGTAGTTAATGTCTACGGAGACGAACATAATGGATGAAGTAAAAGATGTAATTGCCATTAGGACTCATCTTTTTCAAAACGGTTTATATGTGACCCGCTTGCTTATCAAGTTTCATTATATCGTCACTAGTATGTTACAAGTCTGACGGGACACCTCACTACGGTGGAGTAGTAAGGTTGTTCCTAAAACATTATAATTACTTAGTTCTTTTAAGTAAATATACGATATCGTCTCTGTTATGGAGAATAAATATAAATATTATAGAAGCGGTATTAGAAAGTTGTTTTTTAAATTCGGTATATTAGATAGTGTCCCGTCAGTTTTGCAATACACTAGTAGTTGCGAAATGATTGACTCCCAAGTTACATTATACAGTTGCTTAAGGAAGCGGGAAACTTGCATCATTTGGTCTTCCATTTTTCATCTGTAACATTTGTAAAGCCAGGACAATTGCCTCGATTACGCTTGCAGACAAGATTGAAGGTAAATATTGTGTATACAAGGAGCATTAATTCATAACCCATATCCTTAATCCTATACCCAAATCCAGCCTATTCATATACCAACGGCCCTAACACGGACAACTCCGTAGACAATGCACTTCTACTCAACAGACACACCCAACAAGCTCCTCCGCATTCTCTAATCCTCATCCATCCCACCCAATACCTCTTCACCAACCTCCCTAATCTTCTCGCTTAAAACACTCCTACCATAGCGATCTGCTACTTTCCCAGCAGCCTCAATCATCTTGCCTGATCGATCTCTTAGCAACTTAACCATCTCCAGTGCCCTCATACCTCTCTCCTCGCCTTCTCTACATTCCAAAGCCATCATTTGCAGCAACGTCTTATCAATCTCCAGTTCCATCCGCTGCAACGCGCTTCGCTGCGCCGAGGTGGATTGCGTGAATTCAATTAGATCCTGATGTTGAGCATGAAGAACGGAGTTGAGAACGAAATTGCGTTCGTGCTTCTTCAATTCATCTCCTTCAGCTGGATCTTCGTCTTCGGATTTGTCGGGCGGGCAGACCGGGATTTCAAAGCTGAATTCGGAGAGGAGTGGACGGGGGAAGTAGGGGTATTGGTCTCCTCCTTTCAGGATTATACAATGAAATTTGTTCTCTGCGACGGCGACTGGGAAGTAGGATTCGGTTTTGCGACCCGAGGCGAGGCGGGAAAGCAACTTGGTGTCGAGGAGGGGTACCCAGACTGCTTGGTTGGGAGTGCGCCAGTGGAGAAGGGTTAGGAGTGTGCCTGTTGTGTCGTATATGCAAGGATCCTGTAATTGTTAGAGGTTATATAGTAAGGATGGTTTTCATAACTTACACCCGCGTCGGAGAAAAAGACGCTCTTGATTGTTTCACCATCAGGTAACGCAACGATGTCCTCGCTTTGGCATATCTCGTCTCTTTTGATATTTTGAATAGTGTAAACGAGCTTGGTGTACCCATCTGCTCCGACCGGTCCGTTACCCAGAGTCAAAACATAGTCTCGCCAACTTGCGCAAGATACAGTAGGACTGCTCTTTTGTCGATATATTCTATAAGGAATTCCAAACAACGTATAAACCCTGACGTAATTTGCACTTGTCATGACAGTGATGAAGGAGTCACTCAGTGAGATTGCAGTCACATCTTCGCCGGCTGGTAACTCTGTACGCCAATCTAATCTTGCCGTCCAAGTCTCGTGTGGGCGGTAGAAGATTGTTGCTGGCGTCGTCGGTTCTGTTTTGCAAGAGAACAAGGTACCAAATTCGTTGAGGCAGGCTTTGTCGTACTGGAAGTTATCTGTAAAATGAAAGTCACGGTGGAATTCATTGTCGTAAAATTCGACTGTAACAGTATTGTGTGTATCCTGATCAACAGTCCACACAAACCCTATCAGATTAAGACACAGATACTTTCTATTTCCCCGCCATGGTGTAGATCCTGATTGAACTGGTTGGTGCAATTGTGGTTCCCAAGCTTGCGCAGAGCGTTTGGTACGAGGATTCGAATATGCACCTAAGTCTCCCAGCGGCCTTTTGCCATTGCTATTCAGTCCGAGTGCATACCCTGCTCCATCGTCGTCGATCACAAAATCGTCTTCATCACCCATAATGTCAGAACCCAAGATGTCCGAGACATTGTCTGGTGAGCGTTGACGGGGACCACGATGAGGAACGTCCTTGGTGCCATTTGCCGCCGGCCTTCTGGCATTTGCTGATACTTCTGATAAAGGGTCGTGGATAAAAGGAGCTGGTTGTAAAGGTAGTTTGAGCAAATGGGTAGAATCGGCTGGCACAAAGTCACTGTAAATATATACCTGACCTTCAGAGTTGGTAAATGACACAAGATTTTTTTGCGGATGCCACGATACGTCCATGATGTTAGGATAGTCGTACGTAGCGATTGACTTTTGTGTCGCCGAATCCCACAAAACCAATCCTTCTTTGCCAGCCGACAGTAACAACGCTCCATTAGGGGACCAAGCTAATGCTGTGATATCACTCGTGTGTCCGTTCGCAAATGATCTTTGATTTTCCCAGTCTCCTCTAGACATCACCTGAATATCCCTTGTTGCAGTCGCAGCAGCGAAGGCTCTCCCGTCAGGATGCCAGACAATTTTGGTGTTGACTTCGCTGTCGGTATCTGCCGTCCTGATGAGCCCATCAATTGTCCTAATAAGCTCGGGCTCATCATTGATAAGAGCATAAAAGTACGCTTTTCCATCTGTACAAGACAATGCAATGTGTTTCCCGCTCGGGTCGAATGATAGGTGTTTGACTGGTTTGAGTTGCTCTCTTAAGAATAGAACAGTGTTGATATCAGAGGTTTTCACAATCTTAACGACCAGCTCGTCACTGGCAACAGCGCACCATCTGCCGTCTGGACTGATGCAAACATCTCGCACCGGAAGGGAAGATCGGACCAAGTAATGATCGAAGGTCATGGTATCAAAATTGTACTTGCTGACAGTTCCATCTTCGGCGCCGGCAACAAAGAATTGATTCTAAGAGCATTTAGAAAGTATTCCAACAAGAATTAACAGTCAACATACCGTCGAGCTCACAGCAAGATTGTTCTCCATGATTTCGTCGACATTTGCGGGCTCGCCGTCAGATCCAGTGTGATACACTCGCGCGGTGTTGTTTGAGCCAACTGTGACCAATTTCGTTCCATCTGGGGTATAAGAGCAGTGTGTAGGCCCAGATGTATGCGCCGGTCGCCCTCGCACCCGGATTTGGGATGTCGTCGCCATTTTGACCGTTGTGAGCGCCAGATGATAGTATTCCTGGAGTTGAGGAAGTTCTTCGATTCTCGCAAGACGCGACGTACGACGCGCCGCAGCGAAACCACTCAACGCGACCCCTGTCAGTAAATTTCAGGTGGACCCCTAAAGTTACAACACATCCCCCACCATAAGCCCTGCTTACCATACTACTTATAACACGCACCAGCTTCCAAAAACCAAACTACAGAGCATTTCAACATATGTAAAGACATTAACATGTCTCGTTCAACAGATCCGGGACACTTCTTCCAGAGCGATGCCTCCGAATCGACAAGGGCTCGGAGAGCTGCTAAGTCTGGCAACAAAAACGGAGACCCTATTATTCTTCAGTCAAAGATTTTAAAGGCAATAGCTGATCCGTTTTCGACGAACTCTGTGTATATTGCAGAGAGTGCGGGCTGCGTTCGTAAAGTCAACATAGAAGTAGGTAGGATTCAAATATTCCATCATCGAATTACAGTTGATCCAATGCTGCATCTAGAATCGAAACACTAAGTCTGTTTACCGGGGACCAACGACACCAGTGACATCGGTTGCTATTGGCGGTGCCGGGGGAAATACGGTGTTTGCAGGATCATGGGATAAGGATATATGGAGTTGGGACCGGGAGACTAGGGTAATCGGTCGACGATACAAAGGTCACTCTGATTTTGTTAAGACGATATTGTGTACCAGGATTGGGGGAAAGGATGTAAGCTTCACTGTCCCCGATAAACTGGCCAGCGTTGACAATAATAGTGCCTCATATCAGGAGGTGCAGACGCCAAGATCATCGTTTGGGATACGTCGACAGGCGAGCGGTTGCATACTCTTCGAGATAAGAGTGACAATATGATGGCTCTGCAGGACCTTGCCGTTGACATCGAGGAGTCGTCTGATTCTGAAGTAGTCCTTGTCTCTGCCAGTAGTGACCCTCATATTCGACGATGGAGGATAAGCTTGTCCTCCGCATCTCAAATATTCGATTCTTCTGACACAATAACATCCGAGTCCACCTCGTCCAAGAATACTATCCTAGAGCATGAAACAAGCGTTTACAAGGTTCTATTTTCGGGCAGCGAGGAGGACTCGGATCTCTGGACTGCTAGTGCGGATGGAAGTGCCAAATGTCTCTCCAGGTCCCGCAAATGGGGTGTCGAAGAAACCTACGTTCATGGCGATTATGTGCGCGCCGTTGTTGTAACCTCTAATTGGGCGGTCACCGCAGGACGAGACGAAGACGTGAAGGTTTGGGACCGAGCAACCGGGAAGCTTTGGCACACCTACGATGGCCACTACGAAGAGGTTACTGAATTGGTACTTTTGGACGAGAAGCGTGTGTTAAGTTTCAGTATTGATGGAACGATTCGATGTTGGCCGCTGGACAAGGTATCACTAGAAGCTGCACGCAAAGAAAAGGAAGATCAACTCGAAGGAAAAGTCAAGGAGGACCCAATTCCAACTACTAGCAAAAGTTTGCTTACCGAGGATGAGGAAGCTGAGCTGGCCGAGCTGATGGGTTCAGATGAAGAATGATGCTGCCTGCGAAATATCCCAGATGCGTATACTGCACCTCGCCTTCGATTGAAAGAACATGGCTTGTCCTCACTCAGACACAATTTGGAACAACACGCCCCCAAATTGCAGTGCAGTTACGTTGAAATCTTTGCCATTAGCGAAATCGCGTCTTCCTCACCATGTTCATGCACACACCGAGCACACTACGATCTCCGATCCCTTTGACGGATTGTATTGCAAATAGTAGCACGTGGTGCAATCGTTCGTCGAACCAATCTGAATTATGGAAGTGGCCAAAAGACATTGGGTGTGGTAAGGCGCTCTCAAGTACCAACCTAGGTGAGCAAAATTTGGTTGGCCAGCTTTAAGGGGTCAGCTACGTTTCAGATCTGATTTTGGGTTCCAACGTTATCGTCGAGGTAGAAGCTACTGCTGAACTCCAGATGCAGTTGAGCTTGCTGTTTGCTTCTTAACTCGGATTGTCCCCTCTACTCATGTCTAGCCCTACACCCTTCCTGCGTTGCCATACTAATTTCATGTCATCTTCTGCTGCTAGCCGCTTTCCCTTGGCAAACACCCCTTTTCTGACAATCATTAAAATGACCCGATTTCCGGGTCCAGCGAAATTCGACAAGCGGAATCTGTGCTAGAGGTACAGTCGGTCCCAAAATACGAACGACCAATCCGGCTTGGTGCTCAGTTGGCCACAAATAATGCCATTGTTCGTTTACAGTTTCAATCCTCTCAACTTAAACAATTTAAACATCAATCATGTTACTATTCGTAATCATCAATACTTATGTCCTGAGTGACAGTGCCGTAAGCTCCAATAATGCACAGACATCCAGCTGGATGGCATTCACTGCGGGATAAATCTGGGGAAGGGGTTGGGACAGTCGCACACAGGTCTTGGGTGCATTTACCCAATCGGACTCGATCAAGTGGCGGAGAATTCTCTCCAATGAGATGTGCATGGAGGTGGGACCAGACTAAGTGACTAGTCAAGTTGACCCGAGATCTGATGATTTAAGTATTCTGCACGATGATGGGATTATTCGAGCTGAATTCCGAACAATCGACATCTTTGCACCTCCATGTCGTGGTCGGCCACGAGATGATAACGGTATCATGAAATCCGTACGGATTCAGCACTTCCAAGGCTCATCGAAGGCTTGAGATTGTCCTCGGAACCAGCCATCCATTTGAGCCACAAGAGCTACCTAGGTATCAGAAAAGGGCAAGAAGGACAAACTTCGCCAAAGTGCCACCGGATGAGCCACTATGAGAGATGGACTGCACGCTAACACAGTAGACATCGTAGATTTATTTGGTCCAGCATGGAGTCTCCGTCAACACTCCACTACCGTACTATATTAAACTTCGCAAAGCCGTATTTCAATTGGATCAAACGAGCAAGAGCAAGCCCCCGGTGGATTGTACCCGTCACCGTCTATCTACCGACCGAGACGCAAAACCGCATGTCCATGGGGAAGCAACATGCAGGTCTTACGCATCACCGAGAGAGCTGGGCTTTTGAAACTCCGAGTAGGACATATGTCTGGAAATTAATATGCCAAACGGAGAGCCTGTGCGACATGTGAGAACTGAAAAGTTCGTTGATCCAGTCTACGTCCTTAGACTGCTTAGACTGCGAACTGGTGGCTTGAGCTGGAGTCCCGAAAAAACAAAGTGTCACACAACTTACTTTCGATCTTGGTCTCGCCCAAATCGACTAGCAGCTGCAGTCTTTCTCACGAATATCTGCACTTTAACGCGCTATCATTCCTAGCTTTCTCTTCCATCGCGTCCCACGATCAGGGTCTTCCTACTTGGGCGTGGTGCTTTCTTCCGACGAGATGGCGCGGTGCGCTGTATGGCAGAAGATCCTCTAAATCCTTCACCCCTTATTTCAACATTATTTTGCGTCTGACATCTATTCAATTGCTTCAGTTGGGCCTCATTCTTGGTCAGTTTTCTGTATTTTGTTGTCTTTCAAACGGGGCATCCTCACCCTTAGCGACATCACCGACACTTGCAGGACCGGGTCCTTCTCAGGACATTTCGGAACCTGCCTGTCCTCGTGGCAGGTGTAAAGATACTGGAATATGGGTGTTATGGAAAGATTGAACCTTGATGAACAGGAAGGGGGAGGGAAGCTCGTGGCTTTGGAAGGCGACATCGATACGATAGCAACTCAGTTGCGGCTGCTACCGCCGTCACAAAAAATCCTAGTCTTACCGTCTTTCGTCGACTCGCTCCCTCCTCGATCAGCCCAGTATCCGTTTGATGCTCGTGCGTTTATTCGCGATGTCTACTTAGCCTTTGCGGAGCGAACCGACACAGCACAGTCCTTTCTTAAATACTCGAGCCCCAGCCAGCCGCGAGTAGTGTTCATGAATGGTGGCAGCGTCTGTGCGCGATCTTCTTGTATCTTAAAGATATCCGAGAATATCACAAACGGCGATGTCTATGAAGCGGAGCTGGTTTTCAACGAGATCGCGCAACATGGTGTTGCCAACATATTGGCCCAAGACGCAACCGACGATGAACTAGAGACTTTGAAGGTCAATGGCGCCGAAGACCATGGGGAAGAACTAGAGCTCGGCGAAACAGATTCGAGAAGATCTCTTGAGGTTGGACGACCTGAGAATCTGACGCTGAAACCGAAAACCACGACCGATGAGTTGGAAAGAGAGGCCGTCGCTATACAAAGCAAAATTGACAGCTTTCAAGAGGTGTATCATACCCCGCAACAACACAGCAGCGATCCTGCCATACCGGGGACAGCTAACGATATTCCTGAACTACAACCAAATTCTTCGGAGCAACCAAGTCATCAATATTCGTCACTCACAAAGACCAATGGCTTGCTTGTTGGTACAAACCAGGCTGATAAAGCTGGGGAGATGGGCTCGACTACTCGAGACAGCCTGTGCTTCTTAGACTCACGGTCGCATCACGGCCGTCGACACTCCTTCGCTGAAACCAGAAAGAGTTACTTTTTTGAAGACAACTTAGAAGATGGTGATTTTGACGAAGATGACGGTCTTTTCTCGCTGTCTCCGACACCAGGGGTCATTTTCGGCGAGGCAGAGCTTGTAGATATGCATACCGGCTCTACCGAGAAAGAACTGAGAAGAGTCAAATCGGCAGATACAATTTATACCAGCATTTCAAGCTGGCCAAAAATGACGCAAAGCATTCCTGCTTTTCTCAGACATACTACCTCGGCTTTTCTGTTAGGAAGACCTGTATCCTCTGTGGGCTTCGGCGCCCAATCGTTCCAAACGCTCCCTAAGAGGACTTTTACGCGAGCGTCTCAGACAACAATCAAACGATCACCACCTCCAACAAGGACTCCAAGTACTATTTATGAGAACGATGGTCAAGCTACTGGTCCAACTTTAGTGGACCGCGGTACAGCCACAGCGGACGATATCATAGATGAGGATCAATATGATGAGGACGAATACGAAGAATACATTCCAATTTTTCCTTTGGTGGAAGATCTCGTGATCCAGTTTACAGACTCATCTCGTAACCCAGTTTTGGACTCAGTTATCCGGTCTTATCGAGACGGAAGCTACCCTCTGCCACCCCCCTCCACTGAAACAATATCCAGCCGTTCGTCGAGCCTGCCACTCCAGGAAAATCTAGCCCGAGCCGAGGATACTTGTGGAAGCAGTGGTGGCAAAAATCCAGGCCATTCTTCTCCTGTTCCGTCTCCGGTGCAATCTGAAGTTGACGATCCTGGATACGAATCTCGGCATTCGTACGACCCTTATAGCTCAGATAATCGTCCGCTTTCAGGTATGGATGTGAAGTTGGCTCCACCAGGAAGACTAGCTCGTGCTGATAGTGGTGTTCAAATGCCAGATCCTCCATCACCGAAGTTTTCAATTACAACTCCTCCGAATGAGCCCATCGACAAGTTCATTGAGCTCTCTACAGTAGACTCGACTGGCACTATTTTTCTTCAGGATTCCCTAAGAAGATTATTCAGTATACATCTCCCAGCCGGTGACCCAGGTTACCGTCAACATAACTTCACGGTGTCTCCCGAAGCAGATCGACTGTGGAAACCCGTATTTAAAAACGACGAGACATCAAGTGTGAACAGCGAAAGCAACACCGTTGACCAGATCATATGCCTTGGGTGCGAGACTGGGGTTCGAAAGGAGTTCTTCAACCAGATTTCGGGTCACATTGAAAGACTTGGAATGAAGAAAGACGGCGTAAGCAGAAGCGCAAAACTGGATATCACGTAGGTGATGCCTCGCTAACATTGGAACATCTTGTTGACCTTCACTACAGATATTTGATTGCAAATATGATGCAGACCTACTGTGCCCTACCGTTGACCGTCCAAAGCACGTTTAATCCACTGAGCGATCCTACCATTCTGGCAACTTTACTCGTTCCCCAGATTGAGGCTTATCTTGCATGCAATGCAACCACGCGCCTGTTGATCCTTCACTATCCTATCAGCCATCTACCAACGATTTTTGCGCTTCGTCAGCTTCTTGGGGTAGAAACTCTAAAGATCGCTGGAATTCTCAACACTCTCGCATCAGATCCACCATCCAGCGTAACGAGTCCGCGGACGCCTTTGTCGAAATACAATTCTAATTCATATTTGGGCGAGCCCACATCCCCTCTTCGCCAAAAGGCTTCGCAAGCTGGGTCCCTCCGCAGCACTAACCGCAAGGATTCTTTTGTAGGCGGCTCACCTACCCCTGGTGGTCTTCACCGCTACGCTTCCGAGCGAAAGCTCTCGTCGACTGCCATCTCCTTTTCTAAAGCCAATCACTTGCTTCCAAGCACCGCAACAGATACTGAAATTACAACATTCCTTTCTGGTATCTGGAAATGTTTGATTGACAAATCTTCCTTCTATGCGCCGGAGCCCAGCCCGGAACCAATGATAGTCGAGCGACTCCTCAGCAGCTCATCACCGCCCATGTCTCTGGTGTATAAAGCCAGGGACGCTCCTACATCGCGTGCAGGTACTCCAACTCGTCAACAGCCAACCGCTGAACGAGCACCTGCGCGCGAACGCGAACACAATTATCTTCCTTCCTCATTCCGCTCCCCAACCATTTCATCCACCACCTCTTCAGCGGTTGCTTGCGAAGGCAAGAACTACCGTCTAACAGGATCCACGAAAGTCGGCACCTATGCTGCCTCAATAACAAACACAAAGACTAATGGAAGCGAGAAAAAGAGGAGAGCTGCTGATGGAAGCTGGGAAAATTTCTACATTGGCGACGAGGATAGTGATGATGATGAATACGATAAGATGACTCTAGGACGACAACACGCTAAGATCGTGCCGGAAATCAGAAAGAGTGGTCATGCTACAGCGTCGGGTCCGAAGAGGAATAAGCAGAAGGCTCTGAAGTGGCTAGGACTCGCTTAATACCCGCCGGGTTGTAAAGCTGCCAAAGGAGGCTACAGTGTGGTGTGATTTTAATTTATACTTGAAACAGCGTGATGTTGAAGATGATTAACGGTGTAACATGAGGCGCTTGGGAAATGTTTAGTGCTTCTGTTGTTTTGATTGTCGAGTTGGTTCTATGACTGTATTGCGTTTACACTTGCGTTTCTAGAATTTGTTCGTCAGCTCATGTAGTTTTTTTAATGTGTAGATGAATAACGTAGTTCCGAAAAATATCATTCTTTTGATTGAATTTGAATAAGCTTTGTGACTCGAAACAAAACTGTTACCAGATTTGTCCAGAGCTTGCTGGAATTGGACACTTGCTCTAGACAAGAGTTACTGTAACCATGAATAGCCTAGCTATCTTCAAAAGAACTCTCTACTCAACAACGAGCCAACATTTGTTGATAGTTAAGAAACACGGGTTGCAAAAATCTGGTCCTTAATTTAGCATCGACTAGGTATTGAATCAAGTATTCAAATCCAAAGCTCTCTTTGCAGAATCTACAACCCTTTCAATCAAAGTCACCAAAGAGGTTTATCGTAAAATCAGGAGTAACGCAGCCCATCTCAGCAAGCTGTATTGACATCTATAAGCAAATTTTATTCAAATTGATTATAGCACGTATTCAGAATACAATCGAATTCAGAACAATATCAATCCACGGTGACTGAAAGCAAAGGAACGTTATAACGCTGGATAGGCAAAGATCAAGGCAGCAACAACGTGTCCCGTCTTGCAATGCTCAAAGAGGTTATCTTACTGAAGTTGTGGTGTAAAGGCTACAACGTTGCGTATGGAAATGGTCAAAGACTTGTACCCGGACCTTCTAGCATGCCTTTAAGCCCTGCTAAACAGGAGGTAAGATTTTATAGAGTAAGGAATGATCATAGCACTGCTTTAGGATTCCTATATTTATTTTCTCTGAAATATACATGCCTGGTTCTGACTGAGCTATTATAGGTGGTCCACACCTCCCGACGGATACAAACTTGAGTATTGGAAGATCACATGTCAAAAGCAATTTGTAGTGTATAATAAACCCCATTCTTCCATAAAAACAAGTGTGAAGATATACCAGGTAGCAGAAAAACTCATCAAGACGACCAGGTAAAAAGAGAAACATAAACACAATTCCCAGCCCCAAATCCCGCATACACGCCAAAGGCAACCAACCATCGGATGAATCCCTCCCTCGCTCATCCGCCATTACTATTCTAATTCCTCCCGCGTGCGTGCCCAGCGGCCATGTATGTGTTACTAGAGAGGAGGAGGTGGGAATGCAGATTGGCCAATCCAAGTGATGATCGTTCTAATGCGCAGAGAGAAAGAAACCCGTGGTAAACCATTATCTCGTAGCAGATATATGAAAGCTTTAACAACACCCACCAGCCGAACCCGACTGCACTCCTTGACCCTGACCAACCTGCACTGTTGGCTTGTTGTTCGCTGTGGTTGTCCCCATCCTCTCCTTGATCTGACGGGCCATTGTCAAGAAAGCCTGCTCAACATTGCTCGCGTTCTTTGCGGAAGTCTCGAGGAATGGAATGCCCAATGAATCAGCGAATTCCTGCAGGTAGGCACCGGTTAGTCATATATTCAAACGTCAAAAACTGACGGGACGAGCTTGTGATACAAGGCGCTAATCTGGGGGAAATGGCGACAAACCTTTGCGACTGTGTATTCAACAACCTTCTTGTCCGACATATCGGACTTATTTCCTACCAACAGCTTGTTGACACCTTCTGTGGCATATCGATCAATCTCTTGCAGCCACTGCTTGACATTGTTGAAAGAATCCATATCCGTGACATCGTAAACGACACAGATACCGTGGGCGCCTCGGTAGTAGGAGGATGTAATGGTACGGAAACGTTCCTGTCCCGCGGTATCCCACTATCACCATATATCAGAATTCAGTCCTCTGAGTTGGATCATGGGTTGGTCTTACAATCTGTAGCTTGACGGTCTTTCCGTCCAACTCGATCGTTCTGATTTTCTGCAAAATGTCAGCCACTGCTTCTGCTCCTGCTTAAACAAGGACGTTGCCTACGAAATCTACACCGATCGTTGAGATGTAGCTCTCAGTATATGTGTCATCTGCGAATCGTAGAAGCAAGCAAGACTTTCCAACTCCAGAGTCTCCGATAAGGAGGAGCTTGAACAAGTAGTCGTATCTAGAATGTATGTGAGCGAAGGTTCGGCATCGACGGAGAAGTCGCAGAGCCGCGATCTAACAGCCTGAGGTCGGTAATTTCCAAGGGGGTTTAACTCTATTGAAGCAAGTCGGTTAGCAAGGTGGTTTGACAGAGTATATATGAGCAGTTTGCGAGTTGGTCGAGGCGGCGAAGATGAACTGGGGGAGATGTTGAGCACTTACTACTCAGGATTCATGGTGGCGGTTGATGGAGTGTATGTAGGAGGGGAGAAGTCGGTTCTGCGAAGTGTTTATGCGGACAGCGATGCTTGTTGTTGAGATTGCTTGGGGATGCTATTGCGACGTTCAGGCGGCCTTTGAGGTTAAAGAAGTCCAAGGCTGCTCCCACGTGATTCGGCTATGCGTGTTTCATGGGGTGGTTGCTATTCACTTTGGCCCCAAGATTATTCACGTAGGATTTAAACAGGTATTAGACACATATCATGAAGGAAGATTCCAATCCTGTCAGCTATCTCCATTTGTATTATATTGTTTGGTGAGTTCACAATATAAAAGACATTCTTCGTGAGCAAAGTACCTAAGTATGGAGTACTACGTGGGATGTTCGTTTGTAGTAACTTTGTACCGGCGGATGCAAGGGTCTCAGAGAAAGTCACAAGATTCTGTGAAGGTGACGTACATAGGTAGGCTTGGTTTATGGTCATCTACAGCTTTGAATCTATTGTGGTAAATGATTCGAATGGCGATACAATAATCGGTACAGCAATCAAGATGATTCTACTGTAACTTAAGCCAACCATCATCAGTAGTGACTGGCATATTTCCTTGAGTTGTGTCTTTGACTGAATCCCGCTTTATCTGTCTGCTCCACATGCATGTGGAGCTAGTCAATCGGCCATTACCAGAAAACTCCCCCACACCTAGCACTTCAAACCGCATTCTCAGCATCAAACGGCGTATACTTCCCAGCATCTTGATGTCTTTTCTAGCTTCGCGGCTATACTCAGGCTGATGTCGGCGCCTTCAAGCCTTTTACGAAAAGCTCGAAATACCACTCCGAAGCTACCGACCCGGGTAGCACGACCAGCTCCAAAGTTCCTCGCTTTATCCGCCCCAAGATGTTTTGCGACCGTCAATCCAGATCCCAGGTCAAATCCGGATACTTGGTTCACGGGGTCGATACCGAGAGGGAATATTGAACCACCACCAAATCAGCATGGTTCGGGCAAACCCCCAGATGAGCGAACGGTCAAGCTCGGAAAAAGTAAGCAATCCTCCTTGCTTGGTACTCTTGCGCCCTAGATTGTTTCAAAACTGACCGCATTTTGTAGCCCTGCGTATCCTCCAGACTCGACTCCCAACCCTTCTGCAATCTCCATTACCGCAGGAGATCCTTTCTCCGCAGATAACCCTCCACCTGTTCCCCTCCACACATCCACACCTACCAACGGTATCAGGACGAGTGGGCTATTCGGCAGCACTATGGACATCGCCACTGGCTTGGGGATGTGTACCTATCGTCGGAAATGTAAAGCTTGAAATATTATCCGAGCGGATGATAAAACATCGGTCCCAATCGCATTCATCGGTAGCCTCTACACGACCTGAGCAGTTGATCGTGAAATGGCGGACTATCGGCAAAACAAGAGGCAAAGGTACAGGTGCTTTTTACAAAGGCATTGGCGCAAAGGAAAACGTGGATAGAATTACGATGTGGTTGGGTGGTGGCAAGGGCGAGGATGACAGCAAAGAGTTTACCGGACTCTTCATATTCGAATTCGATGAAGAGGGAAGAATTGTCAGCCATACCATAGAGCACGTTGAAGAAGGTGGGAACTGGGAGAAAGGTGTCGGGGCAAGAGTTGTGGGGTTGACAGACTGGCTATTAGGCAGCCTAAGAAACGGCAATGGAAATCAGGGAGCGCCATGTCCAGCGTTCTGGGCGAAAGAGGATCCTCAAAATGGGCGTGGACGAAGAAGATAATGTATCAAAAGCTATAGATCTAACGAGCACGGGATGCGGCATGTGTGACTAATATGGAGTCCGGCAGATTGGGGATTGGAGTTGAGGCTTGTTGGGATATGTAAATATGTGTTTTGATATTGGGGATGGACTTGTACAAGAACGATGTTTTACACCACTCTTAGAATTTGATGAAGCAGAATAAACCACTCACTCAAACATACGGATTTCTAAAAAGAAGTTCCCATCTAGTATATCGTTGAAAAAGATAAATTGACCTAGAGCGATAGACGACATATTCTATATTTTCTCAGACTAGAAATATACGATATTCAGTCATTTACTTTGAGAGATTGAGAAAAGGATTGAATGATGGACGAAATACGACATTCAGTCAATTTCTTTGAGGAAACCAAAGAGAATGGATGGGCTTAGAAATAGCTAAATATCTTCGAGTAATAGGCAAAATATCGTGTATTTTCTCAGATCAATAGACGAAAGGTACGATAATACGTCAACTGAATCGAGGAACTGGAAATGAAGTGTCCCGCAAAAACCTCATTCCGAGCTCATATACTTGTCTCAAAGATATGGATATAAAAATGCCTTTTGAGGTTCGAGAAAGAAGAACATAAATGTGAAGTAGCATTTACGAGATCCAAAGACAGGAATTAGTAACACCTGAAAATACAAACGGAATCACCATAGTAACAAACCCGTGTAATTTATCTAGGGTTGCTAAAAACTAAACAAACAAAAATAATTACACAACCTAAATTAGCTACAAGTATTTTGCGTTACTACTTATTTCGGCTTAACTTCCAAGGTTGACACACTCCTTTACTCAGCAGTCTTAATTATCATCATACTCGAGTAATCGTGAGTACACTGCTCACCATCAAAAGAAGTTTCTTGGCCTTGTGAATTACATGTCAAATGCCACCAGGAATGTAAGTAGATCCACTTTATCATCTAGAGAGGTCGAACGTAACTGAGGTGCTCATCACTTCACAAATGAGCTACTTGTCAGTTTTTTTTATGTGGTTCACTAGTGTGTTATTATATTTAGATAGTATTTTATTCATTTTATATTACACTAATCGTACAAAGTATTCTGCCTCAAAAGTTAAATTTGTTAAAGTTTTCCTAGTAAATATATAATATTAAGTCTATTTTAAAGAGTAAATATAACTGGTTAGGAAGGTAGTGTTAGATAGTTATCTTCTAGCATCGATACAGTAGGAAGTGTCCTGTCAGTCTTGTAACACACTAGTGTAGGAATACGAACAACTTCGGACTCCTACTTTGTCTTTTGGGTAGCTTACATCTAAATAAAGCTCTCATCATTTCACAGTTCAAATATTTTTTTGGGTGTCCATATCTGATAAATTATATTTTGAGCTGATGAGTGTAAAAACAAACAATGAAAAACTAGTTTACAAGAAAGGTAATCTTACAACCACCACCTCCTTCCCCTGGACAGGCACTTGCTGTAGATACCTCGTTCTGATTTTGTGCCTCCCTCCCTAAAGCTGTCTCCTATAACCTGAGGACCTCACAGCTTCCACCCTCTCAACCAACAAGTTTCCTCCTAGGACTCTCCTCACTCTTCCCCTTCTCCAACTTCTTCTTCCTCCTCATCCAAAACAACACTCCTCCACAGACCAATCCCACCAACGCAATGCCCCCAACCACGCCCCCCACAACCCCTTTACTAGCCGGCTTTTTGCTTTCCCCGTCCACAGATTTCGCCGTAGAAGTGACTTTCCCAGATGTCTGGCTGCCACGAGCAGATGTGGAGTTTATGGGTGGTGGAGTGTAGCTGTAGAAGTGGCTGATGGTAGTGGGAGTGAAGGTGTTGTTTAGGGTTACGATGGCTGGGTGGGAGGTCGGGTAAGCGGAGATGTAGTTGCAATAAAGGGCGTTGAGGGAAGGGGTGCGGAGAGTTAGGGTTGCGCAATAGATGTAGATTCCTGATGTGCTGGGGTTCGTTAGTAGGATGATTTTATTTTCACTGGCCGTAGGGACGGTTGGCTTCAAAAAAGGGAAAGCTCACCATTTCAAGGTCGCAGGATCAGTAGAACAAGATCCTGTACAGGAGGTATTATATTCGAACTTTCCTCGATCGACACACGCTGTGGGTGCTGGCTCAGCAGGACATCCTCTTTCTCCATCACAACATAAGATTCCTCCTGGTTGTCTGCGCTCGGAGGGGATAGGGTCATGGTTTGTGTTGTTCGATGATTTTTGGGCCGTTGGTATCACTAATGGAAGAGAAGAGGTGGAAAATACACAGGTGCTTGAGAGTGAGCAGCCCCATGGTTGGTCTGAGATCAGTTAGTACACTGAAGATTGGGTTGAAAGAGAGGCTCGTACTTGATGAGCCGTTGATATAACCACATATGTTATTGTTGGCAGCAAGCAGGACTTTCTGAGCCTCGTTCCTAGCTCTCAGTTCTTCTACATTGGGTGCGGATGTAGTTTTGGGATGGGTTTCAAGATTCTGAGTTATGGTGCCTGTTTCCACCACATAATTTTGCTCCGCTGAGACTAAACCTTGTACTGAACTTAAGCATAGTAGATAGAAAAGAGTGCCCTTCTGAGATGACAACATTGCGAAAGCATGATGAAGGAGTAGAATCTTTTGACAGGACACATTTAGGGAAGGGTAAATTTACTTGAAGGTTCAATTCGGTGAAACATATAGAATTAATGTGAACATCACAAAAGCAACTCTGCTCTCTATTAGGTATTTGAGTATGGAAGCCGATTGTTCATATATGGCAGCAAGGGGTATCAAATCAATACTTCATATGATTCGGGTACCTGTTTCAGGAACCATTTGTGTAACCCAGGGAGAAAATTGATGAACTCGCAAATCGACCAACAAAGGTGACACTGGAAAAGGATAAATAGCGAGACGCGCACCTATGAGACGAGGAGAAGATGCATACAGATTCGGATAATGTTTGAAGGTATTGTGTGGCTGCAGGTGCTGAAAACTTGGCGCAGGATACAGAATTGCAATACAACAATGATGAGAAGGTATCATTGCGAGAAGCATTGGGAAACAAAGAAATGGTTGAATACCTACCTGGCTCTTGAGGGCTCTTTCAGTATTGATTCGAGTTGAAGAAAATTGAAAGGCTTCATGAGGTTGAGCAGGACTAGACCCGGCTGTTCAGACCTGGCAATTCAACCTGCAGTAGTCGTTCTGGGTACCTGGAGACGAACGGAAAGCAACTTAGACGATCCTGCCAGCAAAACGTGGTACATATCAACCCACGCAGTTGTGTCGCCAGCGGAGCAGCCTGAGCGGATTCACAGAGGGCAAGCTAAGTATCAGTCCTACCCACTAAACTTTAGAATAAAAGACCAAGTTGATTTCGAACAGAGCTCCGGTATCATTTGCTGGAAAGAATTGACTGAATAACTGATAATGTATCAAGTTAAGATTTGTCAACTTGATTGAAGAAATCGGTGAGCGGAGTAGCATATTTCCCGAATAATCCGAAAATCATCTTTGGTCTAGGATCTCAACTGGACATCTTGAAGATAAGCGGCTGATGATGACGAGAGTGGCATGAAATTGAATGATAAACACTGATCGAACACGTGTAAAGGTGTCGCAGTAGAGGCAGTGTTGAGAAGTCAGAGGGTGAAGAGGGGGTTGCTGAGCGTGATCGGGAATTATTTGAGTCTTGATGACGAGGAAGACTCTCGACTCTTTGGCGGCGACGAGAACTCGATAGAAATCCCGTCTCTGTTCTTCCCCACGTGAGAATGAGCCGGCAGTTAAGCTCACTGATCTCCCCGAAAATGCCATAGAACCTTGAAGTTGAGACAGGACGATGTCAAAACAGCACGACCCCTGGAGTGCTTATTGAAGCAAGACCATAGCGAAGCGAATCTGTAGCATCGACGGCTTTGGAACACCTGATATAATGCAGTCTCACAAGCACTTTCGTGCGGGTCATAGAGTCAACACAAACACACTCGAGTGGTTGTAGGCCTAGTATACTACTTGAGTTGGCTTGAATTGTTGTTCGTTCTTGGATCGACTTGGCTGGATTATTGGTGAAAGGCTGAGAGCGCCATGATGACTTCATGAGGGGGCAGTGCAGCTGATTTCGATGGAAGCAATATCAAATACTTTTGGTAGACTTTTCCTCTTGACTGCCTCGAATCTTTGTTTATTCAAATAAGAAGGCAAAAAAGCAGAGACAAACGGAAAGATCGCCTGGTAGATAGCCTAGCGTGTTGCTGGCAACCTTGGAATGCGACTGCGGTTTTCTTAGCATTATTGGCACTGGTGTAGGTAGGTTCATCAGAATCGCGTATTTGGTGTAGGTCGCTGATGCTGTACGCAACGATTCATGCTGAAGAAGAGGAACAATAATATTTGAGCTGTACTCCGTAAGCCGTCTTTGTGTTTTGTGTTGTTGACAATTGAATCCTAAACGGTAAGCCCTACCGCCCGCCGTGCATTGCCATCATGCCCTGGGCTCGTCGTGTTCATGCTTCCTGAGCATGAAGTATCATAGCAGAAGCATAAATATTCCCAGGCCTCCCCTCTCCCCCCAAACAAACGCTTCCCCCGGATCTCCCGTGCAGTACGAGTACAGAGGAACCCGCCCAGCTCACGCTTTTGACCGACTGTGGTTTCGTCAGCTTGACTGTGGATAACTGTAAATTCGGCGTGGTGTATTCCCGTGGCCCTGCCGCCGCAACTGGCCTCAAGCTGCCGAAGCTTCCGCTGAGTCTGTGTCCCTGCGGAGTCCCGGTCGCCATTACTGTGCTCGAGTCCCGTTCGATTATCATCACCCCGCTTACTCTAATCGACTTCAACATCTTCTCTCTCCGATCGCTCCGATTCAAAACATATTGAAAGCCAGACCAGAAACCCAGAGACCCAGAAACCCAGAAACCCAGAAACCCGATCGATCGTTCCAATCCTCAACCACCATTGCAACCATCATCCCCACGCCCATTTCTTCCCGATCACTCCAATTTCTCGCTGGACGCCAATAATACCGCCACCACTCACCACCACTTACCACCCCTCAAGAAACGGGACATGTAAACTTCAACTTCTTTCTTTTCTCTTTCACGCTCACCACTGCTTACAACAATGACCATGTCGAACGTCGCGCGAACCTTGGCCGCGTTGAGTCTGGCCATGATGGCATCCGCGCAAATTATCGTCATGCCTACAAATGCGACTTTACCAAGTGACGAGCAAAGTTCACTCGTTCCCTTGACCTTGCTCGGAGGGCCCTTGTTCCAAAAGCAATCGCCATACAACATTGCGCCCCTCACCGAAGTCGCAGGAAAAGGCAAACCCGTAGAGCAAATCAATGTAAGTAGAACGTCATGATGGTTGGGCGAGATGGACTGACGTGCGTCCCTTGACAGGCAATATATTACCAGGCAAGAGTCAAGTTGGTTGGACCGTCAAACCTAACTTTGATGGCCAACGACCTTGCATTTATTAGTTGCGACGACCGCGAGGATTCGAACATGAGCCCGTCCGACGTGGTAGCAGCAGCGGGAAGACAAACCCCGGCTGGCATCGTGCTTTACAGTAACTTCTTCAACGAGTGCAACCTGACGGGCACCTCAACCTTCCAAACGATCTATACCATGACCAAGCTCGAGGATACACAGCAGATACTGGATACAATCGGGGTCTATCCAGACTCGGCGAACCTTCTGCGGGCACAGGTTGGTAATTCAAATTCGACGGCCAATGGAGGCAGTTCTTCTTCGTCAAACGGTTCAGGCGGAGCGGCGCCGCCGACGACGGCAGTGGCGATGAGCATTTTGTACAGTATCACGGGCATAATCACGCTCTTGTTCTTGATTATCATTGCTACGGGTGCCGTGCGTGCTCATCGTCACCCCGAACGCTACGGTCCACGCAATGGATACTCTGGGAGACCGCGTCAAAGTCGAGCAAAAGGTTTGGCGCGAGCCATGCTCGAGACGCTGCCTATTGTCAAGTTCGGAGACCCAGAGCCGACGAAACCTGGAAGTAGAGATGTCGAATTGGAAAATGGCAGTGCTTTGTCCACGGCACCAACAAGGACGGATCCCCAGGAATCCGGAACCACAACTTCGAAGGAAGCGAATGCCGTCTCCACGTCTGCAACCGCAGTTGCCGAGGGAGGGGCTGCTAAGGATGCCCCATCTGGAGACGCAGCAGCTTCCGCATCATCCGTCCAAGAAGGAGACTTAGGTTGCTCCATTTGCACGGAGGACTTTACTACAGGTGAAGACGTTCGCGTCTTGCCTTGTAATCACAAGTACCATCCCGCATGCATTGATCCTTGGCTGCTCAATGTGTCGGGAACATGTCCACTATGGTCAGTACCATACCACTTCGTTGCTTTCTTAATTTGGTATGCTAACACAATCTAGTCGTCACGATTTACGATCCGATGCCTCCGCCAATTCCGAGGGAGCTAGCCCAACCGGCAATGACGAGCTCGCTCCTCCTCTTAATGAAGTCGCCGACGGCACTGCTCAGGCTTCGGAAGCGGCCGTGGATGATCCAGCAAACACAAGACATCGTCGTCGAACACGGTTACTAGACCTCACCAGGCTTCGTCATGCACCACCTGATGAACGCATCGCAGCACTTCGGTTGCTGAGAGAACAGTCTAGGGCAGAAGGAGAGCTTACCACTACGGAAGCAATAGAAGACCCGGAAACACAGCAAACTCGAAGAGCGAGATTAACTGGCAGACTACGGGATCGATTCCGAATTCGAACAAGGGAGCAAGCCGGCACTTCAACACCTCAGACGCAGTAGTGGTTGGAGATAGCGCAACAAATTAGCATGGATATGGACCATATATGAAATGATGATTATAGAATATGTACCTCGATGAATACGGTTGGGTCTGGGCTTAAATGCATCAAAGGCGTTTGTGGAAACATCAAATTGATCAACGATCGCACAGCGATTGGGACGGAGTATTTCAGGGTGGCCAGGAAGGCCATGGTCTCGGAGGTGTCACTGGCGAAACATTTTTGGGAATCTGATGGGTTTACTCATTTATATCGTTGCTGGCAAGATAATCGGCGTATGTGTATTGAGGAGTCGGAGGACGGGCAGTGTAGCAACATCTCTTATATAACTAAGCGGTAGTCCTTGTTGATAGGTTGGGGTATAATTATGTGGTGTAACATAACTTGGATAATGTAGAAGTTGGAATGTGGAAGGAAAAAGAAACTCGAACTGCTCGCTGTCTTCCTGGGTATTTTACTACTTTTATACTGTGCGTCATTGTCAGTACTATTCATCATAATCTAATGGCAATCGGAGCTTGGTATCACTTTCGACCAAGCCCTCTTACATTTTTGACGAAGTCTGGAGGAAGTATGCTAGACTAACATTTTCTGTATTACAAGATTTCACCGCGGACGGTTACTGTATGGTACAAGTAATGAAAGGCAGCTATCATATATACTGTTCATTACTCACAATCACTTGACACTTTTATGCGATAATATGTGGTTGTATCTCCAACTAAACCGTACCCTAAACTGCACATAATACATCCTCCACCAGATTCAATAAGTAATTAGAAGCTAACGTATTCAACATCGTCACTCCCCCATGTTATCTCATGAACTCCAACCTCCTCCAACACTCAACATAAGCTCTCATCCACTCCCAATGAAACTGCCCACAGCCTCTCAACGCACCACTGATCTCCTGCGTCTTCCTCGAATCGAAAGTCTTATGCATCTCCTCCTCCCCAGCCATATTCTCGAAGAACTGCAACAACCGCAGCCCTGGTACCTCATCAGGTGATGTATTTACCGCATTCAATCTTGCCACCCATTGCTTCATCGATATGGTAGGTAGGGTCGTCTCATCCGTCCCCGTAGCATCACGGAGTTGGTCAACAAGAGATGACCACGAAATCGGATGTGGATTCGTGATGTTATGGACGGTATACTCTGCCTTCCTATCCCCAGAATCGGATACGGGTGTCGTAGGCGGCGATGGATTCTGTGCTGGTATGGGCAGAGGCGAGTACGACAGGATGATATCGCTTATGGTCGCTGCGGCGATGTTTACGGGGATCCAGTCGACGAGTTTGGAGGGGAAGGAGGGGATGGATGTTATGGAGGGGTGGAGGGCGGTGGCGAACATGATCTAGGTAGTGTTAGAAAGAAAGGCAAAGGGTGTGGGGAGCACTTACGGGCCACATTTCATTGACGTTCCAGTGCCCTGTGGTAGTTGAGCCTGCCATTTGGCCAACACGGAGCAGGTGGACTGGGAGGTTTAGAATGCGGGTTGCTGTTTGGGTTATTCTTTCAACTGCGAAGAGGTTAGCAGAGGGATTTTGATAGGGGGGAAGAAGACATGCCTATGTATTTACTCTGTGCGTAACCTGTTGAAAGCGCGACGGTTGGATCGTTACCAATAGGTTCTTCGAAGACGGTTGGCGATGTTTGACCTGGTCCCATACAGGCACTGATGCTGCTTGTGAAGACGAAACGTTTAGGTCTGCCAGCTTGGGTGAGGCGGAGAAGTGACATGGTGTCTATGTATCGACAGTCAGTATAGTCATCCCCAGATCAGCTTCCTGTCACTCACTCCTCAGACAATCCCCCTCAAACTCCTCAACCCCAAGATTAAAATCCATCTTCCACGCATTCTGCACCACAACCGTAACCATATTCGCCAACTCCGCATACTTCTCTAGATCCAACCCCAGCAACGGATCTTGCATGCTGAAATTCACAACCTCAATCTTCCCCTCGTCTATAATAGAAGTATCCATTCCACGCTCCGCAAGCGTCCTCCGCAGCTTGCCCGCCCGATTGGAGCCTCGTACCATGGCATAGATCTTGTCGACATGTGGGTGTGCACTCAGAACTGCGAGCAGAGATGTGCCGAGTGAGCCAGATGAACCGGTTAGTAGAACTGTTTCTTTTTGTGCCAAGGGGAAGATGGTGCTAGTGCGCGGAGGCCATGACTTGAATTCAGCTTCTAGTTTGGATATTATTCTGTGGACTGTTTCGATGGAGGCTTGTTCTGGGGGTCGAGTCGTGTCAACGGGAGAGGAGGCGTGGGAAAAGTAGTCGACTAACTTGCTGATGGATGGGTTTTCGAAAATCGTGCCTAGTGAGATGGATTGTTTCAAGTCGGCTGTTAAAGAGACTTTGAGAGATAGCGCGAGTCGGGAGTTTATTCCTAGGTCGTACAATGTTGTCCAACTATGGATTTCTTGGACAGGAACATTGGAAAGAGATGATAGTAGATTGCGGATGTAATTTCCAACATCCGTTTGAGATGAGTTGGATGGTATGACTTGTTCTTCGCTGGAGTAGAAGTTGTCAATGATCGACGAATACAACTTCATCGCTTCCTTTCGCTTAACGTTTCCCTTGGGTGTCACGGGTAAAGCTTCACCTCCTGGAAGTATATATATCATAGACTCCATGATCTGAGAATGGCCTGGATATCGATCGTTGACCGCCTGTACCGTCTTCCATACCTCTCTTCGAGTTGAATCGCTGGAAGGATCATGCTCGGAGTGGACTTCGACTAAAAGACTGACGCATGGTTTTGAGTGGCCTAATGCCAGGACTTTGGCGATGATCTTTGAAGATGTCTGGATATCGAGTTGGAGTGGTCCAGCACTCGTGTTCTCGCCATTCGAATGCACCAGAATATCATCTTTTCTACCTTGCAAAACATAAAACCCGCTTCCCGGCGGGTCTTGAATAAAAAGATCGTTTGTGCGGTAGGGTTCATCACTGTTTTCCCACAGTTCGGCAGCTAGTTCAAAACCTTTGTGAACCACACACTCGTAAGTTCCCTCCGCAACCTTTTCCATTTGCAGATGTGGATTGTCAGGATACAAATTCCTGAATGAGTAGCATTTTGGATTGTCACGGGTGTGAGGTATCGAGCGGAATGGAGGCCCAATCTCGGTACTACCGTAAGTTGTCTTGACGTTTACCCCGTTCGCTGTAAGGGCATTGACGATACTATCAGAAAGCGCAGCTCCGCCAGGTTGGAGAAGTTTTAAGAATGCCAAAGGGGTAAAGTCGCCACCGTTTTCTGTAATATAATCGTACATATTTTCGATCAAGGTAGGGGCGCAATGAACAGTGTCCACATCGTGACCCATCGATGAAAGCGTTTTCCATGTCGCGAAGATCGTCGAAGACGCCGGAGGCCATACCAATGGTGGAAATGAGAGGATTTGACCATTTGGTAACCCGGATAGTGCAATTGAGATCCCAGCGATATGGTAACTATCGATGTTAGTAATGCGTTGGATAAGCGAGGACCAACCTACAGTGGAAAGAGAAGAAACCAGTTCTCCACGCTCACTTCCTGAAACAGTCGATACATTCTTGCAATCAGCATCATACTTCGATTCGTATGAATGATAGGCTTGGGCATTCCGGTTGACCCGGACGAATGTATGATAAAAGTGTGTCTCTCCCACACGTCACCCCAATCTTGAAATTTCACAGCATCAACATCCTTTGATGTGACGTTTGAGCCATTCGGAAGTGACTCTACCATTTCAAGCTTTCTTAAACCATTTGTATCTACAGTAGTATTCTTAGAGTCTGTGATAACAGCTACGGCATGACATGTTTTGAGCAGGTGATGTAAAGCACTCAAAGCATTCGACTCAGCCAGCAGTAAGACTCTCACCCCGAGCTTCTGGAGTGCCAATTGAGTGCAGAAATACTCAATTGTTCTCCCTCCGCCAAGTAAACCTAATGTAGGCTGATGCCGGGACGAATTAGCGTGCTGAAGTTCGGTTTGTAGTTGAGACGCATATAATGCTGCAAGTGACTCTGTGATCTGGTCGAATTCATCCCAGGTCATGGACTTATACGGTGTACTACCGTCGGTTGATATAGGATATAGGAAGCCTTTTTCTCCTCGATAAATTGAGCCATCGTGCCGTACTAGAGCTGCCAGACTGATGAGACTCGGGTCCGAATAGCGCTTCGAATGGGGATGACCGTGAAGCCACCATAGTTCCTTTATTCGCCTGGATGCGTTTTCTGACGGTACAACTGTCAAGTCGGAACAAACTCTTGAGGGTTTCGAATAATTTTGTACTTGGATTGGCGGGTCAATCATCATTGGGGCCATTTCGCAGAAGTTAAGGATTTGGTGTTCTTTTTCAAACCCTGTGGTGAATGCAGTCCTGCGACACGACAATAAAGAACTTGGAGATTGTTGGGTTCAGTGACTAGATGTGCTTGTCACGAAGATTTTAGGAAAGTCTCAATCACCCCGACTCCACCTTTGGCTTGTACAGAACAATTTTCGGGATTACCAGGGCCACCTTCAGGTCGGCCGAGTTGGATCTCGCTGAGAGAGTCAATCAACAATCGATTCGCAGCCATGAGGCGTTCGGAAACCACGCCCGAACCAACTTTTGAGACGGGGCTGCCTCGATAACGGGCGATATATGTCCAGCGAAGAATGGTAGAGCTGCTGTCCGACTCCAAAGGTCAATTCAACGGTACGATAAGCCCTGGAGGCAAAGAGGGGAAACAACGTCAAAAGCATAACATCTGGCTTAACATCTATTTCTACGCAGCATTGCATGGCCGCGTCCCCACAGCTCAGAGTGGGTATCAACTCAGCTACTTTCTTGCTGCTGCGAGACCACATTTGCCCTTTGGGCTACCCCTCCACGATACAAGTGCGTCCATAATTCTCCGGCATCTAGCCTCCAGGGAGGCGACGGGCGGCTCTCCCAGTAGTTGCGCGAATCGTGTGGAGTAGCCGACACCACGGATCTATGGGAGTTGCGAGTGGACAAGGCGTATCGAATCGACGGAAAACCACAAGATAAGTCTGGTAAAGACTGGAGAGACCTGTCTTGTGTAATTTAGCGAGAATCGAGAGCCCAAGTCAAGCGAGGAGCATCAACGGAAACGCTTCCAAGTTGTTCCAACCACGAGAACCATGGTTCCCATCAAGTCGCTCCCAATCAGAATGGAATTGTCCCATCACCCCCCAACGGCCGAAGCACATGATGGTTCTCATCTCCTCCCGTCCGCATGTTTGCTTTGAACTGGCTCTCCCCAGTTGGTGCCGGGCGTTTGCTGTGGCTGCGGGGAAGGACAACAGGCCTGTCCATACCACAATAATCCCATCATTGAAATCCTTGAAATAGTCGCATGAGTTACACGACCGCTCAATCGGAATTTGCGCTTGAGCCAGTCCACGATCTCAGCTCGTTTGTTGATGGCGGCCAACGAAGTGTCACTTGCGGCCAACCAGAACGCTAAGTTTTTGGTACACTTGCCAAGTACGGAGAAGATATAAAGGGGCGATAGCCGATAAACCCTCTGGCTTTTCTGGGAACTACCCCGACTCGGAAAGATAAAAGATAGGAAACTTTCTGAATTGGTATGGAGTATCGTACGTGCGATATCAGTCATGGGGAAGCACAGGCTGCACTGCAGTCACCGCTTTAAAGCTGTCCTGGCAGGTAACGTTGAAAAGGATAAGTTGTGTTGCATTTCCCTCTGCTATTCTTATAATTTTCATTGTTATTTTGACGTTCCTGCCAGCCTGTCTCTACGCATTCTGTCGGTTTACTTTACTGTACATCTGACCTGCTTCACTGGCCACAGCTCCTCGGACCAACAAGGCCAACAATTGACATACAAATTCTTATCACTTAGCGAGACCACGTGCTCTACCACAGGGGTAAAGTGAGGAACGACAAATCTTTTCCGTGCTGTTGAATCTCCCGTCGTTGTGCGTGTACGTACAAAGTTCCAAATCAAAGTGTCCAGAATGGCACCGGCGTTGATCGAGAGATGGAGGTTGCATTCCGAGCCGGGGGCTTTTGCAAATGGGCCAAATGGAATTAAATCGAACCGAGATCTTGACCCAGTCCCATTCAAGTCGGAGGAGAGGAAATGGACGTGGCCGTCACTGCTGGGATTTTGGATTGCTGAAGCATTCAGCATATCCATGTATCAAGTGGCTTCCTCGTCAATCACAAAGGGACTCAGTCCAGGCTTGGCTATTCTTGCAGTCATAGTTGGGCACATATTGGTTTGTATTCCAGCTATGCTTAACGGCTATATTGGTTGCATTTATGGTAAGTGTATACAAACTCTCTTACTTTTCAGATCGCTATCAAAGACACGCAAATCGCAAAGCTTTGGATTATTATAGCCACTTATCTGTCATATCCTAACAAGCATTGTCCTTAGTGTTGCAAGAATGACAAAGCGCTAACTTGAGGTACAGGAATTAATTTTCCTGTTCTGATGAGGTCGACTTTTGGTATATGGGGAGCTTACTTTGGCGTTTTCGTACGAGGCGTTGTGGCTTGCATCTGTAAGTGCTCCTACTCGTAACACATACAGGAACGGCACACTTACATCTTGCAGGGTTTGGCACACAGAGCTTTCAAGGCGGCCAGTGTGTTGCGTCTATGATTGAAGCCATTTGGCCGTCATTCAAAAGATTCCCCAATCATATACCCATCTCTGCGCATGTCACATCCGCGCAATTATTGACATTCTTCTTGTTCATCATCATCCAACTACCCCTCTTATACCTGCACGTGTCCAAGTTAAGATACCTCTTTATGGCCAAGACAATTATCATGCCCATTTTCGGCGTGACCCTATTCACATGGGCACTCGTTGCTGGTAAGTTCCCTCTGCCGTCACTCTTTTGGTAATGACTGACAATCCATTAGCAAAAGGATTTGGCCCTACGTTTGCAAAGGGTACGCACATCAAAGACGGAACCCCGGCCGTAATTGTCTTCTTCCAATGTGTGACAACCACCATCGGTCCTAAGGCTACCCTTGCACTTAATATGCCAGATTTTACACGATACGCAAAATACCCCAAGCAGGTGTTCTGGACCCAGGCAGTTGGACTTTGTGTTCTCGTCACTTTGTGTGGAATATTAGGTATTACTGTTACTAGTGCGACACAGCAAGTGTACGGTGTACTGACGTGGAACCCTCTACAAGTGTCGGCGTTGGTAAATATAACCTTCCTTTAATTCCGCATCAACTTCCTCCCCTTTGTCCTCGGGGTATAGTCCGGGCCAACACGGCTTACAACTCAGAATCAAACGAGAAAATGCATGCTAACAAGTTCTAGTGGCACAACCGGGCCGCACAATTTTTCTCCAGTTTATGGTAAATTAAGATCAATATACCAGTGTCGAAGCCATAGCTAACGGTCTCGTAGTTGGATGTTCGCCGTCATTGGGACCAATATCTCAGCAAACTCGGTGTCCTTTTCTAATGATCTGTCGCTTTGGTTCCCAACTTGGATCAATGCCAGACGAGGTGCGTACGTCTGCTGCTTCATCTCGATTGCCGCAACTCCATGGAATATTCAATATTCCGCGGCCTCGTTCTCTGCTTTTCTTGGTGGATACGCAATGTTCCTTGGCCCAATCGCTGGTATCATGATGTCCGATTTCTGGGTTCTCCGGAAGCGTCACCTCAACATTAGGAGTCTCTACCGCAACCCTGATATCTACACCTTTTTCCATGGTTTCAACCTTCGTGCATTTGCAGCATTCATCTGCGCCATAGCACCTAATCTCGCGGGGTTAGCTAAAGCTACTGGAGGTCGAAAGGTTCCAAAGGGAGCAACTTACATATACAGTTTAAGCTGGTTGGTGGGCACAGTTGTTGCTTTCGTGGTATATACCGTCCTGGGAAAGATCTGGCCGATGGAGGATAAATTAGAGGAGGATGAGCATGTGGTTGAGGGGATTGACGGAAGTGATAGAAGCGAAAGAACGCAAAGTGAACACGAGAAGGGTGTGTACACAGGCGAAAAGGCTGTAAATTTCTAGATACCAAAGGCAGCAGGGGCTTTGAAAACTAGACCCGAAGACTTTAGAATGGTTATATGGAAACTAAGAAATCCACTGCAATGGCCCAAATCTCCATTATATACATGCCATCCCTTATGAGCTAGTGAGAGATCCAATGAAGTGCGTGGGAGCTTAAATTCCTCCAGTACACAAACAAAACATTGGTGACTGTCTAGTTTCCTTATGATTTTGCAAACCACGAGACCTTTTGAAAATTAACAAATTACGAAAAGCGGTTTGTTGTGGTCAAAAGGTTAGCCACAGTGCAACTTTCAGGGGCGTCTATGGGGCGCCAAGAGTTGGCTACGGCGCGGTCCGACCCCTTGTCAAACCACAAAATTTCGGACGTGCAATGAGCAACACTTGCCGTCTTTCATTATGAATTACATCTTTTTGGCAAATTCAAGATCGAGATATTCAACTGCTGACATAGTCGTCCAAAGTATGAACCCGCGACTCAATGACAACTTTGGAAGGATCGAATGACAATTACGCCTGTGGGACGTAGCAACTGTGAGACTTCAATTGTTGGAAGGATCTGGATCAGGCGCCAGCTAACCTTAACCTTCGTCAGTTCCAGCTTAAGTTTGTCGAGAAAGAATAACATTATCTAAACACATCATAAGTTTAAAACCCAACTTGTCGAGACGTCAAAGAACTTATAATCTGCTTTCCTACCAAAAATACTGCTTTGCTGGACGATCAAGGCCCAACATTGCAAAATCCGATCATTGTTGAATGATAAAGTCCCAAAAGGTTGGCACCATCAATACAGGCCAGATATCTCATCAATATTGAAACTTCAGAAGTGATGGCTCCAACAGCGTCAGATCCAAGGGATCTAAGATTGGTTCTCAACCCAGCTCGCCGTAAAGCTTTTACCCTATTGATCGGCAGCATGGTCGCTCAAATGCGGAAAAGTATGGAGTACTCATTTGAGCCATTATCAACACCAATCGAAACACCGGCTTACACAACTCACGCCAATTACAGTGTGCCGCAGTCAGAAGCATCGGACCAGCAAAAGCTAGAGAGTCGACTAGATACCTCTCTCCCAACCACTCAGCTGAATGCTCTCAAGAAAGATGCACTCAGGTATTTTGATAAATGGTCTGATGGAGTAAGAGTAGAGCTAAGAAAGATCACCGACGGTCAGGACGACCGTGGGGCTGCTCAGAGACGAGAAGAGTGGCTTGCCAACAGAAATCCCCCACCGCCGCCGTACTCCCCTTTTGCAACCACATCACGCACGCCAGAGCAAGCGGCGTCCGCTGCAACCGCAGCATCGAGAGAAGCGAGGGAAGTGACCAAAATTCAGTCTCTGTATACTCCAATTGCCACCCGCTTCACCACGATATCGAGAGAAGATAGGGTTCATGTAGTCAGTTGCATGCTTTTACTTCTGCTGGCCTCGGGCCACTACTCTGCGCATTCTCGCACGCTGCTTTGTATTCTCACTTCCTCCTTTGCTCTTCCTATTTCTGTTCTTGCAACTGAAGAAACTGAGGTTTCACGCACCCTTCTAACCGCATCCAAAGCAATGACAGCTGATGCGGAGACGTTGAAGCGAGCTCAGGAAAATCAAAGCTCACGCCGCTGGAAGGTAGGGCTTGCTTCGGTCGCAGGAGCAGCGCTGATCGGGGTAACGGGAGGAATTGCTGCTCGTCCGTATTATCCCTTTATTTCTCCCTTCAAACCCTGTTTTCTAGTGGCCCGGAGCATGTTTGATCTTTAGACACGGCTCTCGGCTCCGGGGCGAACAAGAAAAACATATGCTAATGTATTGGATAGCTGTGGTAGCCGGTGCTATTGGAGGGTTGATGGGAGGGATCGGCCTTGGGGGAGTCGCTTCTGTACTAGGTATATTCGCTATGAATGGTGCTCTTGTAGGCACTTTGTTTGGAGCTTTCGGTGGGAAAATGACAGGTGAAATGGTTGATGCTTATGCCAGGGAAGTGGAAGACTTTAATTTTAAACCTGTCGCGTCAGAATGGGGAGAACACACAACAGACCCAGCTGCACTGGGCGAAGCTAGACGCCTCAGAGTCACAATTGGCATCAACGGTTGGTTGAACGAGAAAGAAGACATTGTTCGGCCTTGGAGAGTTTTGGGCCAGGATTCCGAGGTATTTGCGCTGAGATATGAAATGGAAGCATTGTTAAGTCTGGGTTGTTCTATAAAAGACATGGTTTCATCATACGCCTGGTCGTATGTGAAATTGGAGATTCTGAAGAGAACGGTCCTTGCGAGTTTATGGTCTGCTCTATGGCCAGTTTATCTACTCAAGGTGGCTACGTCTCTCGATACACCCTTTGCGGTCGCCAAGCACCGCTCCGAGAAAGCGGGAGAGGTTCTCGCCGATGCTCTGATCAATAGAGCACAGGGTGAACGTCCAGTAACTCTGATCGGATACTCTCTCGGTGCTCGTGTCATATATTGTTGCCTAAAGTCACTATCAGCTCGTCGAGCTTTTGGTATTGTGGAGAATGTAGTTCTCATAGGTGCTCCTGTCCCCTTGAACCGTCAGAACTGGCAGGAGATGCGAGCGGTTGTTTCTGGAAAGCTCGTCAATGTACACTCAGAGAATGATTATATTCTGGCGTTTCTGTACAGAGCTACGAGTATCCAGTATGGTGTCGCCGGATTGCAACCGATTACAGGCCTGGAAGGCGTCACGAATGAAGACCTTAGCAATGATGTTAGTGGGCACCTGAGATATCCAGACCTCGTCGGCAAGATACTGAAGAGGATTGGCATCGAACATGTCGATGTCGAAGACGAAGATATTGAAGTCGATCCCGAAATAAAGATCATTGATAATGAGGATCTTATCGACTTTGGAGATAACACCAAAGATTCGGAACCACTAACTAATCCCTATCATGGTTCTCGGATTGTAGATAACCACTCGACGCACCAAGGCTTGAGTAGAGATATGACTACAGCGGCACAATGGGAAGAGTCGATGGGTTCAAGTCAAATTCTGGAGAGACACACATCGACATCTGGTCTTACCGCAATGATGGCGGGTACATCTTTAGAAGCCCGTACCCCACCTACCTCGATTACCACCGCGTCGTCTACTCACCGACGAGAGGTTACCGATCAAACACACATAGCAGGCACTTCTTTATTGGTCCCTATGATACCGAGGATAACATCACCTGTTTCGCCAGCTCCACCTCTTCATACCATCAAATCTACCGCTGTTACGGAAGATGACCACTATTCATCTTCAGATGACGGGGGTATCGTAATGGAGGATAACGATGATTATTCAGAAGATGGCCACCTGCCTGCTGCCAGTCAGAGCCATCCTCATTCATCGACACAGAGGGACAATCATCATGATCAAGCGGGTAATTCTCAACATGATCGGGTCGATCGACTTATATATGACAATTTTGAAAGAGGCGGACCAACATTCGATGAACCAAAGAGCTTAGGCGGATTTCAACAGTCAACGTGATTAGGAAGAGACTTCTGAAGCAATTTTCGAGGGCCTGGAGCGGTCAAATTGAAGCTATGTTTTTTGGTCACTCTTATATTTCCAAATGATTACAATTCGAAGAAATGTATTGCTTGCATAATGGACATTTGTATCTGTCTAATTATATTGGAATTACATTCCGAAAGTTCCTGGTGATATTGCACTTAAATTTCATGTCGATTATGGCGTCTTACTCCAGAGATTATGTTGTTACAATGTGTCTCTTTCTTTGCGGTCTCTAGGCTCAAATCTTACAGGCTTACATGTAGCCCTCCCGTTATAACGCAGAACTATACATTGGAAGGCCGATGATTGCAGCTTAGAATCCTCCGGTCAATTGTGCTAAGTTTACTTTCCCGTTTTGTAGTAATATTTCAAAAGATTACTTACAATGCACAATCCCAATCGAATTATTTAGCGGCGTCTTTACAGATATGCGTCATCAAGCTATAGCTGTTGCCCACCACATTGCGATTCCTTTAGTAGATTCGTTGGATCGACCCCTGAAGTTCTATTGAGAACTAAGAGTGTTCGTTGATTACCCGGTAGAATCACATGTCAGGGCTCATAGCATCAAAAGATACTACTATGATGATAAATCAATCGACCTGTACTTCGTCGATCACTTGGCTGAAGTTCTGATTCTAACTTATCCACCGAGTAAATTGACGTTTACTCTGCTGTTCAGTGTAGTCGCCAGCCTATTCGAGTAGGTTGCCATCAACTCCACCACACAGAAAATCAGTGGTGGATATTTACATTCAAGGCGGCCCACAAGACTTCCGACTCGGCATGAACCATGGTGGAAAGTCTCAAGTACCATGGGCCTGGATCTTCTTGGTGGAGATATAAGCGTAAGACCAAGACCCATCGTTGTGTCCGAACAAATACTATTACCTCGACAGACGTAAATTTCGAACTACCAGGTCGGAGCAGCGTCATAGAGGTTTACTGATGTACGAGGTAGGCAGTTTAAGAGATTTATCTAGCACAGATGAAGGCTGCTGAAGAAATGGTAGATTTGATTCCCAGCATGGGACGTAACTTAACCCATCCAAATGACTAGGTCTTGGTCAAAGCCTCGCACTACTTAAATCTCATCAAGGTCCTCATCCATCAAATCATCAAGGACAGGGTAATCTCCCACTTCGACTCTTTCCGGCCTAACAAAGACCCCAAATTTTCCATCTCCAGCGTTTCCCCAATACCTCTTTCCCCCCAAACTTCCATCATTTTTCCCGACTGGTTCATCAAGTTTTATTCCACACCATACACCTCTCCCACTTTCGTCTTTTGCCGCGATTTCCTCTACCTCCCCACAATACATGACCTCCCCTCTCTTTTCATCTTCTCCACCAACCCGGCAGCGCATACCAACTTGAATTCCACGCTCGTGAAGTGTAGTAGCGTGATTGGCTATCCGTGCGGCTAGTACAGCTGGGGCATCCGGATCGAATCGGCCGAGCTTCTTTGCTTTTTTCCAAGCCAGGACAGAGTCGGTCTTGGTTTCATATATTTCTGGGGCAAGCTCAAACTTCTCAACCTTAGACGCATCCGTGTAGTTGGGTCGAAGGCCCGGGGGTCTGGTGTCTACTACCTGGGGGAGAAATGTGTTAATTCTGTGATCGCAGGCAAGTGGGAATTGGTAAGAGAATGTTAGGCAAGGTAAGTCTAAACCAAGGTCTTAGGCAGCTTTCACTCTTGGAAGAAGCTTTTCACTCTTGGAAGAAGCTTGCTCTTCGAAGGGAATAGGAATAAGACGTTGAGATGATCATACAATAACACTTTGTAGCGCATGAGAGAAAAGGGAAGTTGTACAGTCGATGAGCCGACTGGTGTAAATTTTGTGCATTGCTAAGGTCGTATCCTTTATTATTGATCGAATTTTCGCGCACAACGCCACACAAAAATAAAATCCCAGGGAACAGGAAAAATGAGATCGTGGGTAGAAACTGGAACATCAGTTTAGGAAGCGCAAAATGAAGCCAGAATACATGAGTTTGTTTAATCTTTGATAAATCAATACTAGGAACAACGACATGTAATTCGCCGCCATCTCTGAGAACTCGAACAAGCAACCAAAGATGACACTTGTCACGCCCACTAGGCTCCAGTAAGATCTCCGATGCTAACCCATTGCACGGCTATACAGTCGCATCGAGCGTGCTGAGCGAATAAAGTGGCCAGTGTAGTGCCAATCCGAGGATTAACAACTAGTAAACCAGCGAGCAATTTCGACACCAGAAAATTCAAGTTACACACTCTGCCACAACAAAGAACATGTTAAGTGGCTGGCACTTGGCTGACGTTCAGCCTAGGTCAACGGCTACACAATTAAGCTTTTTAACACCCTTTGAATATCAATATTCCCTTCTACAATATTGTTTGGTATACTCAATGAATTGACGAAAATTGCCCATCAGGCATGTGCTCTCCGAGCCAACCAGTAGGTCATTCTTAATTTTGCGTGATGCAGCGAGTATTCTAGAAGGAGAGAGTAAATGACTGCGAACCACCACCCTTGCTCACTTGAACACGCTAATTGTCGATCATACGAAAAACCAAGTTTTGATCTCTTCGTTCTATTTTCTTCATTGAAACGTTTTTTCGGCGAAACCTCCGCGTACCCACTTGGGCAAAACAGCAGGCGCTGTAAGAAGTTTGCTGGGCTGGTCGTAAGGATAAACTGTTGTTTTCTCTGTTCGGCCGTTGGGAGTTGAGAGCACCTGAAGCCTGCAAATAGATATCACATTGTTTCACAGCGTGAACAGGGCCCCCTAGAATGGTCCGAGTAGACGGAAAAGATAGATATAGAACTTACAAGGATTTCTGCGTATGGTGCGAGCGGGAACTTTGCTAGCTGGGTATTCTCCTCATCGGATGCCTCTATCACGGTAGATTGATTGCCATGTCTTAATGTGAGCTTCTGAGCTAGGGGGGGGATTCCCGTGACAGGCTCAAGCTTCGCTTTGAGCTGTCCAATGGTCCAGGAAGGTGTGATTCGGCGTTCAGTGGACGCGTTCTCCGAAGACACGAGGAGAGGGATATCGGCCGCTGTTTGAACGCTCATCTTCGGCGAGTATTCGTTGAGCGCAGCGTGTCGGTGTGTTGTTATTGGATTGAAGGTCGGTTGGAATCCTCTGGGTTGTCTTTTTATCGGCGGCCAAGGACGTAGATGGACTTGTGACGACAACTCTCGCCACCGTTGATTGTGAAAGTCTAATTAACAGATGACGAGGCTGAGATATTGCCTTGCGTATTCAGGTTGTCAGATGGAGATGGGGTGGTGGACGTCCTGGCGAACAAATTGATCAGAGAGCTGACTGGGTGTTATGCCCAAAATTGACTAGCGGGATAATGCGCATCACGTGATGCGAACTGTGATGCACGCTTGATCATGATTTTTTCTACTTCAATGAGGTAAAACCCGAAGGAATCTCATGATGTAAACACGATAGACTTTCATCTTGGAAACCATGCATCTGCTGTTAATCTTTACGAATCTTGCCGCCACCAATAGAGCTCAGTACGGTGCTGCGGCGGTAACACCACAAGCGAGGCACCGTAGTCAGGGTTCGAGCGACCAGGTGCAAAGTATGGTAAAAGGGTAATGTCTTGCAGGATATGACTGGTATGACTTGGGACGATGATTTCTCGATGTGGTTATTATGATTGCTCGCGATGATAGTGAAGTCTCCCGGCGACGTGGCTCGCTTTCTTTTGGTTCTGATCTTGATCCGTAGCCGTGCCGATTTCACTCCTGAATGATGCGAGGAGCCGTACCTGTAGATCTCGAATTCCCAAGGCCCGTCGTGAATAACGGAATTACAATAGAACTAATTGGGATATTTTTCATCATTAGCGGAAGCGAACTACGATAAAGCTCCGTCTGATGGATTTATTACGAAGCAATGGAATAGTCGATGCGATACAGCTGCAGTTTTCCATTTAATACGGCGGTCGCAGACGGCGACACATGACGATGGAATGAAATCCACCGTCCATCTGTACTTTCCCTGTGGCAGCCCATTTTACCTTACGGTTCCTCTATTCCGCCCATCTTCACTTGACTCTTTGCCCGACGTCCTGTACGCAGTGCAGTGTACGGCAACGAGAAGCAGCGAATGAGTCGGGCTGGGCGTTGAATGTCACTCGAGGGCATGATTCGATGCTCTGGTTCTGCTTCTGCTACTGCCAGAGGGAGTTTCATACCGACCCTGCACCTGCTCAGGCATCGGTCAATGCTTCCCCTTCATTATTTGTCAAGTTGCGCGATCGGTTCCCCATGTGCACCGTATTCCGCTGCTTGCTCCGTTTGCAAATAGACGTGGATGAGGCTCACGGATTATTGGCTCCCTTGCGGTCCCGGGAGATGGCATCGCTAGCATGATTGTTCGTCGTTCGATGCTCTGGAAGAGCTGGAAAAGCCGGTCGATGATCATGCTGGTGTCTTGGCCACCGGAAGCTTATTGTTCCCAAATCCTTTCGGTTCCCATCTTGATTCCCAAATAGCCATCCACACCCTGGGTTCTAGTCCTCGGCCCTTCCATTCTTGTTCGAGCCTTGAGGGCAGCAGGCCTCTAGCGATGCAGGTTTCCAGAAGGTGTAGGCTCACCGCTCCCAAACAATTCGGGGGTTTTCTGAGACGGCACTCTCCTAACAGTCGAGTCCAGCCCTAACGAGGAAGCCCAAACCGGCCCAAACACTGGCACTGGCACTGGCACAGGCACACACACTGGCTGCTGGCATCGTCTGGCAGGCCGCCTGTCAATCCGGTCGATCTGGTTCTAGTGCCTTGTTCTTGTCCTGGGTTTTGGTGCTGGGGGCCTGTCTCTTGTTCCCTCTTGACCCTGTCAACGATCTCCCACCGCCCGCGCCCGCCTTAAGCGGATGTTGAGCGCCGCGGATGTTAAGCGGACCTCACGAGTCAAAGGAGAAATGGACGAACCGTCGAACACACAGCCAGACAAGTTGACAACACAGACTCATGCACACGGTTCCCACCCATCCACACTCTGGTCTTGTAGTCGCATTGTAGCTCCAGACTCCAGAGCTTCTTCTATTGAACAAAAGACAATAATTCCCGAGTCTTGCATCCGCGCACGTCGCCTTGTCCTCAAATCTCGGCATTCAACTCCAACCTACCTACCCCACGTACCAGATTTCTTTTTGCATTCTTCAGACCACCAAACCGTCCAGCCGGCCTGACGTATCATGAACCTGGAAGGCATAATATCGGTAGCGATCCGAGGGCCTCTCTCTCGCAGCAACCCGAACTAGGAATTGTCCCTGGCCGCCAGCCACCATCCGCCCCAGAATCGTCCTCGTTTCCAATCCCTACCTCTGCTTCATGATCGGCAAGTGTCACTCGAAATACAACAAACGGATGAGGGCTATGATTACATGGATTCGGGCAAGGCTGAAAACAACGTGGTTCCTTCATATGCAAACGCTCATCTGCATCAATGTCACCTAACAACACCCGGCGAGCACTGCACACTCATGAGCATAGCAGCTAAATCGATCTTCACAATGCGGTTTGCTCATGCACAGCATCGCCCTACATAAATAACACCTCTGGAGGCCGTGCGATAAAGCGGACCGTCTGATCATCGGGATATCCTCCTTGAACTAAGTCATCGTCATGGCCGACGTCTTTATGGCCTGGATGAAAAGTCGATACTGTCAGAAGTTCCGCTGAACTACTGCCAACAGAGACTCTTGACAGAGCACTTTCATTTCGGATATGTGAGCTTGTAGGCGCTAGTACGAACTATACTCGTTAGCCTCTTAATTTGCCAGCAGACTAGGCAGGCAGACCGTCTCTCTTCATGGCCCACAAGGTGCCACTTTCAACCTTCTTGACAGTCCTGGCACTTTTGGAGTTTAAGACGGTACTCGGAGGTACCCCTACGCACATGCCTCAGACATCACTTTATTGTTGTGTATATTGCCTTTGTTGCTATCCGACAAGAGACAAATGACAGTAATCTTACACCGCCACATGTGAGCTCCCGTAGTGGAATCCAATAGACGGTTGACATCATCAGATTCAAGTTGGACTGTTTATATGTGTTTCCTTTGTCTATAAACGATGCAAACGAACACATTCATGCAGTTCGGTTACAATTAACGAAACAGCTTATTATATGTTACATTTGTTTAGCCACAAGGTCTTCGAGTTACCGCACGAGGCTCTGCATGATCCCGGTACAAGGAGTGGCAGATCATGTCGATATCAACCAACACATGTGATGGATAGCAGAATGCTCTCTCGTCTAGCAATTGAGCGCTTCGGAATAATGAGGAAGATCATGGTTCGTGGCAGCTCACTGGGTTTCTGCAAGCAAGTTCTGCAAGCCATAGAGATCATACAACCTAACCCAGGACCAGGTAGAAATACCCACTCCTAGACAGCTTGACCGCCGGTTGGTTGGTTCTGGCCCATGAAACCAAGATCTCAACTACTCTGGTTACGATGCTTGGTGGTGTAGATGGGACTAGACTCTCAGATTCTAGTGGGTCGTTTGTGAACTTTGTGGAGGAAGTTCACCTTGGTCTACGTCGAAGTGAGACTCATCACATATTGTCAGCAACTAGTCAGCGGCTATTCTGCAAACGAAGGATGTAAAGTTCGAATTACGCACAGACTTGTCCCCAAAACTGTCCTGAGGGGTCGCACAGAAGTCTGGGATTATATAAGAGTTTCAACGTCTCCACAACGTGGTTTCAACCGAGCTTTTCGTCCTCTTCGATATCATGGAAGATCCCCAAAAAGGCAAGCAGAGATTTATGTTCCTGTTCATGCATGAATTTGTGGCTACGCCCTAGCACACCCATCCTCGACACTAACAAGACCCCTGTGGCTCTCCCCACCACGGATCGTGTACCCTCTATCTGCATCGCGCAACCTCCCGGCAGCCCAGTCAGCCTTTGCGACTACTTTGTATGTACCGGCAAAAGCTCAGGTACTCAGATACTTTAGTGTTTGGTCTTTTCTTCATCACCACGCAGAAGGGATATACATGTATGATCCCGTCGACCCAACTCGTCCCTCACCCTGTACTGCTCTTTTCTCGTCTCATATATTGCGATTGGTTAGACCTCAGACGTTCGGTTGCCAATCATCTTGATAGCTGTCATGATCTACGCGAGCCTCGCAGTTGTTCTTTGAAGCCCTGAAATAGGAACACTGTCCTCCTCGGAAGTGGCTCGATCGTCTCAAAATCTTCCTGCAATACGGCGCCTGAAGAGTTACTACTCGCCAGTTTCATGTTGCCTTGTTGATTTTTTGCTTGATTGTCAGAGCATTGTCACGGTTTATCGACTTTCTGCAATTCGTCTGGAATTCGTCAAAAGGATAAACTGATAATCAAACCTCACCCTCGTTCAAGAACTCCAAATATTGACCAGGAGAGCACTACTCCACCAGATCTACAGGTAGATATCCCTACACCCCGCGCTACCCAATTGCACATGATTCCGTCTTTCTTGACGGTATCTGCGAATTGAGACCGTCACCGTGGATATCTCTCTACTTCTAAAGGCTTCGGACTCTAACGAGTCCTCGTCACCGCCACCACCACCTCGAAAAGAAATTGAAGAGCAACAAACGCAGTATCAAAAGCAAGAACGGCATCAAGAGCTAGCAAGGAATCAACAGCAAACAAGTAATCAAGCGCAAGAGGAACAGGAGCCAGAGCAACAGGCCCAGCAGCAATACCAGTCTTTCCAGCAACAGCAGCAATTCTCCTACCCACAGCCACAACACAGACATCATACCCGATCGACCTCGGTCCCATCTTTGATTCTTCAACCAAGCTCTGTTTATGCACCTGCAAACCCAAGCCCAGGTGGTAAGAGGACAATGCCGCCCCACCCTGCAGAATCGCCAGCAAAAAAGCAGAGCAAGTGGTCTGCAGAAGAGGATACCTTGATCATTGAGCTGAGAGGCGGTGGAATGAAATGGGAAGATATTTCCAAGCGACTTCCTGGTCGCAGCGCCATAAGTTGCAGATTGCACTACCAGAACTATCTTGAGAGAAGGAGCGAATGGGACGAGGAGCGCAAGAATAAGCTCGCCAGACTTTATGAAAGGTAGATATCCTTGCTTTGCCCTCTTCAATCATCGAAAAGAAATAACCTAAAACTTTTCTAGATTCAAGCCGGAAATGTGGTCAAAGGTTGCCGAGGAAATGGCGGTTCCATGGCGAGCAGCCGAAGCAATGCACTGGCAGCTTGGTGAAAATGATATGGCCCGTCGCGCTGGAGTGGTCCCTTTTTCTCTTTCCAACGTAACCCTCGACGCGCCACCGGCAGCCAATCGCTCATCGCCTACACGCGGACATTCTCATTCTCAATCGCATTCTGGGACCATGGCATCCTCTTCGCGCATAAGTCGCACAGCAAGCGCTCAGAGTGGTGCAAGCATGGGACGACCTAGTAGTTTTCATCAGCCGCAAGCCGCTCGCACAATTGCAGCACGTAGGGAAAGTACTCCTCGTTCCATTCCACCACCAAGCCCAGGCGCTTTAGCCGCCATTGGAGGCAGTATGATGGGTTTAGGAAGAGGAGCCGGTCAGATGCTTCCAAGCGTGGCTGAATTGACCACTGGTGTCAGCCCGTACAGTGCACCTGCTTATGCTATGAGTATGCCCATGAGTGGAGGGGGTTACTCTAGTCCAGGTCCATTTCTTCCTCCGGTGGGAAGTATGCAAGATCGATCTCAAGGAGGCGATATTAAGCGGCGAGGCAGTCCGGGAGCAGAATCTCGGGAAGCCAATCGTAGACGGCAGTAGCTGCTTGTGTTTTGGATTTGGTTATACCTTGCTAATTCAGTGGCGTCGAGGAAAACGTGTGCACATTTCAATGGGTGGGTGCAGATGATGGTGCTGATATCTTTGGAAATCCTTCGTTCGGCCTAGTCGTTGGATTATGTTCCGTCTAACGCAGCATAAGGAATGGAGTCGATGAAGCCGTATATGAGGTGTTGCCCCTCACAAGACTGAGGATTGCTTACGTACATAACATCTTGGGTGTTGTCTGTTCTACTCCATCTGTTAAAGCTCGTGGAGCTTTGGTTCTGGTCAACTGCTTTCGGGCAGGGGGCATACCGCGTGGAGATCCTGTGCACGAGTCAGACCTTCTGTGATAAGGATCCATGCCAGGAGTTGTTGGTTGGTAATTTACATCGGGTGCTTGTGATTGTAAGAAGAGGAGACTCTGTGAAAGAGAAAAGTTATAGGACCTTCAAGGCCAGGCATTTGCATTTAAGCTCATTATTGTACAATATCATGACAATCACGAAGCATACATACAGAATTGTACTCAGTGCTAACACTAACATCGAGTTCGACCAAAATTCAAATAAAAAAGTAATGCTGTGGTAAATCAATCAGATGGTGTGAGGTTAAGAAGAAGGGATGTCGTTGAAAAAGAGAAGTTTCGTTTACGAAACCCGAAACTAAGAACATCTGCCACTGTAATCTCTCTTCGTGCGAGCTCTTCCAAACGAAACATTTACATATGATCTGGCTTTACTGTCGCTTACTGCCCAACCTCACTAGTTTAGAGCTTTCACTTGTTTGTTTAAGCTTGCAGACACGAAACAAGCTCTCGGTAAATTTCCACCTATCATGCAATTTTCTCAAGTCATGACTACCGAGTGCTAAATGATCTGTAGCATGATTGTCTCTTATTCGATTAACTTCAGTTTTGTTATCCGGGCTCAAAAATTTGGTGGCCTACATTCTAGAGCTTAGTGGAAAACGCAGATTGCAGGCCAAACAAAAGGCATTGTTTGAATATCATTATCCTCTTTGACATACTTCACCCCAGCCGAATATTTTCCATTGTCCTTGTCCCACTCTGTGCGGCCTCCGTAGCCTCTTGTATCCCCAGAAGTAAAGACGGAAGTCGAAACTGAGATGGAAGCTCGAGGTAGGAGGAGATTGAGCGCTAGTTTGTGATTGGACAACAATCACTTACAGCTGCGTTAAGCTCCCGATTCAAAAAATCAATGTATCGGACTGGTTGAATCAACCCGTGTCCACGTAGGAAGAAGTTTCCAGTGGAACCTCTGAGCCGTGCCAAAGTTATTGAGGATTCTCTTGAAGCCCTGTTAAAATTACCTAAAGATTCTTTGAGAATTGGGTGCGGAGGCAGGGAAGCCGTTGAAAGTTTCTCCTAGGCTAAGTCAATGGACTAAAGCAAAACTTTGTTGGTAAGCTTGCTAGTCCATCCTGCGGTATATGAACACGAATAATGTTCAGCTGGCATTGGGTTTCTATAAGAAGCCTTTTTCTGGTGTGTGCGGAGGTCGACAACACATCCTCGAAAGGATTATCTGCAACCATTTGCCATCATCCAACATGCTTGCGTATTGCAGATCACACTACGAAGTAATCACATCTAACCCGGTGCGAATAACAGCTCTTCTATGGAGAATTTTCGTCACTGTCCGAATTGATCCCCTCTTTTGCAGATACACCACCAATTATCTTTCTCATAGCCCCCATCCACTACCAAACCTCCAACCTCAATCACATCTTCCTCCAGCTCTCCCTTCTTGTAGAGGTGATAGTATCGCTGAAATGTCTTTTCGCTCTCACTGCCTGTTGTCACTTCTTTTTTAGACCTCTTCATGACCCACGGTACCATTACATCTTGGTCGCCACCTTCATCCCAACCTCTCCTGCTTGACTTTTGCTCCAACGCCCAAACGTAAATCATCGCTCGGCCACTGCCGTGGAGAGTCTGTAGAATCGACTCTACCGCCTCGCGCCGGCGATCTCTGGTACTCAGATGATGTACAACGGCAATGCTGATGGCGAAATCAAATTTCCCATTTTGATGGGGTAAACTTAGCCCGTCAGCGATCAGTGCTTCATGTTCCAGGTCTCCATATTTTGCAGCAATAGAGACCAGTTCAGGTGACCGATCAGATGCGATGATAAGGATGTTAGGGTTCACCAGGAGATATTTGCCATTGCCACATCCCACGTCGAGGCCGATGGAGCCGGAGGGAATAGATAAGAGAAAGTCTGACACGACCGGCCAGGGCTTGTATCGCGTCGAGGAGAAATGAGAAGCTATTTGATTGTACACACTGTGTACGTAGGTTTCTTCGTAGTTCGCTGGGAGATGTTGTGGTGATGTTGCGGGGGGGGAGTCACGATCAGCAGAGGAAAGGGTCTTGCTTAATGGAGTATCCTGCAAGGAGGAGGACGAGACAGAATGCTGGGGGGGAGCTGTCATAATGGTGTTATTGTCAAGGTATAGAGGTACGAAACGAACGAGAAGTCAATTGGCTACACGCGAGAGTGGTCGAAGAGTCATGTGATGTGTATGTAAAGGAGATTTTTTTTATAATTTGAAATTCGAACGTGCACGTGACGTGCGTGATAAGGTGGGAGCAAATGAGACTGATTGGCCAGACTACCTAGTGTGGCGCAACCCTTTGTCGCTTAGGACAGATCATCGTGATGGCTTCATTTTGCCCTAATCGGGATGTGAGTTATAGATGGCCATCTGATGAGGTGAGGGACGCTATTGGCCGAGGTCGATCTCCATCGCGACCGACCTTCTAATCGCACATCTCACTGGAAACCTGGCAACTCTCTGCAAAGAGAATTGAAGTTCCGACATGGCATTCGCCCAGCTTTCTGCATGACCAGCAAGTCCGATAGTTTGGTTTTTTGAAGCCTAGCAAGCGCCGCATTTACAGGTGAACAAGTACAAGAATGCGTGTAACATCTCATGCGTCAGGGTGGCAATGGTATTCTGCATCATGTTGTGCATTTCATCCTGGTTTTGAACACTGACGCCGTGGTAATAGAATTCAATAGCGCGAATCTCATCGTCCCAGCGGGCGACGCCCAAGATCCCATGAAAGTCTGCCCACGTCAAGCGTATCGTCCCCCTCAGCTGGTTGAAAAAGAAAGCGTCGTCAAAAATGGCCAGTCAGGTGTTCAGAAGACTCATCATTTCGCGTGGATCCCGAATGTCAGGGACTCGACTCTCAGCAATCCGCATCAAACTTCGGTCGTTGACTCTCATCCCGTTCCGCTGGCAATTTTTGATCAAAAGGGCCGAGAGATCGCGCGCATCATGCGCATGGTGATGTAGCCCTCTGGCGGGCTTTGGATGAGGCGGGCCTCGAGGCTGGTGGTGGTGTTGGTGGCCACCACTGTGCGAAGGGTGACCGAATCCATGACCGAATCCATGGCCGCCGAAGAATTCGTGATCGAACCCGTGATCGTGGAAGAAGCTCATACTTGCTTAATTACTTAATCTAATCTCGCGTTAATCTAACTGTGGTTGATAGATAATACCCTCGGATATCTAGGTAGCTTGCAATTGTTAGATTATAATAGTTAATGACGGGCTTCTAAATTAACAATATAGGAGTACTGTTTTAATACTATTACTATACTTCTCTTTCTACTGTTTTTTCTTACTATTTTCTTTATAGTTTCTAGTTACTACATATCTAAAAAACTAAATAATAATATAAACCTATTAGCTTTCTTTTTTTTATTAATATTTCTTTATTAACTACTTCTTTACAAAACTTCTCTTTATTATTTAAATTTCAGACTAGGTTCTTTATACACTTTTTTTTCTTTCTTTCTCTCTTTACTTATATATATTATAATTTCTTTATTTCAGTATAAGTCTAATGTTTAACGTACGACTAAGGGCTATCGGAACAGCTACTTCCAGATCTCGACCTGACTGCTTCCATATCATTTTTACTTACAGCTCCCCAATTATTCTTGACCGGGGGCCTCGTTGAAAAGCGCTCTCCATTGCTGTAGCTCTTATACAGCCTAGAGCAAGCGCCGCGCGAGAGCTATGATGATGCGTCAGAATCACTGCTTCTGTCGTCGCCCTCACCCTGGCTTGAAAATATATTGGGTCTCGAAGCGTTTGAATCGATACCCGTCCTGTTTTCAGATTCAGCCTTCTTCTCATCGCCTTCTGGGGTCCAGTCAAGGAACAATTCTCGCATAATTTTCGTTTCTTCCTCGATTTCCATTGGCGACGCATACACATTGAATGGCCTACCATCATAGTTTTCCGGATACTGCCGGGCTGCTGTCCGTCGACCGAAGGCGGTAGGTCCAACATACGGATCCGATCGTCCAACAAGCAGCGGACGCTGGCTTATTCGTGATGAGTACGCGGATTGCGAGATTGGTGGCGCAAAGCGATTTGAGAGTGGGCGACTAGTGACGAAATCTTGGTCTACAGCGCTTGACCTGGTCTTATTGGCAGAGGTAATTCCGTGCGTTCTTGGTGCTGTTCCATTCTCCTGAGCTTGACTGCGGTTGTCTTGACTAAACCTATAGGATGGCGAAGGTGACCTTCGATCGGAGCGCCTGGTTGATTTTGCTGTTAGGCTTTCTTTGGTTAATTTGGGAGGAACAACAGGATTTTCCGAGAAGCGAGCTTCCTTCGGTGGCTGCGGATTCTGTGGAACGATTGGTGGTACCTGCCTGTATGGTGCTGAAGCTGACTGTGGTACACCGTGATGGTAACTATCTGGTCTCTTTTGACCACTGCTGTAAATGTCGTTCGCGTAGCTGCGTGCGAGACTATACGATGCCTGGGTTGCAAGAGGATCTGGCGGGATGTGAGACGCAAGACTATCTGGGTCAGCTGCCATCATCCTCCCCGCGTCTCCATGATCCGGCAGCCGGTACGGCTGGACGGGTCTGAATGGGCTCTGGCCTGTTAAGGGGTATCCTTGAAAATAGGGTTGGGTGGTTGGATATCCTCCGTGTACATAAGACTGTGGAAGGTATGGATTGGACGGATACTGAGCGTTTGGGAAATCTCCACTTCCAACGTCTTTGGATTGCGGATGTTCAGAGTACGAAGCTGGCTCAGGCATTACTCTATTTGGAAATAGGACAGGGGATGGCTTCCTTGATTGTCCATGATTTCCCTGCTGTTTCAGCGTCGTCATTTCTTCTTCTCTTGCCTTCTTTGAATCAAATGTAGGCAGATTGTCTTCTTGAGCTTGACTTGCTTGGTCTTTCTTGAGCTGAAGTTCTGCTTGTGCCCATTTTGCCATTTCTGCCATATTAGCAAGTGAACGTTCAAGGCGAGGAATCCGACCGTTGGTCGAGGATGATGATTCATTCGGTGGCGGAAGTATTTCCGGTGACAGAGATCTCTTCTTTTGTGATGACTGCTCTTTTGAACCTTTTTCCTCAGCCACAGTACTCTTGCCTCTCTTCATTTTATCCTTCTCAGATGCTGTGCCCCAAGTGCCGCTCCGAGATTCCCACTGATCTTCTTCCTCGGATATCTGCTTTGTTGGTACCACATGAGGTGCTGATTCGTTCATAGCTGCCTTTACATTGTCAGTCGTGACAGTTCTTGTCTTCTTATTCTTCTTGGCGGGTATCGCTTCCGCGCGGGCGTCGTCAACAGTTTTGCCCGTGTGCTTTTTTCTTAAGTAAACAGTTACAGCTCGAGATCCGATTGATTGGCCATCACTTTCCTCAAGTTGCGCCAAGTTCCAAACAAATCCGGGCTCTACTTGGCTTTTGTTTAGCCCGTGGATGACTCTGATGATGGCCTCTTGCTGAACATCAAGTAGCTTGAGCTTCTTGTCGATGGTGTGCATCCCGGTCTCATTTAATATCGAGATCCGTTGCATTATATCCCCCTCTGAGAACTCCTCTTTCGTAGTTGAAGGCGGTACCGACGCTGGGTCGCCAAATGTGCTCGCTGACGCAAAAACACGAACCGTGTACGCAGCATAAATTATGAAATTGTTTGTCATTTCAGCAAAGGTCTCTGAATTATATCAGCATCTTTCTTGATGGGAGACAAGAAAGACCTTTACCCTTCGTTGTCCGAGTAGTAGCTTCATTGAAGGGCTGATCCGGAGGCTTGCTCTCGACCGCTGAAGTTACCTTTGTATTTGCCGATTTAGCATTTCGAGTTATGCTAAAAGGTGTTTGTTCCTGTTGGCGCGAGTTAGGATTATCGCTATCAAACAACGAAATTGGGTTGTTGTGTATTATGGCTACTAAGGCCCTCTTTTCAGGTGACCAAAATTTCATCCTCGATTTTCGGAGCCATTTCAAACGGATCAAGGATTTGTTGAAACCAATTTCGTTCTCCGTAATCTTAGTGAGAGATAGCGTCTCTTCATACGACAGGAATGCGAAGTCCTTCCAAGAAATTGACCCAGACGTGTGAATATTCTCTAAGTTGGATCTTCTCAAGGCGAAGTAACCAGTACAAGGAATCTGATGGTATTCAGCACCTTGAATGACAAACGCGGTGACCGAGGAACCGGAGCCATACATATCCTCGAGGTCGTTTGGTCCAATGTAATCTTGCCGGGTGATACGCCTGAAAGCTTCAACCATCATCACACGCTTGCGTGAAATGGAACCGCTGTTAGGGTATCTGGTCCAAGTCCTACCTGTACGTGCGATCCTATAGCTTGTGTTCGATGGTGCTGTACTTTGTTCAGATAATTCTATAGTAGAATTTGAGCTTGCATTGTTCTGGGCGAGAGGCATTTCTTCCACTTTTGAGCGGTCCATGAACTCGAAGACGTTGATGAATCTACTTGTGTTCGATGGCGCTGTTATGTGTTCAGATAATCCTATAGTGAAATTTGAGTTTGCATTGCTTTGTGCGAGAGGCATTTCTTCCACTTTTGGGCGGTCCATAAACTCGAAGACGTCGACGAATCTACTTGGTGGGGGTAAAGTTGGTGGCAAGGGCTTTGATGATCTCAGCGTGTTTGATCTTACATTTGAGGAAATCTGAGCTGGAACTACTGCCGAAGTTTGTTGTAGACATGTTTGTGAGAGGTCTTTGACATGTGAAATATGTATCTGAGTGGTTTTCGGCGATGGGACCTGACTACTAGACGCCTGACGATCTTCGTACACGCCCATATCTTCGTCCATAGGCGTTCTCTTGGGATGGGAGTCGGAAATGAGAGTGGTAGTTTTCCAGTAATCAACGGCAGAGCTAGGAGTTAGTGACCTAGGTTTCTCTATCGAAGGACTTTCTAAGTTATCATCCTTCATCTTCTTCTTGTTCTCGGCAGCCCCTAAGCCCCGAGTTTCTTCTATTTCTTCTGAGTTGTCCTCGGCCTCACAGTATATGTCCTCCTGTACATCTTCGACTGTGGCTCCCTCGAGAATGGTTTTCTTCTTCTTTTTCTTCTTCTTTTTCTTCTTCGTCGTTATAGGCCCCCGGAATTCCCAGTCATCTTTGTCTCCTGGCTGTTGGATAGCCTCACCTGACTCCTTTTTGGATCCACCTTTGAGAATACCCTCGTCGGGCGTTTTATCCTTCTCCTTTCCCTTGAATGCCCCGAATTTTCCCCAACTATAATCCACTGGATCTAGCTTCCCCTCTACATCGTGCTTGATGTCACGTTGCTTCTCTTTCGCAGCGCCTTCTTGCACGACATCATTGATGGTATTTTCGTGCTTCTTCGACTCCACGGAACCCAGAAATTTCCATTCATCATCTTCTGGCTTTGGTGCGGGAGTAATCTTCGAAGCTACTGTATTCGACCGGCCTTTCGACGTTGGTTCTATAGTGAACTCTTTGAGTCCTTCCATCCGCTTCTCCCACTCGGAGGGCGAGAATGCAGCCTATGAATCAATCTCCCGAGTAGATGACATAGAATGGGGTTTTGGATCGATCAAGACGGGTTCGGGTAGTTCGTCGGGGTATTCTTGAGCATCTATCGCTAGTGCTTCAACTTTCTCGACCAGTTTATCGATATCGAGCTCCTTCGCCAAATCTTCCAGCGGTGTCCAATATGCGGAAGCTGTGACAAATGAATTGGCGTCCGAGTCTTCAGCTTCCGAATTCTCTCTTGTTTTCGTATCTTGAGAGGGGATCAGGGTCAGGCTGTTCTCGTCGACCGGGGGTTCTCCTTTTCGCAAGGGCACCTGAGCTCGGTCTAGGGCTATTGGAGGTAAGACTATGGGAATTTCTATGTCTTTGGACTCAAGCGTTCTCCCGTTGATATCTGCGAATGTAAGTAGTTCTTTCTCTATGTTCAATCCGGCCGAGGTGTTGAAAATGCTCGCGGTCGGTGGTTTGAGAGGCCTGGTTAAGTATATACCAGAAGGCTTGGTAGGAACATATTGAACTAGAGAAGGAGTCAAAGTGTTGATGCTCGAGTGGCCGAGCTTTTCCGGTGGCTCTCTTGTAATCGTTGGTATTGGTAAGCTTGAAGAGTCAATGTCTTGTTCGTGGTGGGGTAGAATTCGTGCAAGTGGCGTGTCAGGAAGAACCATGGTTCTTGCTTCGAGGCTTGGGTCTTGAAAAGTTTTGACAGGTTCTACCGCTACTGGAGTATGGCAGTCAAACGGTTCCTCAGCCTCTCCATCAAACTTCCTATCTAGATCATGTGCTTTATGGTTTGGTGCCGATTCCTGATTTTCTTTCGTGGAAGATTCAAGTGGCTCGGTCTATCGGATAGTCAATGATACTATAGCGGACGAAAACATTACCAAAACTTACGACGGACGGTCTCTGATAAGTCGTCGCAAATTTCACAGCATGAGAAGGTCGCGAGGGAGTAGGAACACTGTCAGCGTTCTCCTTCGTTGATGTGACGATTGGGCCATAGTGCTGGCTTTTGCTTTCCGGTGCGACTGATTGAGTGTCCTTTTCCAACCATGGAGGAGGTGATTGACTCATCGGTATATCAGGAAAGACGTGTGTTGTGCGACTTGTCTCACCCTTTGGTAGTATGGTCTCGGGATTGCCTATAACGGTAAATTTCGAAGCCTTCGCGGCTCTCTTACCTTCCGACTTAGTTCTGGCAATCATTTCTTGCGCTGCTTTCACTTGTTCCACAAACTTAGGGGGGTGCTCTAAGTCTTCTGATGACATATCGCTTTCCTTTGTTGCCAGGGGCCTTGTTTTCTTGTGTCGAGATTTAGGATGGTAATCTTGTCGATCAGAAAAGCCAGAAAATATTTGATTCGGCTCAGGCGTCCGCCCTCTTGAAATGCTTGGATTTCCTGCTAACAGGGAATCTTGACTTTGAAGACGTCTCCTTCGGTGACTAGAGGAGTCTTTGGTATCTTTTCTTCGACGACTGCTGGATGGTGACTTTCCTGCCGCGGAACGAGAAGCATTCGACTTATTGGACTTACTAGTCTTGGACCGTGAACCCACAATTGTTTCCTTTCGTAGATTTGGTGGATCTGGGGGTAGGGCCAAGTGATCTGGCGGTGAAGGTTTTACCATTGTCAAATTCAGCTGTTTGGCCATTCCAGCAATTTCCTTGCGCAGATAAGGATCCCTCAATATGTCCTCGAGGTTTTGGCGGCTTTCAAAGGTTAGCTGTGTATACCCATCACAGCTAAAGGGCTGTTGCAAACTTAATGCTTACCGATCTTTCATATCTCCGCGGACACCACAGTAATGAGCAGCGTCAATGTCGATTGATGCCGATAAAGCTGACCGCAAAATCTCTCGAGCTGTGGTTTAAGACTTGAAAACCACCTCAAACGTTGGAGTTTCCTCAACTTATACCCCTTCTGAATCTGCAGGAGCTGTGGTGCTTCGAGTAGCACGTCAAACCTAGCCTCTTTAATACCAGTTTGGAATTCCCTCAATTTCGTTGTGAGCTCCGCATTCAAGTCCTTTTTTTCCTTCTGTGCGACTGTCGCTTCAATCTTCTAAAAGGTTTTTAAGCACCGATGGGCGGTGATTTCGACCTTCCTCAAAGCTTCTTCTGAGAAGATCATGTACTTCTTGTATGTGGCAAGATTAGCTCTCTCTTCCAGGAGAAGATCCTGAACAGACTCGAGAGCTTTTCTAGTTTCTGCAACACTCTCTAAGATTCTCTCAAGATCAACGCCTTGATCGGCATAGGTCGACACGAATGTGTCGAGGAACGTGAGCAATTGCAGCCCAAAAGCCGCAATTCCAACAACGGATCCCACGGCCCCCAGGATCGTGACGGGGTCCATGGTCAGCAATGCATCGACTCAATTAATGGGAATTGATCACGTCGCGATAGTCTCGTCCATTCAACATCCGCCATCGTCGCCGTCGAGCTTACGACAGCTAGAGCTGGGAAGAGGACGTAGGAGTGTAGAAGACAAGCAAGGCTGAATAAGGGTGACGATTATGCGGGTTTCCGGCGTCTAGCCTAACATTGGTTACACATAGAGGTAGTAAACGGAAAGTTAGCTTAGGCTACTCGAAAGTATAGTTTATAGAAGTCTCTCGAGAGATTTAAAGTATATAGATATATTTATAAGGTTATATAGTATATATAGTATATTATTTTATAGAGTTATATTATACTAGAATTTACTTTTCTAGAAAAATATATAGATAAAAAAATTTATTAGTAAAAAAATTATTATTATAAATTTCAAAGTCTAGTATATTTCTCTATAAATATAGATAGTAAGTGTTTATTTAAAAATATATAGATATATACTATTTATATTTATAAAGAAATATATAAAATCTCTAAAATTTATTATATATATCTTATATATAGCTATAAAACTAAACTTACTTAGACTTATACTCTATATAAAGTAATATTAGTAATAAGCTAATAAACTAATAAGCTTAGTACTTATTTTAAGTAATTTATATATATATATATATATATAAGTTTACTTATAACTTAGTTTTAACTAGTACTCTATTATATATACTATTATACTAGTAATAAGATACTATTTAGATAAGTACTTTAAATACTTAAGAGATATCTCTTTAAGTTAAGAAAATATATAGACTATAAACTTTATACTATTAACTACTATAGTATATAGTATATACTATTACTAGTTATATAGTATTATAAACTAGTATAAAGTACTACTATTAGAAGATAGTTTAGAAGATATAAGTAAGTAAGTAAGAAGTATATTATTTAAAAGACTAAATACTAAGAAGTAATATCTAAGAGAGTAGAGAAGTAGGCTATATAACTACTTCTCTCTAGAGATTAGCTAGACTAACTATTAGTCTATCTTACGTATTACGTTTAAGGTTATATACCTAGCTATTAGCTAGTTATTAGCTAGCTATAGAGCCTTAGGTAGAGCCGTAGACTAGCTATAGCTAATTTATAATAATATCTCTCTCTAAAAGAGTCTAGACTCTAGTTCTAAAAATAAGGTTATTTCTAGTTTCTTACTTAAGAGTATAACGAGTTAGACTCGAAGGTAGTACTTAGTATAGCCTATACTAGAGTTACGTATATATACGTAACTTACCTCGCTTACCTTATCTATATATAAGAAGCTATAGCTCTATCTCTCTTTCTTTCTTAGTAATTATAAACTATTACTTAGTATAAACGACTCTACTACTTTAACTAAAGGCTTAGCCTATAATAATATAATTACTTACTCTTATCTTATAATTAGAGGACGTATAACGGTATATAAGTTTAGAAATACCTAAACTAGAAATATAGAAACTATAATAGTATCTTATACTTAACGACGATAATTAAGTAAGAAGCTTAATCGACCTATTAGATAATAGTATAATATTTAGGCGGCTAGTATACTACTTAGAATATAAATAGAGTAAGAAAACTCTAACTATAAAGCTATTAAGATTATATAGTAAATTTAGTAGAATTAAAGTTTTTACTTAAAAGCTATTTACCTATCTAAGAATCTTAGATAATAGAAGAAAAGACTTTATAGTAATAAATATTAAAAAGCTTATTAGAGAGTTTTTATAGATTTATAGATAGTTACTATAATAGTAATAAAGAAGTAATAGATAAAAGAATATATAATATAAGAAGTAACGTAAAAGAGAGCTCTTTAAGAGGACTAGTAGTATCTTTACTTATAGAGAATAATATTTAGACTATCTTTAATTAACTAGTAGTAAGTAACTAGTTAAGTAAAGACTAGATTAGAGAACTAGTAGTCTAAGTCTTAGGTACTAAATAAGTATAATATACTATAGAGTAAGCTTTAATTACTATAGCTTAATAACTCGACGTCTAGATAAAGAATATCTTAGAAGCTCTAGCTAGACTTTAGCTATAGATCCTAGCTCTACTTCTCTCTCTAGTTATAATATTCTACTAATAACCTACTTCTTCTCCTATAACGTTATAGGAAGCTAGAAAGCTAAAGACTAGCTTACTAGATATAGAGAAGTTTAATAGTAAAGATAAGACTCTATTATAACGATTTAGTTCTCTACTCGATAGTAGACTAGGGTATTGTAAGGTTAGTATATAGTAAGTAGCGGTATAAAGTATTACTTATAGATTTAGAGATCTATTCGTTATAATAAGAGTAAGTTAAATAGATAATATACTATTACTATAATAAGTTAAGTATAAAGCTCCTATTTAAGGAAATTATAATTATTATATAGAACTTTCTACTCTACTTAAGTTTTAATAAGTTTAACGAGTTTAATAAGTTCGATAGTAAACCTAGTAAACTTATTAAACTCTTACTTATTACGTAATACTACCTAAAACCGGGGCCTATCCGCTAACCTAAATATAGCTAATATTAACTAAATTAAACTACTAGATAGTAGTTCTAGGAACTACTTAATTCTTATAACCTTATCTAATTCTAGGGCTTTTAGTTCTAGAAGTATTACGACACTAAGGCGGACGCTACTCGTAATACTACCCTCTATTTAGACTAGCGAGTCCGCCTACTTAAGTATAACTAAGAAATACGTTAGTTAAAGGCTATAAACTTTTCTTCTTTCTAATATACTACCCGACTATACGACTAAATATTCTAATATTATAGCCCTTAGAAAATAAATTAATTTAACTAGAAGAAAGATAGTACCTTATTCTTATTATAAAAAGACTAGAAAAACGTATATAGTTTTATAAAACCCGAACTATAGTCGTTATAGTACCTATACTACTACTAGTAAGACTTATAATATAAAAGAGGTAAACTAGATACTTATAGAATTTAACTAGAAGAGTATTAAGGCTTAAGAGGCTAAGCTAGAGGCCAAGAAAGAAGAGGTATAAGATCTTTAGTAGAAGGTATAGGTAGCCTAATAAGAGGCTACTTCTTACGCCTTATATATTAAGAAGTAGAAACGCTTTCTTTATAAGTAAAAGTAGAAAATAATTTTAGTAGGTCTTAACTTACTAGACGAGTTAGACGAGTTAGAGAGAAAAAAGTAGTAAGAAGAAGAGAAGAAGAGAGAAAAGAAGGAGAGGAAAGTAGAAGTAGAGCGACTACTAGTCTATTCTACCCTACTTAATAACTTCTCTACTTACGACCTATTACTACTTAATCTAAATTTCGATCCTAGGTCTTTCTAGGAGGCCTTAGATACTTGTAATAGAACTTCTTAAGCTACTTAAGGTAGTTAAGGTTATTTATTAGTTCTTATATATTTTTTAATTATAAGTAGTCCTTCTATTTTATTAGATAATATAGTTTTCCTCTAATAAGTCTATAGTCTAAGATTCTTTTAACTTTATACTCGACGTTAGAGTTTACTAGTTCTATTTCTATAACTAGAGCTAGTAGCGCTCTAGGTAGTACTAGCTCGAGGAGGGATATATAAAATACTAGAAAGATATTTATATTCTTAGATAGAGCTAATTTATAGTTTAAGTATCCTTTAAGTACCTTAATTTTAAATAGTCCTAATTTCTTATTATATAGTTTATCGCTTAGTTATTTTATTTAAATATTATATTTAATTAAATAAACTCTATTCTCTTTCTATAGTATAGGCTCCTAACTACGTTCTTTATTATAGTAGTATACGTTTCTTTCTATAATAAACTTAAGTTCTTTAATAAGTTTCTTATAAAGAGAGAAAAGATTATTGATAAAGATCCTTTCTACCTAGTTATCGACTTTTATATTATAGAGTTCTTAGAACGTAGTTTTCTTATAACTAAAGTTAGCTTTAAACGGTAATACTTATATCGTTTTTATAGGTATACTATTATACGTAAATTAGGCTATAGGTAGTAGTACGACCTAATTATCTTATTTATAGTTTATATAATACCTTAAGTATACTTTAACTATCTAGTTTATTCTCTTGTTTTCTCTATTTATTTATAGATAGAATAAGGTTAATAGCTTTTACTTTATTTCTATATATACTATTATAACTATCTAGAGTTTAGATATAAATAGTTTATCTTAGTTAGAGATTATTCTCTCTAGAGTACTATAGTCTATAAATATATATTAAATAAAGGCGTAGGCTAATTTCTTAGTAGTACTAGATTCCTTATATAGTATTAGGATTATATACTTAGTAAGTCTTTCTATTATAACTATAATTAAGTCGTACTTAATACTAGTTATTAGATCTCTTAATAAAGAGAGTTTAATAATAAAATCCTATAATATTATCTTCTATAGTCGTTTAGAAATTAGTATTATTCTTATAAGTCTATAAGGGCTATAGTACGTTAGTTTATTCTAGATATATATATTATAGCCGGTTACTACGTCTTTTACTAGAGATTAAAGTCTATCGATATAGTATTACTATTAGATTCTCTAGAAGGTTCTTCTTATTTCTTAGTAGTTATATTCCGAGGCCTTATAGAACCTCTAGATAAACTCTTTAGTATATAAGTCGGGTATTTTTAGTTTACTATCTTTATATCTAGATATTTCTTTTAAAACGTTAGGTTCTTTATTCTAAGTAGTTATAATTTTGTTATACTATAGACTATAGATCTTTATAAGGGCGGTAATTACCTTAGTATTAGAGATTAGGTTCTCGTCCTTATCTTCTTTTAGAATAGCTTATTTTTTATATACCTTATTATTCTTATATCCGGGCTAGCGACTTAGAGTATTAGCTCTAGAGTTGTCTTTTCTAATAATATATTTAATAATAAGGTCGTAATAGGTAAGCTCCTTAGTCTATCTTACTATTCTCTAGTTATCTAGTTTCTTTAAAGTAAGGAACGTATATACATTTTTATAGTCTATATAGACCTTAACCGGGT